TGCAGAAGATGAAGCAGGCCGCTGCCGAGAGCGAGGCATACATCAAGAACCAGGAGGCAGAGGAGAGGAAGCTGCTGAAGATCATTGCTGAGGCTGATGCTGAGAGAGTCCGACAGAAGAAGGAGTTGGATCAGGTGGGTGATGATGAGATGGATGTAAATGATATGAGATGGATGTAAATTATATGAGATGGGTGTAAATGATATGAGATAGATGTAAATGAACTGGAAATGGATGTAACTGATATGAGATGGATGTAAATAATATGAGATAGATGTATATGAACTGGAGATGGATGTAAATAAACTGGAGATGGATGTAAATGAACTGGCGATGGATGTAAATGATATGAGATGGATGTAAATGATATGAGATGGATGTAAATGATATGAGATAGATGTAAATGAACTGGAAATGGATGTAAATGATATGAGATAGATGTAAATGATATGAGATGGATGTAAATGAACTGGAAATGGATGTAAATGATATGAGATGGGTGTAAATGAACTGGAGATGGATGGAAATGTCATGGAAATTAATGGAAATATGAGCTGACATTTGACCCCCAATCTGCCTTGTGTACAGGTGATCAGCGAGAGAGACATCCTGGGCACACAGCTGGTGCGACGTAATGACGAGTTGGCGCTTCTGTACGAGAAGATCAAGATCCAGCAATCTGTCCTCAACAAGGGTGAAATCCAGTACAACCAGCGCCTCGAGGACATCCGTGTCCTCAAACTGGAGATCAAGAAACTCCGCCGAGAAAAGACAATCCTTCAGAAGAGTGTTGCAAATGTTGAAGATCTCAGGTGGGTGGTTATAATTGCAATATTTTATGGACATTTTGAAATAAAGGCGAGTTTATTTATTTCTCGGAAAAAATACTTGGATCTTTTGTGTTGAAAATTGTCAGTGTTAAGCCTGCTGTGAATTATTAATGAAGAACAACGTTCACTTCCTGGTTACTTGACTGATGTTGGTGTGGGTTGTAGGCGTGAGGTGTACCACATCCAGAGGGAGCTGCTGCGAGAGAGGACGCGCTGCAAGGCCTTGGAGGAGGAGCTGGAGAACCCCATGAACATCCATCGCTGGAGGAAGTTGGAGGTACAGCAGCTGAACTTGATCACATGACCACAGGCTTGGAAAGCCTTCAATACTGCAGTGTGACTTAACAATCATATTCTATGAGAAAAAACAAGACATCTCTTTCTTTAGCCTTCATAGTCTTTGAATTAATTAAGGTATGTTAAGATGACAATATGTTTCTCTTCCATTCAAAGGGCTCCGACCCCAGCACATACGAGATGATCCAGAAGATCCACACACTGCAGAAGCGACTGATCTCCAAGACGGAGGAGGTTGTCGAGAAGGAGCTTCTGATCCAGGAGAAGGAGAAGCTGTACCTCGAGCTCAAACACATTCTGGCACGCCAGCCCGGACCCGAGGTGGCCGAGCAGCTCCAGATATACCAGGGCACGCTCAAGGACAAGACAAAACAAATGAAGGTAAAACCTTGTCACAATGTTCTCTGTCATAGGCATGACTTTTGAGGGAATATTAATTGTTTATTAGTATTACATTAGCATATATTTGGGAAAATTGTTTTGTTGTGAAGACTGAGCACACAATTTCATAAAAATATCCCCAAAACTATTCATGATGACTTTTTTTGTTCAGTATGTAAAAGCTAATATACTGATAAAGTTTATTTGTTCATATCAAACCTCTGTTTTATACATGTCATATTCATGACCTTTTTTCAAAAGTTGATTCTTACCTATATTTCTCTCCACTCCAGGCCATGGCATCTGAACTGAACATGTACGAGTCTCAAGTGAATGAGTACAAGTACGAGATAGAGAGGATCGCGCGGGAACTGCAGGAAGTCAAGAAGAAATACTTCATGCAGAAAAAGAAGGAACAGCAAGTCAGGTAGGCCATGATATCCGTACTACAGCAAGACTTCTGTTACATGCAAAGTTATTGTCATCTCTGTTGGTGGCCATTAGTGGCCCAGTCATCAAAGGTGCCACAATTTGCTGAGCAGGGTTCCTTCCCTTGGGCACACCAGGAACCTATGGTCACGGGTTTGAATCCTAGATTCTCCCTGATTGATAATACTGTACAAAGTGGCATAAAATCCATCTTTAATCACTCCCCTGAGGTATATCCAGGTTAGAACTGGTCCCTAGCAAGCTGTGCTGGTCTGAAGAGGTGACCAAGTGGATTGGGTGGTCAGATCCGGGGACTTGGTCGATTGTGTCATCATACCCTGGCATCAATTGTTTCTCACAATATCCATCACTGGATTGTCTGGTCCAGACTATACTGGTATGACACTCAACTCAATTGAGTGAAAGATATTGTCTGTTGTTTAACACCACACTCAGCAATATAAAGGCAGTCTGCAAATAATCAAGTCTGGACCCAGACAATCCAGTGATTGACATCATGAGCAATGATCTACACAATTGGGGTATGATGACATGCATCAAGTCAGCGAGTCTGGCACCTGATCTCGTCAGTCTCTTCTTACAACAAGCATGGGTTGCTGAAGACCAATTCTAACCCAGATCTTCACATGGTTGTTAAATGATCGAAGTGAAGAAGGAAATTGAAATATGAACATGAATATCCAACTTCATGCTATAATGAATGTCCTTAGCAACCAGACTCCCCATTGTTGGTGTTATTTGCAGGGAGCGGGATCGAGCATTAGCCCATGCTGGAGCACCCATCATTCAAGCACAGAGAACAGAGGCACCACGATTCACAGGCGGCGGCTTCAATCTCAAAGCTCCCAAGACTGCAGCATAATGGACTGTGGAACCAACTGTGATACCTTGCTGTTCAACTTCTCTTCCTGTTTTCGTAACTCAGTATTAGCCCAATATCAATTATTCCTTCCATTTTGTCATGTGGGTAGATTTGTTTGGCTTCACTATTTTCAACCCCCATCTGAAGAAAAGCTTAATGATTTTATCATTCTGGAAATATTTTGTTCCAAACATTCAAATTTTGTTTGTTCATTTAAACCAGCATTATTACACAGCTTCAGTTTTTAACTGCCTCCTTTCTGTTTGGTTATTTTATGTTAGGAAGAGAAGGTGTTATATTTTAGCATCAAACATTACAGATGTGAAGTGAACATTTGAACAGATTGTACATATATGTAAATTGCAGAGTAATGTCAAAATCAGCTTTGTGATCTGTGCTTACCTTAGGTTTTATTTATTCTCACATTCCGTCCAGGCAGAGTTCACTGGAGCATTAAAGTACATATACTGAATTGCAAAGATATTTTGGCAAGCTACGTACACGCAAGCTGTTTTAGTTGTACCTGTATGTTGTTCTGTTGACCTCGTGTCTTCAATACTGTGATTGTTTTGATATATACACTACATAAAAACAACAAATACAACACTGGCTTCCTGGTTTTTTATTTGAATTCATTTGATCAATAGATTTGGCATTGTTTATTGGACCCTCATTCATAACAACAAAGAACATGAAGAATTGTCTATACTTCACAGGTCTGCATACACTACATTCCTCCTTCAACTCATACAGCTAACATGTGGTGTAGTCGCTATCTTAAACAAGGCATTTAACAAAGGCCTGGTTCCAGAAAAAGCTGTGACCAACAAGAGCTCTGGTGGTCGTTCTCGTGGGTTTGACCAATAAAGTGGCCATAACGTGGTTTAGTGTTTTTGCTTTGCAGTCATGTGACTATGTGTCCTTCGGTCATGAAAACACACACCCTTGGTCATGGTCACATGACAGCCCAAACAAAATGGCATCAAGGATGCTTGGTATTGTGCCACTGACAATTCTTTAGGAAGAAGCTGGCGTAAACTCAACATGCAATAGAAATAAGAACAGATCATGGTGGTGGTCATGAAATATGATCATACAGAACTGTTACCAAAACTCAGATCAGTGACGAATACATGACCGGCTGCCTGGTCAAGTCACAGAAACATACCCCAGCTTATATCACACCAACGGCAATATTTCTTGCTTGACAACACACTGCTGTAATCACAGGCAACGGTTCGCACAAAGTACATGAAACTGAGTAGGGTTTAGTTGATTAACTTACTAAACACACAGACACAGACACAGACACACACAGACACACACACACACACACAGACAAAGACAGACACACACACAGACAGACACACACACACACAAACACAGACAGACAGACACACACACACACAGACAGACACACAGACACACACTCACAGACACACACATCACTATTATACCACACAGTGGCCATATCTATTGACAGGTGATGGAGGAACACTATGTCTACAAATCTCTGCAGTATTGACAAGATTTGGTCCCTCTTTGTACTCTCTCAACAAACAGCAAGATGTCTTTCCATGTATGCCAGCTTCCAATAATGACAACAATAGAACAATTTCCTAACAAAGTCAGGACAAGGGAATGATTCAGTGAGGACCATATCACTAATGCTAATAATATCACTAAGTCCTGGCAGCCTCAGTCGATAATGTGACCACCAATTCCTATCATTCAGGTATGTCCCACAAGACACCCAGGACACATGCAGAGTTTAGAGACATACCAGTTTGTTCACTGAGCTCACAAAGTTCACAGCTACATGCACCCCAGACCTTGATCTACAACAACTAAGAACATGAAGATCATTTGCTGGTCCTTGGTCAGAGTATTCTAATGTATGTATTTTTCAAATAAAGACGATAATCTGTCAGTTTATAGAATGAAGGGTTTACTGTTCACCCCATTGAGTTAAGTGCACTTTTGGGCATGGGTGGCCCAGTCGTCTAAGGCGCTCTGATTCGCTGTGCAGAGTTGCACCCCTTGGACACGCAAGAAACCTATGATTGTGGGTTTGAATCCCAGTTCATCCTGATTATGTTTCTAGGTTTGTCAGCACCATACCCGTGCTCGTGGGTTTCACCGAAGTGGTAAACGTCTGAGACCTGCATCACTTTGGACTTTCATCCCACATTAAGCTGACACTCACTCACTCACATATTTATCACCCCAATGAGTTAAGTGCACATATTTATCAATGGAGTTAAGTACACTTATTTATTACCCCATTGAGTTAAGTGCACTTATTTATTACCCTATTGAGTTAAGTGCACTTATTTATTACCCCATTGAGGTAAGTGCACTTATTTATTACCCCATTGAGTTAAGTGCACTTATTTATTACCCATTGAGTTAAGTGCACTTATTTATCACCCCACTGAGTTAAGTGCACTTATTTATTACCCATTGAGTTAAGTGCACTTATTTATCACCCCACTGAGTTAAGTGCACTTATTTATTACCCATTGAGTTAAGTGCACTTATTTATTACCCCACTGAGTTAAGTGCACTTATTTATTACCCATTGAGTTAAGTGCACTTATTTATCACCCCACTGAGTTAAGTGCACTTATTTATTACCCCGTTGTTAAGTGCACTTATTTATTAATTCTGTGACTAATTCAGCCTTGACTATCACTCCTTGACAGCAGTTCTGCATTACACTTTCTAATATTTATCTACATATGAATCATACATGCATCTTCAAGAAAAAATCATTTTGATGGTAGTGTGTTAATATTTTAGCACAATGATAAATACAATCACCGCATATTTCCTTACTTTCTAATGTGCGGTGATTTATTCCATGCATAATAAATGGCTGTGACTGAGTTGGGCTTAACCCCGCTTTGAACAGTATTACTGTTATAACGCGGGGTGTCAGCTTAATGTGGGATGAAAGCCCGAAGTGATGCTGATCTCAGACATTTACCACTTTAGTGAAAACCCACGAGCACGGGTATGGTGCTGACAAACCCAGAAACATAATCGGGGCAAACAGGGAATCCAAATCACAATCATACTTTTCTGGCGTGCCCAACGGACGTAACTCGTCACAGCGAATTGCGGTGCAAATGGCTAAGATGCCAGACCACAGGGTTACAATGAAGTGACGTCACACTGCAAAAAACACTGCAGTACTAATCTGCAGCCCTTCATAATGGCAATATGACTTAAAAATATGTTCTTACAGGATTCATGATACGTTCGTGTTTCACAGTGCAGACATAAAAAATATTTCCTTTGGGGGCCTACAAAAAGATACTTTGAAGCAAAAGGATCAGACAGAACATTGGTTTTGTCTGTACAGAGACTAGACATCCATTAATCATGTACAGCATTCATAATGCAACTACAAGAATATTGTTCTGACGTTCCGGAATTAATTACGAAATTCAATTCCATTCCTAGTTTATGAAAATATTTTGAGAAATGTTATTTAAAATAATTCTGTAACAGTAATTATCAATGTTAGGGGTTTAAAGATTGTGGAACAGACATAAAAAATACATTCAATCCTTTCTAAATGATGAATAAATGATAAATTACTTACAAATGTATATGTATATAATGTCTGTTGGGTTATCTTAATACCAAGTACATAATATCCCTTTTCATATTTTCATACTTTTTAAATATCACAGCTTTAACACATAAGACACTGATCTCAAATGATCATCATATTCATATTTTTGTTTATTGAATAAATACATGCATATTCGATTAGGAAATTTCTAAGCAACCAATTTGTGGTCATTCTGACAAATGGTCCGATATTTTCGAAGACATAACAATTTCTAAGGGTAATAGCAAAAGAAACAACTGCACAAAATTGTTAAATTAGGTAACCTTTGTAGATATAATTCAAATTTATAAAATCCAGATACGTTTTAGAAAAAATAAAATAAAAAAGGTGAATAAACATGCATCACCCAAATTCATCAACTGATACAACCAGAAAAGTCCACTTTCCCCAATATCACACTGGCCCACAAATAATTGACTCTGGGCCCGACACACCGGTGATTTATAACATCAGCAATGATACACATATTTCCCGAAAAAATCACAAGTTTCATTATGATCCATATAAATATTCCCATATATATATATAAAAACAATATTTATTCTAAAACCGTAACAGATTTCATCCATCTGATCCAACTTGACTATTTTCTTTAGAACTGTCCACACTGGTTTTACACTTAGAGAGAACTTTATCAAGTCTAGCTATGAATGCATCCACATCATGTTTGGTCATCCCGATTGCGGCGGCTGCAGTCAGGTAGGTGCAGGGGTAGTTGTCATGGTGGGCGCCGTAGTTCTTGAAGGTGAACCCACAAATGGTGTTGCTCTTCCCAGGCGCAACAACCCTAATGGAAGAACAGAACAGTTCATTAATTTGCACAAAATCCAGTCAGATTGGCAACTCTGTGATGGTACTTGTCAGGACTCCAATCCACAAAACATTCGTAGTGCTACAACATTTGTAAGGCTATGATAAACTAAACTATGGAGTTACAATCAGTTGTAATCCTGCGACATCTTGATGGATCGGTACCCTGGTTATGAAGTTGCAAATCCAGATATTTTTTTTATTGAACTGAAATATAGGTGAAAATAAGAAAAAGGTTGCTTGTTGTGTGACACTGCGCTCAACAATATTTCAGCAACATTTCAGCAAATTTCAGCATTGGTTCAGCAATATTTCTGCAATATGTCAGCAATGTTTCAACAAATATTTCAGTAATGTTTCAACAATGTTTAAGCAATATGTCATCAATGTTTTTTAAAGCAATATTTCAGCACTGTTTCAACAATATTTCAGCAATGTTTCAGCAATATTTCAGCACTGTTTCAACAATATTTCAGCAATATTTCAGCACTGTTTCAACAAAATTTCAGCAATGTTTCAGCAATAGTTCAGCTAAATGATGGAGGACTGTAATTACTGAAGTAAGGACCAGACAGTCCAGTGCGAGTACTACGATCTACGCTGACGTGGTACAATGACCCACAATCAACAAGGTCACCCGGCCAATCCATTCCAACCAGAATTGGTTGCTTGGGAAATATTCTAACCCAGCATCTTCACAAGAAATCAGAGTTTAACATCTGATTCTAATGAGATTAAAACTACAAGTGTTTCCTACCTTCTCTGTCATTACATCATATACCCCGGAACTTTCATAACAAAAGTCCTTGAGACCATCCAATAGACATACAGTGTAACACGTTTATAACAAGCATGGATACAGCACACATAACAAACTATTTAAACAAGTCTCACGGCAGCTCTATATTGACATACAAAAATCAGATCGAAATATCTATGACTCATTATGAGTCAAAGCACAGCATTTATGATGTACCGGGATATGTATCCATTCTCAGTCAACTAGGTTCATTCCAAGTCACCAAGGGTGGTCGGGTAGCCTAGTGGCTAAAGCGTTCGCTCGTCATGCCGAAGACCACGGTTCGATTCCCGACATGGGTACAATGTGTGAAGCCCATTTCTGGTGTCCCCCGCCGTGATATTGCTGGAATATTGTTAAAAGCGGGGTAAAACCAAACTCACTCACTCACTCACTCACTCCAAGTCACCAATAGCAGTAATCTGATGCAGTTTGCTTTGAACAGTGTGTTAGTGTTGTCTGCCAACCAGTTCACACACAATTTCCCTGAAATTTACATTACCACATCTGAATGAACCTTGGCTTAAAACTAATAAAATAGACTGAACACTTATGTGATTTTTTTGTTCACATTTTCAATTTTCATTTCAATCCAAGATGGCAGATATTCCCTAGTTTGCAATTAAACTACAGATACACTGATTTTCATGGCCACTTGAGTTTTGTTATATCCGAGTTTTTTCTGTATTGAGTTACCATAGCAACAAGTAGAGTTTCCATGTCAGACCATTTTCATAAACAATATTATTTATGAGGTTTCATAACATTTCATGGTTGTTGACTACTTTATAGCAGAAATCATAGCAGTGGACACTCTTGCTATGGGAGTAGATATTGGCAACAGATGTCTTTTTTAAAAATGTTTTATTTTTCTATATTCATATGTTTTACAAACCTTCCAAGACAATAACTTCCATGTTCCATCTGTACAAGTATATTACAATCAACAACTGAGGACGGGAATTGTAGACTAAAATTATAAAACATATTTAATTGCCACTTTACAAGACCTGAATATTTGGTTTCAGAACATTGCTCAAGTTCTAAATGGAAGACCAGGGATGGTGGAATATGACATCACATTAAAATTACCGACACACAATGTCTTGATGTATGTTTTCACTCCATCCATGTATGAACCATCCCAGTTCTACCCATTCTTAGAATCCATTGTAGCCATTGGATCCCCATCTAAACACTGTTGTATGGCAAGTACAGGGGTCACCCCCACCCCCACCCCCCACAATCCCATGCAGAGCTAGTGTAATGTATGCACAGGAGAACTGTTGGTTGGTTGGTTTGATGTTTTACGCCGCGATCAGCAATATTCCAGCTATATGACAGCGGTCTGTAAATAATCAAGTCTGGACCAGAAAATCCAGTGATTGATATTGTGACCAATGACTTACTTCAACCAAGTCAGCGAGCCTGACCAGCCGATCCTGTTAGTCGCCTCTTACGACAAGCAAAGTTGCCTTTTACGGCAAGCATGGGTTGCTGAAGATCTATTCTGACCCGGATCTTCATGGGTCCACAAGAGAACTGACCTGGTTCCTGAGACAAATCTGGTGAACAGCATAGAGCCGATTTCAGTGGCCGTCCTACTGTCTGCCGCACTGCTTGGTGAGAGACCCATCCCTGAAACATCATGGCATGCACTGTCTGAACTAGATGAACACCATGGCATGCACTGTCTGAACTAGGAGATGAACATCGTGTGATGCATTGTCTGAACTAGGAGATGAACATCGTGTGATGCACTTTCTGAACTAGGAGATGAACATGTGTGATGCACTGTCTGAACTAGGAGATGAACATCGTGTGATGCACTTTCTGAACTAGGAGATGAACATCGTGTGATGCATTGTCTGAACTAGGAGATGAACATCGTGTGATGCACTTTCTGAACTAGGAGATGAACATGTGTGGTACACTGTCTGAACTAGGAGATGAACATCGTGTGGTACACTGTCTGAACTAGGAGATGAACATCGTGTGGTGCAATGTCTGAACTAGGAGATGAACATCGTGTGGTACACTGTCTGAACTAGGAGATGAACATCGTGTGGTGCAATGTCTGAACTAGGAGATGAACACGTGTGATGCACTGTCTGAACTAGGAGATGAACATCATGGGGTGCACTGTCTGAACAAGGAGATGAACATTGCGTGATGCACTGTCTGAACTAGGAGATGAACACGTGTGATGTACTGTCTGAACTAGGAGATGAACATCGTGTGATGCACTTTCTGAACTAGGAGATGAACATCGTGTCGTACACTGTCTGAACAAGGAGATGAACATTGTGTGATGCACTGTCTGAACTAGGAGATGAACATCGTGTGATGCATTGTCTGAACTAGGAGATGAACATCGTGTGATGCACTGTCTGAACTAGGAGATGAACATCATGGGGTGCACTGTCTGAACAAGGAGATGAACATTGCGTGATGCACTGTCTGAACTAGGAGATGAACACGTGTGATGTACTGTCTGAACTAGGAGATGAACATCGTGTGGTGCACTATCTGAACTAGGAGATGAACATCGTGTGATACACTGTCTGAACTAGGAGATGAACATCATGGGGTGCACTGTCTGAACAAGGAGATGAACATTGCGTGATGCACTGTCTGAACTAGGAGATGAACACGTGTGATGTACTGTCTGAACTAGGAGATGAACATCATGTGGTGCACTGTCTGAACTAGGAGATGAACATCATTTGGTGCAATGTCTGAACTAGGAGATGAACATCGTGTGATGCACTGTCTGAACTAGGAGATGAACATCGTGTGATGCACTGTCTGAACTAGGAGATGAACATCATGGGGTGCAATGTCTGAACTAGGAGATGAACATCATGTGGTGCACTGTCTGAACTAGGAGATGAACATTTTTAGGTGCACTGTCAGAGTTATGAGTGAGTGGGTATGATTTTAGGCCGCTTTTAGCAATATTACAGCAATATCACTGTGGGGGACACCAGAAATGCGCTCCACACATTGTAGCATCTTGGGTATCTAACGCGGGCCTTTGGTGTGACGAGCCATGCTTCAACCACTAGGCTACCCTACCGCCCCATCTGAATTAGGACATGAACATCTTAAGGTGCACTGTCTGAATTAGGACATTAAATGGCAAGTAAAGTCGTCAAAGAAACTTTGCAGATTTTAATACTTCAGTGCATACTGAATCACAAATGCTTGACAAAAATTATATTTAAAACCGAAATAGCATAAAATAGACAATAAAAAAGCGCCCCCCAAACGATAGAAAGGGGATTCAGTGGATAATTATGATATGGGAGTGAGTGAGATGGGTGTGAGTTGAACTCTGCTTTGAACAGTATTTCAGTTACATCATGACCTGTCAGTTTGATGTGGTAGGCAGGTTGAAGTGATGCAGGTCCTACATGTTACTTTGGTGAAACCAACAAGCTTTGTTTGTTTGTTTGTTGTTTAATGCTGCACTCAGCAATATTCAAGCTATATGACGTCAGTCTGTAAATAATTGAGTCTGGACCAGACAATACAGTGACTGACATCATGAGCATCGATCTACGCATTCGGGATACGATGACATGAATCAACCAAGTCAGCAAGCCTGACCACACGATCCCGTTAATCGCCTCTTACGACAAGCATAGTCACCTTTTGCAGCAAGCATGGGTTGCTGAAGATCTATTCTACCTAGGATTTTCACGGGTTGAAATAAGCAAGCAAGAGTATGGCGGTGAAAAGGAATAATGGCCAGTTGGAATTCTTACCCGCAACCAAAGGTTTCTGTCCCACCTAAGGGATGCAACTCTGCCTCTACTAAACAAGGTCTCACCTAGTGATATCGGGTTGTGTTTGGTGTCAAGGAGTCGCTCGCCATGCTTCTCAGCACACTGTCTGAGACAGTCGGCCAGGTACGTGTACATCAGCTTCCTGTCCCTCAGAAGCTGTTTGTACCCTGCCACGCCCAGCGACAGCAGAGTCATCAGCAGGTCCAGGGACGGCGAGGCCGAGGCTCGACCTGAAACAACAATCAGGTCATACTGAGCTGTGGAGTGACCTGAAACAACAATCAGGTCATATTGAGCTGTGGAGTGACCTGAAACAATGATCAGGTCATACTGAGTTGTGGAGTGACCTGAAACAACAATCAGGTCATATTGAGTTGTGGAGTGACCTGAAACAACAATCAGGTCATATTGAGTTGTGGAGTGACCTGAAACAACAATCAGGTCATACTGAGCTGTGGAGTGACCTGAAACAACAATCAGGTCATATTGAGTTGTGGAGTGACCTGAAACAACAATCAGGTCATACTGAGCTGTGGAGTGACCTGAAACAACAATCAGGTCATATTGAGCTGTGGAGTGACCTGAAACAACAATCAGGTCATATTGAGTTGTGGAGTGACCTGAAACAACAATCAGGTCATACTGAGCTGTGGAGTGACCTGAAACAATGATGAGGTCCTACTGAGCTGTGGAGTGACCTGAAACAATAAACAGGTCCTACTCAGCTGTGGAGTGACCTGAAACAACAATCAGGTCATACTGAGCTGTTGAGTGACCTGAAACAACAATCAGGTCATACTGAGCTGTGGAGTGACCTGAAACAACAATCAGGTCATACTGAGTTGTGGAGTGACCTGAAACAACAATCAGGTCATACTGAGCTGTGGAGTGACCTGAAACAACAATCAGGTCATACTGAGCTGTGGAGTGACCTGAAACAATGATGAGGTCCTACTGAGCTGTGGAGTGACCTGAAACAATGATGAGGTCCTACTGAGCTGTGGAGTGACCTGAAACAATGATGAGGTCCTACTGAGCTGTGGAGTGACCTGAAACAATGAACAGGTCCTACTGAGCTGTGGAGTGACCTGAAACAATGATCAGGTCCTACTGAGCTGTTGAGTGACCTGAAACAATGATCAGGTCATACTGAGCTGTGGAGTGACCTGAAACAACAATCAGGTCATACTGAGCTGTGGAGTGACCTGAAACAACAATCAGGTCATACTGAGCTGTGGTGTGACCTGAAACAACAAGCAGGTCCTACTGAGCTGTTGAGTGACCTGAAACAATGATGAGGTCCTACTGAGCTGTGGAGTGACCTGAAACAATGAACAGGTCCTACTGAGCTGTTGAGTGACCTGAAACAATGATCAGGTCCTACTGAGCTGTGGAGTGACCTGAAACAACAATCAGGTCATACTGAGCTGTGGAGTGACCTGAAACAACAATCAGGTCATACTGAGCTGTGGTGTGACCTGAAACAACAAGCAGGTCCTACTGAGCTGTAGAGTGACCTGAAACAATGAACAGGTCCTACTCAGCTGTGGAGTGACCTGAAACAACAATCAGGTCCTACTGAGCTGTTGAGTGACCTGAAACAATGATCAGGTCCTACTGAGCTGTGGAGTGACCTGAAACAATGAACAGGTCCTACTGAGCTGTGGAGTGACCTGAAACAATGATGAGGTCCTACTGAGCTGTGGAGTGACCTGAAACAATGAACAGGTCCTACTGAGCTGTGGAGTGACCTGAAACAATGATCAGGTCCTACTGAGCTGTTGAGTGACCTGAAACAATGATGAGGTCCTACTGAGCTGTGGAGTGACCTGAAACAACAATCAGGTCATACTGAGCTGTGGAGTGACCTGAAACAACAATCAGGTCATACTGAGCTGTGGAGTGACCTGAAACAACAATCAGGTCATACTGAGCTGTGGTGTGACCTGAAACAATGAACAGGTCCTACTGAGCTGTGGAGTGACCTGAAACAATGATCAGGTCATACTGAGCTGTTGAGTGACCTGAAACAATGATGAGGTCCTACTGAGCTGTGGAGTGACCTGAAACAATGAACAGGTCCTACTCAGCTGTGGAGTGACCTGAAACAACAATCAGGTCATACTGAGCTGTTGAGTGACCTGAAACAACAATCAGGTCATACTGAGCTGTGGAGTGACCTGAAACAATGATCAGGTCATACTGAGCTGTGGAGTGACCTGAAACAACAATCAGGTCATACTGAGCTGTGGAGTGACCTGAAACAACAATCAGGTCATACTGAGCTGTGGAGTGACCTGAAACAACAATCAGGTCATACTGAGCTGTGGAGTGACCTGAAACAATAATGAGGTCATACTGAGCTGTGGAGTGACCTGAAACAACAATCAGGTCATACTGAGCTGTGGAGCTGCGGGGACATATCTCCCTCACAGTATTATCTTGTCACGTTGGTGCAATAGTGCATGAGTGAGTTGGGTTTAATGCCAGTACTATAATAACACTATATAACAGTACTCCAATTTAATCACAATTAAAGTCAGCTTAATGTTGGAAAACATGACGTGATGCAGGTCTCTGACGTTTACCAGTTTGGTGAAACCAACAAGCATGGGTATGGTGCTGACAAACCTAGAAACAATCAGGGATTCGAACCCACAATCATAGGTTTCTGACGTGAGAATTGCCCGCCTTAGATGATTGAGCCAGCCTTAGCCCTCCGATGTTCCAATAGAGACTGATGTTCCTTTATCAGACTTTTTATCGTTCCCCTGCACTGACTCATTCTCCCATCTCTTTCCTTACCTGGATATGTTTTGCTGATCTCCTCAATAAATGTTTTGTCGAATCCGGCGATGATGGCGCCACCTACCGGCACCATGAAGTTCTTGTCTGTGCTCTGCACAAACGCATCAACTCGTCCCACTCTGGCGGCCTACATACAAACAGATGTACAACACAATGAATCTTGATGATGACTAAACCAGCTGACTTCACATTGAGCTATAATTGGGTTTTCATTAACACTCCAGCTACCATAAGCGATGGCATGTTGCAGAAAAAACTAATGCTAGTTATCACCTTGAATTGTCATATTAATAATAACTGCTCTTAAATCAATTATTATCTTATGTTCCTGGGGCACTTGTGTGAGTGAGTCATGTTTTATGCCAATTTTAGCAATAGGACCCAGGGATGCTGGTACCTGCTGTAGAAGGTGACAGCACTTGGAGCTCTGCACCCCGTAGGCGTTGTTGACAACATGGGGGACACCCTGCTCCTTGCACAGCCGCCCAATCTCTTCTAAACTGAAACATGTCAACAAACAATATAGAGCTGTAAACATACCTGTGTACTACACCCACCCGTCTATTACACCCACCTGTCTATTACACCCACCTGTCTATTACAACCACCTGTCTATTACACCAACCTGTCTATTACACCCACCTGTCTATTACAACCACCTGTCTATTACAACCACCTGTCTATAACACCAATCTGTCTACAATACTAACCTGTCTACAACACCCACCTGTCTACTACACCCCCTGTCTACAACACACACCTGGCTACTACACCCACCTGTCTACTACACCCACCTGTCTACTACACCCACCTGTCTATTACCTCCACCTGTCTACAACACCTGGCTACTACACCAACCTGTCTACTACACCCACCTGTCTATTACCTCCACCTGTCTACAACACCCACCTGTCTACAACACCCACCTGTCTACTACACCCACCTGTCTACAACACCCACCTGTCTACTACACCCACCTGTCTACTACACCCACCTGTCTACAACACCCACCTGACTACTACACCTACCTGTCTACAACACCCACCTGTCTACTGCACCCACCTGTCTACTACACCCACCTGTCTACTACACCCACCTGTCTACTGCACCCACCTGTCTACTACACCCACCTGTCTACTACACCCACCTGTCTACAACACCCACCTGTCTACTGCACCCACCTGTCTACTACACCCACCTGTCTACTGCACCCACCTGTCTACTACACCCACCTGTCTACTACACCCACCTGTCTACAACACCCACCTGTCTACTGCACCCACCTGTCTACTACACCCACCTGTCTACTACACCCACCTGTCTACTACACCCACCTGTCTACAACACCAACCTGTCTACAACACCCACCAATCTGCCACCCTGGGACTCCCTGTCTACTACACCCACCTGTCTACTACACCCACCTGTCTACTACACCCACCTGTCTACTGCACCCACCTGTCTACTACACCCACCTGTCTACTACACCCACCTGTCTACTACACCCACCTGTCTACAGCACCCACCTGTCTACTACACCAACCTGTCTACTGCACCCACCTGTCTACAACACCCACCTGTCTACTACACCCACCTGTCTACTACACCCACCTGTCTACAGCACCCACCTGTCTACTGCACCCACCTGTCTACAACACCCACCTGTCTACTACACCCACCTGTCTACTACACCCACCTGTCTACTACACCCACCTGTCTACAACACCCACCTGTCTACTACACCCACCTGTCTACTACACCCACCTGTCTACTACACCCACCTGTCTACTACACCCACCTGTCTACAACACCCACCTGACTACTACACCTACCTGTCTACAACACCCACCTGTCTACTGCACCCACCTGTCTACTACACCCACCTGTCTACTACACCCACCTGTCTACTGCACCCACCTGTCTACAACACCCACCTGTCTACTGCACCCACCTGTCTACTACACCCACCTGTCTACTACACCCACCTGTCTACTACACCCACCTGTCTACTACACCCACCTGTCTACAACACCAACCTGTCTACAACACCCACCAATCTGCCACCCTGGGACTCCCTGTCTACTACACCCACCTGTCTACTACACCCACCTGTCTACTACACCCACCTGTCTACAACACCCACCAATCTGCCACCCTGGGACTCCCTGTCTACTACACCCACCTGTCTACTACACCCACCTGTCTACTACACCCACCTGTCTACTGCACCCACCTGTCTACAACACCCACCTGTCTACTACACCCACCTGTCTACTACACCCACCTGTCTACAGCACCCACCTGTCTACTGCACCCACCTGTCTACAACACCCACCTGTCTACTACACCCACCTGTCTACAACACCCACCTGTCTACTACACCCACCTGTCTACTACACCCACCTGTCTACTACACCCACCTGTCTACAACACCCACCTGTCTACTGCACCCACCTGTCTACAACACCCACCTGTCTACTACACCCACCTGTCTACAACACCCACCTGTCTACTGCACCCACCTGTCTACAACACCCACCTGTCTACTACACCCACCTGTCTACAACACCCACCTGTCTACTACACCCACCTGTCTACTACACCCACCTGTCTACTACACCCACCTGTCTACTACACCCACCTGTCTACTACACCCACCTGTCTACTGCACCCACCTGTCTACAACACCCACCAATCTGCCACCCTGGGACTCCCTGTCTACTACACCCACCTGTCTACTACACCCACCTGTCTACTACACCCACCTGTCTACTACACCCACCTGTCTACTGCACCCACCTGTCTGGCACCCTGGGAGTGAAGCAGCTTGTGGTAGACATGACACACAGAACGTTCTCCGCCCCCACCTCGGCCATCTTGTCCCGGATTGCTGCCACATCCGTCTGCAGCTCGTCACCGACCAGTTGGTTCTCAATCACCAGCGGCTGAAAACCTGAACAAGGAGAAGCAAACTATCAGTCCCTGTGGCTAAAAGTACAAAATTCAAAAACGAGTGCAAAATCGGCACCTCCGGAAGCGTTAAATGACCAACATGATCATCATTATCATCAAAAACATACCGATTTCCCCCTCTAAAATAAATACAATCTCAGCAAAACACAAATCAAAATCCAAAACAAAACAATTCCACAAACTTCCATTATAAACAGGTATCAACTTATAAGACATACAATTATGAAAATAAATACGCACAGTGTCACTGATATATACCAGCATTTATGATAAGATGTAAACATACTTTATGTAGTATTAATACCACAAGAGTGATTACAAGCGAGAATTATTTATTTCATTTTATTGTAGGATTCATATTTTGTATGTTTGAATTGCATGTTAAATGTTTGGGCATTATTCAAGTGTAAAGATTTGATAGATAAGCTTGAAAATAATACAAATTAATGTAATGATTGAAAACAAAAGGCAATTCTGTGATTTTTCTGCAATTCTGCAGAAAGTCACATTTTCAGCAAATCTTTTTGCAGAATTTAAGAACTTGTATCGTACTGAACTGTCAGGCCAATAGCATCAACCCAGAACTTCCCTGGATCTATCTGTCAGTGGATCCACGAGACTCTCAGGAATACTATTTGGACGTCCAAGTCAGGAAATCATCAGCCTCAGGTTGACAAGTGTGACTACTTCTATATCTACTAGAACCCAGTGATTGATATTGTGAGCAAGGGACCCTCGCTGTTGGGCTACGATGACATGCAATCAATCAAGTCAACGACCCTGACAACCTGATCAATTAAGTCACGTCTTACATTCCTCATAGGTCGCTGGGGTCCTATTCTAATCCGGATCCCCCACGATTTAACACAACTGGCTCAGGCTAGTGGTAAGCAGTATGACTGGTGCGGTATCTCTATGCAACTGAAGCAGCTTTATCACAGTTTCTAAGATGCTTCGCTAAAGGATCAAAAGCGCCAACGGTACGTTATCCTGTGATAAAGTAGACTTTTTGAGTTACGTCATAATGGGCTGAAGGCATGATGCTGTTCAAATTACCTCCCCCGTGATCTAATGTATCCTTGGTAACATGATTCTTTCATTACTGTCGAGGAAGATGGTGCATCCACATCAATTACCGATCAGTGAAATAGTTTCTATAACCTTGTTGAATACTGTATATTTTAAAATTAACACGAGCCTGAATTAAATGCAGCCTCACTGCACACTTTGGATAGCGGAAACACTAACTTTAATATAAACACAAACATGGTTTATTGAGCAGCAGTTGTAACAAGTACATAACAATATCAATTAAAGAATAGTCAGTGAATGAGTATGGTTTTACGCCGTTTTTAGCAATATTCCAGCAATATCACAGCGGGGTACACCAGAAATGGGCTTCACACATTGTACCCATGTCGGGAATCGAACCCGGGTCTTCGGCGAGACGAGCAAACGCTTTAACCACTAGGCTACCCGACCGCCCCAATTAAAGAATAGGAATTACACAATAGACATCCGGTGAGTTATCACTGCTGGGGTCAAGAGTTCTACCCACTTGTGTCAAACTAAGCATCATTGACCACTCCAATCAAAGGAACTGTTGTCGGTTCAACTATCTTATTGCCTTTGAACATTCTTAATGCCAGTCAACAGAATAAAAACATATAAACTGTGTGTTGTTTTTAGGAAAACACTGTTTATTGTTATTACCGAAGTGCTTTACTCAATGTTAATAAGCGGTGCTATTTGTGTTCCACTGGTGATGGGGTGGGGGGGTCGCATTGATTTGTGCCACCGTTTTGGCTATGGGTCAGCAGTCGTATTAATTTGGACATGCACTAATTTCAATATTTACAGTAACTGAATATTATTACCTGGGAAGAAGTATGGCAAGATGATGTCAACCATCTCTCATGCACCCTCGTGCTTTAACTATAATAGTTCAGGGCTAAACCAAACTTCATTACACTATATAACACAGCTACGTGATAAACCACAAAGAACAATGCAGAACGAAGCATGGTTTATTTCATGATACAACATTGTTCTATCGTGACCTCATTTCTGGAGATTCAAACATGCGCTCGCAACTTGATGACGTCATATATTGGACGACGTTATTTTGGAGAGGGAAGTGTCTTGTAAGTTGTTCCCCATAGATGTTTCTGGGCAATGCAGATAAATGCAGTGGCCGAACGATCGCATCCAAAAGTCAGAGAGATATGACAATTGGTATTAAGAGAAAAGGTACAGATAACTGATGTGAGGATCGTGAGAATATGCAGGACATACCAAACTTAACCCACCTGTTCCTAAAATGCACCTGTCTGATATTTCCGGGGCCGTATTCTATTGAGGGAGTCATCATTATTAAAGTTTGGGTAAATATGTTTAAAGCGCATACATTTTATCACCATAATGTACCCAGTGAGTTCTTCCCAATAGATGTAGCTGGGCAACGTATATTAAAACACAATGACCGTACGGTCGCTTCCAAAAGTGGGAGAGATATGACAATCGGCACTGAGAGAAAAGGTACATATAATCAAAGTGAAAATTGTGAGAATATGCAGGAAAGACCAAATTTACCACCCCCGGTTCATAAAATGGACTTCTCCTACATTGCTGTGGTCGGATTCAATTCAGGGTGTCATCATTATATAAATACGGGTAAATATTTCTAAAGCGTGTACTTTTTACTACATCCTTAAAGAGGCTGTACCTAATGTTGATATCTCATGTAAAAAATAAACAACTCGTGGTCATTGCTTATCATACAACAGCCTCTCATGCTTTATTCTCCCTGCAGTGTTTATTGTACGATAAACAACTCCCACTCGTCATTTATTTCTTAAATACATGGGGACAGAGCAAACGTCATTTCTTACTTATTTGTAGTTTTAATGACACACCTGCTGTGATGATGGACTTGAAGCAGGACTTCTGGTCGATCCGTGGCCAGATGACGTACTTGGCCTGGGGTCGACGCAGTCGTAGAGTTGACATGCACAGCACCAAACTCATGCCTGTTGCCATGGGAACAACAAAACAAGCAGCTGCTGACTGAATACCTGAAGAACACACCAAGTCATCATTAGTGACGGAGCCACCGACAGCCACACTTCAGCTACATCAGCCTCCAGGCCCCCACCCAGATGGCAAATAGTTGGAGCTTAACAAGGTACATTCTGAGTGGGCTGAAAGTTATATGTACTTTACCCATCAATTAAGAACAAGGAAGGTAAAAATTGGAAAAAGGAAAGTGTGACAGTAATGAGGGACTTAAATTGTTAAATCAATCAGCTGAGTAAGTAATAATCTGTTGTCATTCATAACATGTCTTATCTTTCATGAAAAAATTTCATACTTTTTAGAAAAAAAATCCTTTTCATTGGGTCAAAAATAGTCCTTACACTGTAAAATGTGTGTATTTCCCCAAGTCCTACCTGATATTCTGATTGCATCCAGGGCGAGGCTATTGGTCAGCTTCATCAAGACACTGGAACCAGCAGCTTTAGGCTGTATAGCCGATATGTCCCCGGAACGTCCGATGCCATGACCGAGTCTGTCAGGAGAGTGAGGAGTGAGTGAGTGAGTTGGGTTTAATGCCGCTTTTAACAGTATAACAGTCACAGCGCGGCGTGTCAGCTTAGTGTGGGAGGAAAGCCCGAAGTGATGCAGGTTTCAGATGTTTACCACTTCGGTGAAACCCTAGAACACGGGTATGGTGCTGACAAACCTAGAAACTGGGATTTGAACCCACAATCATAGGTGTCTGGCGTGCCCAAGGGATGCAACTCTGCACAGCGAATCATGGCGCCTTAGATGACTGGGCCACCCGTGCCCCCAGAAGAGTGAGGAGGGGAGATAGTACAACAGTACCTACACAAATACAGGACAGCTACCCCTACACAACAGAAGTGTCCCCCAGGAGAGTGAGGAGGGGAGATAGTACATCAGTACTTACACAAATACAGGACAGCTACCCCCACACAACAGAAGTGTCCCCCAGGAGAGTGAGGAGGGGAGATAGTACATCAGTACCTACACAAATACAGGACAGCTACCCCCACACAACAGAAGTGACCCCCCAGGAGAGTGAGGGGAGATAGTACAACAGTACCTACACAAATACAGGACAGCTACCCCTACACAACAGAAGTGTCCCCCAGGAGAGTGAGGAGGGGAGATAGTACATCAGTACTTACACAAATACAGGACAGCTACCCCCACACAACAGAAGTGTCCCCCAGGAGAGTGAGGAGGGGAGATAGTACAACAGTACCTACACAAATACAGGACAGCTACCCACACAACAGAAGTGTCCTCCAGGAGAGTGAGGAGGGGAGATAGTACAACAGTACCTACACAAATACAGGACAGCTACCCCCACAAAATGGAACTGCCCCCCAGAAAACTACCGGTACCCTGTACTCCATGCCCCACTTGACAAGTATTGGAGTAAATTGTTTTAATTCATGACATTTATTCAGGACTGTATCCTATAACTATCTAGAACTGGAATCCACTTTGCGACAAAGTGATGATGAGTCAGTGGATGTAACAAGCTAAGCACCTACAAGTCGGCACGCACCTTTTTTATTAAAGGGGGTGTTACTGCTTTCATGAAACAGGACATGTGCACTTAAAATATACACATTACTAGATGCAAACAAGACAATCTAGGTGGGACTACTGGTCTGGAAATCACTATTGGGATAACTATTGATATTGCAAGAAACTATTGCGATAACTACTGATATTGCAAGCAACTATTGCCATAACTATTGATATTGCAAGCAACTATTGTGATAACTATTCATATTGAAAGAAACTATTGTGATAAATATTGATATTGAAAGAAACTATTGCAATAACTATTGATATTGAAAGAAACTATTGCGATAACTATTGATATTGAAAAAAACTATTGCGATAAATATCAATAGTTTTCAAGACGGATTTTAGAGTTGAATTCAACCTTGGAACTAAAGTTTCCTTTGAATGTGATAACCCAATAACAACAAATAAAAAGTAAAGTTTGAGATATGACTGATTTGTTTTTTCTTTACCCTAAAAATTTATGAAAAAGAAGCTTCCACATTACCATGTGTAAATTACTACCACTCATGATCAAAAGAAAAACAAATTTGAACAGCATTGCATTAACAATCGAAATTATCGATATTCCTAACTGAAATCGATACTATTGACCGAAAACTGATTTAACAATCGATTTATTGACATTGTGCTTACCAATAGCAATATAGCAATATTTGGATTTATCGTGACACCCCGAAGACAGACAATGAGCAGGGAACACTAATACCGACTTAGACTCAAATATATTTCTCAGTTCGAAGCATGAAAAAAGCAATAATTTCTATGAAGGTCTATTAGCATGATTAGGTGGGGGTATAATTAGAAACATGGAAACAATTTCATTTGAGAGCCAAAAATTAATCAAATAATTTCTATTTTTGCTACCAAATTGGCACCAAATGATTCCCTGAACATGCTAAAAATGGCATGAGGAGGGTCATCCCTTCATTCCACCCCCTAACTACAATGTTCTATTTGAATGTTAGCTTTGAATGTTTAGTCTAAATCAGACCTGCATCCTAGTTGACAAAATATTCTGTAGTATGGTTCCTGGCATTCCTTGTGTTGTGTCATCTTTAAGCCCTTTACATCACACCCTATCTTCACACATAGCATTGTAACAACTGCCTTATTTACACCTACGAACAACACAAGAAACACAAGTTTTCCACTCAACAAACCTATAATGTCGCTGGGCAACCAGACCTGACGCGATCCTGGCCTCACGTTCACCCACACCACAGTTGCCCATGAAGTTGTTGCTGTCCATGACTGCGAGCTCCTGCAGCAGCAACTCAATGGTCTGGTCACTCCATCCCTCCTCCGGCAGCTTCCGCTGCAACATGTACCACACAGTTCGGAGGTCCACCTCAAGTCATAATACGCGGAACAACAGTACTGGGGATGGACACTGTATGATAAGTAGGGCTGGCTATCGAAACAGGTCATAGAGATCGATAGTCATTAACTAAATACAGTAAACTACATTTATAACGAACATGCTTATAACGAACTGACAGACATAATGAACTGATTATTTTTATCCCGTCCATTTGCCGTATATACGCAGTAAATATGTGTTACGTTTGTCATCATGTCATACAAAGTGTTGCTAAGTAACGTTAAGTAATTAGCAAAGCAAACGTGGTAAAATTAATTGTAGACAAGTGAAGCTTAGGGTTGACAAGTAAAGTTAAATGTAGACAAGTGAAGCAAAGTGTTGCTAAGTAAAGCAATGCGCAGCTATGTAAAGTTCAGTGTAGCTAAATAAAATTGAAGTGTAGCTAAGTAAAAACCTACATGTTGCAGAAGGTGGCGAATCTTGCTTTCATGAATCTGCCTGGCCTGCGCCCCTTGGCCCACATACGACCCTGGGACCAGCTTCTCACACAGCTGACGAATCTCCTCATTCATCCTGCACACCGGGACATGGTCACATGATGATCATTATTATTACCCGCAGGGTCAGAATTAAGCGTTTTTATAAAAATCGTATGTGCACTTGTGCAAATATCACATCACACGGACCAGTGTAGTGTTTACGTCATCTATCACATCACACGGACCAGTGTAGTGTTTACGCCATCTATCACATGACACGGACCAGTGTAGTGTTTACGTCATCTATGACATGACACAGACCAGTGTAGTGTTTACGTCATCTATCACATCACACAGACCAGTGTAGTGTTTACGCCATCTATCACATTACATGGACCGGTGAAGTGTTTACGTCATCTATGACATCACACGGACCAGTGTAGTGTTTACGTCATCTATCACATCACACAGACCAGTGTAGTGTTTACGCCATCTATCACATTACATGGACCGGTGAAGTGTTTACGTCATCTATGACATCACACGGACCAGTGTAGTGTTTACGTCATCTATCACATGACACGGACCAGTGTAGTGTTTACGTCATCTATCACATCGCACGGACCAGTGTAGTGTTTACGTCATCTATCATATTGCACGGACCAGTGTAGTGTTTACGTCATATATCACATCACACGGACCAGTGTAGTGTTTACGTCATTTATCACATCGCACGGACCAGTGTAGTGTTTACGTCATCTATCACATCGCACGTACCAGTGTAGTGTTTACGTCATCTATCACATCGCACGGACCAGTGTAGTGTTTACGTCATCTATCACATCGCACAGACCAGTGTAGTGTTTACGTCATCTATCACATCACATGGACCAGTGTAGTGTTTACGTCATTTATCACATCGCACGGACCAGTGTAGTGTTTACGTCATCTATCACATCGCACGGACCAGTGTAGTGTTTACGTCATCTATGACATTGCACGGACCAGTGTAGTGTTTACGTCATCTATCACATCGTACGGACCAGTGTAGTGTTTACGTCATCTATCACATCGCACGGACCAGTGTAGTGTTTACGTCATATATCACATCACACGGACCAGTGTAGTGTTTACGTCATTTATCACATCGCACGGACCAGTGTAGTGTTTACGTCATCTATCACATCGCATGGACCAGTGTAGTGTTTACGTCATCTATCACATCGCACGGACCAGTGCAGTGTTTACGTCATCTATGACATGACACGGACCAGTGTAGTGTTTACGTCATCTATCACATCGCACGGACCAGTGCAGTGTTTACGTCATCTATGACATGACATGGACCAGTGTAGTGTTTACGTCATCTATCACATCACACGGACCAGTGTAGTGTTTACGTCATTTATCACATCGCACGGACCAGTGTAGTGTTTACGTCATCTATCACATCGCACAGACCAGTGTAGTGTTTACGTCATCTATCACATCGCACAGACCAGTGTAGTGTTTACGTCATCTATGACATGACACGGACCAGTGTAGTGTTTACGTCATCTATCACATCGCACGGACCAGTGCAGTGTTTACGTCATCTATGACATTGCACGGACCAGTGTAGTGTTTACGTCATATATCACATCACACGGACCAGTGTAGTGTTTACGTCATTTATCACATCGCACGGACCAGTGTAGTGTTTACGTCATCTATCACATCGCACAGACCAGTGTAGTGTTTACGTCATCTATCACATCGCACGGACCAGTGTAGTGTTTACGTCATCTATTACATCGCACGGACCAGTGTAGTGTTTACGTCATATATCACATCGCACGGACCAGTGTAGTGTTTACGTCATCTATCACATCGCACGGACCAGTGTAGTGTTTACGTCATATATCACATCGCACGGACCAGTGTAGTGTTTACGTCATCTATCACATCACACGGACCAGTGTAGTGTTTACGTCATCTATGACATTGCACGGACCAGTGTAGTGTTTATATCATATATCACATCGCACGGACCAGTGTAGTGTTACGTCATCTATGACATTGCACGGACCAGTGTAGTGTTTACGCCATCTATCACATCACACGGACCAGTGTAGTGTTTACGTCATCTATCACATTGCACGGACCAGTGCAGTGTTTACGTCATCTATCACATCACACGGACCAGTGTAGTGTTTACGTCATATATCACATCGCACGGACCAGTGTAGTGTTTACGTCATCTATCACATCGCACGGACCAGTGCAGTGTTTACGTCATCTATGACATGACACGGACCAGTGTAGTGTTTACGTCATCTATCACATCGCACGGACCAGTGCAGTGTTTACGTCATCTATGACATGACATGGACCAGTGTAGTGTTTACGTCATATATCACATCACACGGACCAGTGTAGTGTTTACGTCATTTATCACATCGCACGGACCAGTGTAGTGTTTACGTCATCTATCACATCGCACAGACCAGTGTAGTGTTTACGTCATCTATCATATCGCACAGACCAGTGTAGTGTTTACGTCATCTATGACATGACACGGACCAGTGTAGTGTTTACGTCATCTATCACATCGCACGGACCAGTGCAGTGTTTACGTCATCTATGACATTGCACGGACCAGTGTAGTGTTTACGTCATATATCACATCACACGGACCAGTGTAGTGTTTACGTCATTTATCACATCGCACGGACCAGTGTAGTGTTTACGTCATCTATCACATCGCACAGACCAGTGTAGTGTTTACGTCATCTATCACATCGCACGGACCAGTGTAGTGTTTACGTCATCTATTACATCGCACGGACCAGTGTAGTGTTTACGTCATATATCACATCACACGGACCAGTGTAGTGTTTACGTCATCTATCACATTGCACGGACCAGTGCAGTGTTTACGTCATCTATCACATCACACGGACCAGTGTAGTGTTTACGTCTGACCACCCGATCCCGTTAGTCGCCTTTTACGACAAGCATAGTCACCTTTTACGGCAAGCATGGGTTGCTGAAGACCTATTCTACCCCGGAATCTTCACGGGTCGCAACATTCTGAAGTCACAATATATTGATCAGTTAGAAACCCACAGGAAATATTTTTTTTGTAAATTGAAAGAAAATGCGAGTGGTAATCGGGCACCACAATCTACATAGGATTTATAATGGTGGTGTTCTCGGCCGTGATGTAGGACCCAATCGCCGAAACACGTGTAGTTGGTTGATGTAAACAACACATTCTGTAATCACGGATGAAGCTGTCGACAATGACAGTCCTGTTCATCACATCTGTGAGGAACATTTGCGACTGACGATGACACCACATATATCTCGTTACATAATGATAACGTTACTGTCTAACGAAGTTACACCGAGTCGGATAAACCAAGAATACTCACTTGTCACGTTAGCCCAGTGCGGCTCCCGATAAACATCGAAACTCCACATGCCGGTAACCGTGTATGGAGCAAGAGATAACTCTAGTTATACATGCTATAGCAGACCACTAACATATTATTACTCGCGCTGCTTTTCTTGTTTGAGAAGCTATGGTCTCTGGTAGTGATGACGAAATTGTGTAAGCTTTTGAAATTTCACTTAATCATTCATTTATTCATGTTTTTTTAGCGTTTTATATATCAAATTCGGATTTGTCAACTACCCCAAATTAAGATCAAGTACCACAGGGCCACGGATAGCCATAATATACTGACTGTACTGATTACATTTAAAAAAATGTAATGTAATCAGTACAGTCAGTATAGTATGACTATCCGTGGCCCTGTGTCAAGTACCCTCAATTCACCCTGGATGGTGGAGAAATCTCTGTCTCTCTGTCAGGTACTCAACATAAGATCTCTATCTGGGACCCCTCTTTGTAGACTTAAACATATTTGTCAAAGTTTCTCAACTGAATAGCTGATCCACAATGACAAATTATATTTATGGATATAGCGACATCCCTCTTTCCGTCACTTGTAACATCTTCGCCTGTAGTAAATGACACATGTGTATCAGCTATTACTCTTGTTTGGGAATTATCGTTTCAATATCTCAACGTTAGATAAATCGAAATCAAACCCCGAGAGGCTCTAAGATGAAGCCCTAAAGCCGGATTACAGGGGATTTCGTTTTGGCACTAAGTGAGGAATTATCCACCCTTCGCTTTCCCCGGGGGGGGGGCGTATAAACAGGGAAAGAAAATCAAATATTATGTGTCTTTTAACAGAACAACCACTTTCTTTAAGTTTCGTGTTCGAAAAATAAACCTTCATTCCCTAAGCTGGCATATGTTTACCTAAATGTTATAAACTGTTGTACTTGAAAGTTTCTTCAGTTGTTTTATCTCTAATATATTTTTGATACACTCCCTTTTCAGCAAGAGGTTCAAATCGAGGCTCAAGAGCTCTTCACTCTATCTGGCGTTCAACACTTTCTGATAAATGGCCATCTTCATTTTCTCAACTATGCCATTGCTATGATGAATGATGAGAGCTAAAATCGTTTTCTCAGGCGAAATATACTTGTAAAGGTGCGTGCATATAGAAATTGATCTCGACTCCATATTATATGAGAATAATTCAGCCTCACGAGAATTAAATTTCAAATTTGCCATTGTACCTAATTTATATTTTGTAAACTAAGTTGTGGTCAGTTTTAATGCGACTGGTGGGGTAGCATGGGTAACCCCAAATGCAGTACGGTTACAACTCTACAAAAAGTGTGAGTGATTTAGTTTAAATACTTTGAACAGTATTCAGTTTGTGATGCTTTGTTGAAAAGTGTTAGTTTGTTTGTTGTTTAACGCAGCAATATTCCAGCTATATGACGGCGGTCTGTAAATAATCGAGTCTGGACCTAACAATTCAATGATTGACATAATGAGCATCGATCCACGCAATTTGGATACGATGACATGCATCAACCAAGTCAGCGAGCCTGACCACCCGATTCCGTGAGTCGCCTATTACGGAAAGCATGGCCACGGTTGGTGAAGACCTATTCCACCCCGGATCTTCACGGGTATGTTTGTGTATGAACTAGCGATGCGGCGTCTGCGACGCGCGGAGCGTATACGGGATATTGGTATCCTGAAAACTTGCCAATACGGTCAATGTTTCACGGTCTGTGATTACCAAAACCCCAAAATGTTGACGATCGACCCCGTTCAGGGCGCCCCAGGTCAACGACAAGAGAACAGGATCGATTGATCCGAAATTGAGCTCAAACGGCGAATCAAATTGCTGCAAACTTTCAACAGGAGTACGAGTTAGGAATCGTCTACATGCTGCTCATTCTATGCTCGACGACCACGTGTTGTGCCGCCCCTCACAAATCGTCATGTTGCCAACAGACGCCGATAGTGTACACGACGTAGACACCGGGGTAATCGTCGCTGGTCTCGCGTCATGTTTTCAATTCACTTTGCACTTCCTTGATAGACGTGGTCGTGCCTTGCGACGTCGAAATGAATTTCCAGCCAATGACAATCTGAGACCTCATGACACATGTGATGGTAGATCGGTTAAGGTGTGGGGTGGCAGCACTATGACTGACCGATCCCCACTCCATATTGTGCATGGAAGGGTCATTGGGCAGTACTATCGGTACAACAAAGTTTGCGGTGTTCGAAATACCTGCCTGCCCGACCGTCCGAGACAGGTTGATTTCAACTCGGGCTGCCAGATTTTCAAATCCCCCTGCCCGACGGTCGGGTTATATTTCATATGTGACAATATTCTAAATATTTCCCGATGAGGGCATTAATTCACATGTAAAGATGAATGATAAAATGTAACCAAAAAGAAACCCCGTTAGCTTATCCTGAGAAACATATGATTATAGTGGGCAGGCAGGTTTTGGACAGGGCTGGCAAGTATTTCAGCTAGCCAGTCCTGTGGTCTGGCTGAATTTTTTGGGAGTTTCATACCCTGAACAAAGGGTGTCAGCTTGTAGTGCTGTTAGATAGGCGTGTGGGTCGACGTTTGGTTTTCAGGACGACAACGCCCGTGCTAACTGTGCACAAATCGTCAATATTCACCTTCAGCAGCACAACACCCATAGAATGCCATGGCCAGCACTGAACCCAGACCTTTCCCACGCTGGACATGTCTGGACATGATATGGAGCGTCAACGTCATAGACCGCAAAACACGTTGGCTGAACTTGTCCACCCACAGCAAGAGGAGTGGGACAGAGCCCCTCAAATCGTTATTTGGAGACTCATACGCACTGTGCCTCCTCGAGTCAATGACTGCTTGACAAATCGTGGCGGTATTTCGCACTACCGATTCAAAAACGATTCAACTTAAAACATTTTTATCTTGCCCCTATCGTCCTTCAAGATAGTTGGCGGCCATAACATCAACTGTCATAATTCACTACCGGTTGTAACGTGTTCCCAATTCGTTAATTATTATCATGCAACTATTTCTAGAAACTAATATCTTTTACAATTTTGGAAATTTCAAGTTATTTCCGAGTATCCCATTTTTTAAGAGTATATATACTCTGCAAAAAAAAGAAACGCAATAGTAGTAAAATCGTAAATATCTGACAGTGTTGCCGACATCCATTCAAAATTAATATCAAAATTGAATTTTCTGCATGGATTGAGATTGATTTGTGTGGAAAGAATTAGGTACTGCAGGAAATTGGTGAAAAGATGGAAAAAACACAACCACGTGAGTGTCCGGCTCGAAACAGACCAACATGGCATGCACGTGCAACATCACTTGTTTGGCTATAAAAACGTTGGATTTTCATTTGCATGCCACTACAATCTTACAGCGAGTGAACAGCGAAAGCGTGCCACGACTGACGGAAGCCCAACGCAACAACGCCATCCGCCGACTGCAAACAGGAGAATCTTCTTTGGTCGTAGCCAGGTTTTTCAACGTAGCACCACGCACCTCCACAAGCCGTGTTCAGACACACGGGACCATTCCAGGTCCGGTAGACCACGTATCACTACTAGAGCATAGGACAGATTCATATGGCTACGTCGGTCCAGGCAGTGAGGAACCGTTTAGGCGCTGAAGGTATTTGCGCTAGATGACCAGTATGGCCACACGAGTTTGGTTTATTGACGAGTCACGTTTTATGCTTTGCCGTGCGACCTGTATACGTCGTGTTTACGGGCGTCGCGGGGAACGTTATGCACCAAACTGCATACAGGAAGTGGACAGAGTTGTTAGTGGTAGTGTGATGATGTGGGCAGCCATCTCCTATACTAGTAGAACAGACTTGGTGCAAATTCACTCTCTCTCACTCACTCACTCTGTCAATGTATGGTTTGTCTGGTCCAGATTTGATTATTTACAGGCCCCAATCTTGTAGCTGGAATACTTCTGATTGCGGCGGTTATTTCGAACATCCACTTACTCACTCACCCTATGAACTCGATGAGAATGGAACGAGAATACTTAATACCTAATTGCACAATCCCATCCTCGGTTACCCAGGGTATTTTATATATCCCCAGTCTATTATGATAAATACTTTTGGATGTTGTGCTACCACATAGCATGTTCTATTTTTAGAAAGTGATGTCTCACACTCAATCCCTCCCTCTTCCCACAGAATGTCTTTCGATGAATAAGTATATTGGTGCTACTAGCTTCGTTATCTCAGAGTTTATAGAACGTGACAAAAATGTGCGAGTATCGCGATACATATCTTGAAATAAAGACATAAAAGATGTAACACTCATGAGTGAGTGAGTGAGTATGGTTTAACGCCGCTTTCAGCAATGTTCCAGCAATACCACGGCGGGGGACACCAGAAATGGGCTTCACACATTGTACCCATGTCGGGAATCGAACAAGGGTCTTCGGCGTGACGAGCGAACGCTTTAACCACTAGGCTACCTGACCGCCCCAACACTCATAAGGCTGCAGTGTTTAATTGAAAAGGTAATGAGTCTTAATTCCAGTTTATGTAATAAAAAACAGCATCATTGTACAACGTACAGCTAAAACGTGTTTAGCACTTTCCGTGCAACATTTATGAAAGAAAGTTTGTTTTGTTTTTTTGTGTGTGTGTGTGTGTGTGTGTGTGAGAGAGAGAGGGGAATGTGTATTACGAGAGAGGGAGGTGTGTGTGTGTGTGTGGGAGGGGGGGGAGGGGGGGGGGGGTTGGTTATAAAGTGTATTATGCGAGCCTTTTACAAAAAATGTCACAACGCACAAAAAATCACCATGTCACATGTCTAAACTTGGGAACGTTAGTCAAAAGTTTTTTCTGATCAAGTAGGCATTTTATCATTGAATGTTTTTTTTGTACTGTTTTTTAAAAGTGACCTAATATGCCTATGTATAGTATTTTGGTATCAAATTTCTCAAAATGAATTATCGCATCGATAATACTGTTCCTAATGTGATAAATATATGTACGTGTATGTTGACTTAAAGATAATAGTAACATGTACTTCACTTCGGACTTTCCTTCTCCAAGAAGCTGAAACGCTGTGATATAACTGAAATACTGCCCAAAGCGGCATTAAAACCCATCTTTCTGAGGGAAGGACGTTAACTGACAGCAAATGTCCAGTTTCCTGTACTTTTATAGTCAGTTAACGCCCTTGCCTCGCGAAGATGCATTAATTCATTCACTCTCTCACTTTTCTAATCATTTCTTTCTCTAAGATGATTTATTTGTTTTTGTCTGTGGACGATTAAAGTTTTTGCATCAATCAAATTAGGTCATTTATGTGAGTGAGTGAGTGAGTGAGTGAGTAGGTTGTGTTTTAAAGGAAGCTCATTCCATTCGCTGTTTATTCCAAGTGGAGCAGTTCGAGAACATTTTTCGATTTTATCAATTACAATTGTTTCCGGATTCGAACCCAAGAACAACAGATCCTGGAGGGGTTGAAACCACTGCGCCATCTAGCGGGATCAGGGTTCCAGCATAACTAGAACCGCCTAGCATAACTACGGTAATGTTTTTTGTGAGTATTAAGACCTCGTCGTGTCACCAATAGGTTTTCCGTTTTCTGGTCCAAAACCGTAGGATCGATTGTAGAAATACACAGAATACAAACATAGGTGGAGGGACATTGTAGGGTAAGGGTCCTTACCGACCCACTGGAAATGTTAATTTCCCAAGCTACGGTAAACAATGTTATAATGTTGTGAAAAGTTTCATGTTCAAACGGTTGACAATTGGTCGTTTTTCTTTCTTACACTTGCAAGACTTTTCGTTGGCAAGTACACAGGAATGGCAAAAATAGGCCGAAAAGGTCTATTTTTCGAATCTTAAGAGAAAATCGAGCAATGAGCAAGTCCATGACCCGAGATAATATATTTCAGCCTAGTGACATTTTGATACCGTTTGTAATTTTATAAACGTTTGTGTATATTTTCTTTTCCCCCGCAACCTATGTTTGTACTCTTTTTATCTACACGAGTGAGTGAGTGAGTGTGTGAATGGGGTTTTACGCCGCATTGAGCAATATTCCAGCAATATCACGGCGGAGGACACCACAAATGGCGCTTGGGTGTTCATGTTATACTGCGGCGTGGTATTTCAGTGGCATTATTGGCATTAGTCCGGACAAATACAAGCAGCCACACACACACACACACACACACACACACACACACGTGTATTGACGTCGCTGTTTAAGTGCAATAATCTTGAACGCGACGTTAAACCCCTTTTCACCTCACCACCTCGTATTTATACGGACCCGTGAAGATCCGGGTTAGAATTGGTTTTCAGCAACACATGCTTGTCGTAATAGGCGACTATGGATGGTCAGGCTCGGTGACTTGGTTGATGCATGTCATCGCATCCCAAATGGGGAGATCGATGCTCATGATATCAATCATGGGGTTGTGTGGTCCAGACTCGATTACCGACAGACCGCCGTCATATAGGTGGAATGTTGCTGACTGTGGCGTTAAAAAGCAAACAAACAAACAAACAACAAACAAGTCTTACTCATACGATTATCCATTTATCTGATAACTTCCATGACAATTCTCTAAATGTTTTCTTTTCTAATTTCGTAATTTTATGTGGGCCAAAAAGGGTTCTTATCATATCTTGTCCTTTTACAAACATGTTTTTGAATGATCTAAAATAACAAGACATAAAATATAAACATATATAAATATAAAGAGTTGACGTCTTCTCAGGAAAAGTCAAAGGGTCCCTCCCTCTGGATTCTTTTGGGTCAATACTTAAATTAGACACAACCGGAAGGGAAAAACTTAATTTTAGTCCACAATTGTGAGTCTTTTGGGTCGGCAGATTGAAAACGTTACTGTTTCCTTAGCGCCATTATAAATAATGTCCTAGTTATATCAATGTCCCTCGTGGTACATAATTTTACAGTTCTAATTTATACCCCAGGGACATTGTTGAGCAACCAAGTATATGACAAAATATTCAATAAACCACCGACCAACGTGTCATCTTGACTTCCTCCGATCTATGGGCAATCCATGACTTGGCTGTCGTGAAAACGTAAAATAACATCCCGGATATCTCAAACTATTTTATGCTGATTAGTGATACTAAGCGTGTTTCGCTGTTGTTGAAACTAGTGCCAGTTTACAACCTGCTCGATAATCAAGCATACAAAGATGTGGAAAACACTGGTTCCAGTTTCAGGCTTTCAGATGAGATCGATTCTTTCTCTGTTGCCCTTTCACGTGATGATAAGGACACAGACAGGGTGGTAAGAGCAAACTTAAATGTATACCGTTGAAAATTGGATTTGACCAAAAAATATATAAAATTGTCATTAAAATGTTACGAGGCTGAATGAAAACAGTCGCCGAAAAACAGCAAACGTATGGCCCAAAACCCAACTATAACACCCGTATCAAATACATCATTGAAGAACTATTTATTTTATGTTTCACGTTGTTAACACTTTATTACCATTTACCTTATATTTGGACACTGTTACTCAAATGATTGTTGCTATGTTAACCATAATATAATTACTTTATATAATATTAATTATCAACTGAAATAAATGGTGTGAGTCTTCAGGAGTATACCATGCAGGAAGTAGACATAGCTGCACATGAAACATACATCGTACTGGCACTATATACTATAGTATTTAAAATCATTTACAAATTACCAAGTAACTGGCCACAGGCACAGGTGACCCAGTACTGGAAAACTGGTTACGTTCAATGTTGGGAGATGGGGCAGCGAAGATACCCACCGTTTAATGATGAGAGAGGGCTGGGATGTTGGCCAGAGACAGAATATCTCTCCGTCACTGCTACAAGACATGTTTTTCTCTGAATGGAGAAGTCATAGGATTCCTTTAGAACCCAGAGAAACACTTTTCCATTTGTTGGAATAACTAATATTAACTAATTTTATAAAAAGCCGAAAGTGACATTTATTTTACAATGTAATATGCAATATGATTTTATCGTCACGGGGAATAAACACATTCCTTGTCAATACAAGTGTGGACTCGTGTTTATGGAACTTCACTGATCCTCTCCGACGTTGAATCACCATTATGACCAATCAAAACAGCTTCACTTGCAGCACGTGCATGCTGCACGCGCAGGTTGAATGTTTTGATCGTCTAGGGATAGTTTGTGTCGTATTCATTCAAGCAGCGATGTCTTCTTGGCTGAAATCAAGTAAGAAAGGAAATTGAACAATGAGAGCAAAACTTTAACACATCGTTGTGACTTGAATGAAAATGATAACAATATGATTTATTTTTCATTATGGCCCATGTTCATGTTGTTCCTGAAACTCGCCCAACCCTAACGTTGTTGGCCTTTTTCTTACTTTTCGAAAGCAAATTCGAATCCGGATCCACCGTTCTTTTTTCATTCCGCATTCGCCTGCTTTTTATACAGCACGACCGTGTTAAAAAGTGGTTGCTGCGACAGTCGTACCCTCTAAGATAGGGTCATTCTAAGTGATGTGATGATTTGATATGAATTTTTTTTTTGGTGAAAATTCTGGAGAAAAAACATTATGCTTTAGACCTTCCGAAAATAAAGAAATTGCCTTTTCACACAAATTACATTGTTGCAAGGCGTGTTTCTTTAAGAGATATTCAGACTTATAGTTTTGAATAACGTTTTTTATGGCAGATAAAACTGTGAAATATCTAATCTTTATTCAAAATCACACCTTTTACCACTTTTTAAATTAAAATTATCACACTTTAGCCTCACCTCGGCATTTTGTATTCTTTGGCCCATGAACCCATTTCTTAGGAATTTCACGAGCACGGTACACTGCTGACAAACCTGGAAACAATCGGAGCGGACCGCGATTGGAACCCATGATTATAGGTTCCTTGCGTGCCCAAGGTACGCAACTCTGCACATGTCCTGACATGGTGTAAGCAATATGTCAATGCAACAGTGGAATTCATACCTGTATCTCCACTACGCAAACAAGCAGACTGGAAACAAAGAATCAATAACGATGTCACTAAATCAGAATTCACGCAGAATGGTGTCTTATCGGTGTAAAAGGTCTTATTTTAGTTGCATTCAATCACATTGGACCTATGGGCATGACCACCATGATGGTCATCAACACCATACCTGTACGAAGCGCTTTGTCACAGCCACACGACTACACTTTTGAATCATTATATATTTATATCGATATATCGATTTAAACGATTACCTGTTGTTATATATTTTAATCGAAATTCAGAAATATATTATTAAAATGGCAAATATATTATGGTAATATTCAATATTCACATAACACCCTTCAAATCAATTTACTAATTTAAATATTATTATTTATTAAATATTTCATTTGAAATACTTTTAGTCTGCCTCAAGGACACGATGGTATTCGGAGTAAGACCATGAAGACAATGCAGAAAAAATACATAATATGTAGAAAATGTGACTTTTATTGTCAATTAATGTGTTTATCTCATCTCTTCCCCTGAAATATCAATCAGTTCTGTTAGGTCACTCGGTGCGAAAGCCATGATATTTGACAAGAAAAGACAATTGGATTTAATATATCCCTGGCAATCGATTTTGATATGTATTATTAATTCATTCCAGGAAATATTTTTTTTATACAAAATCTATCAAATGTTTCACGTTTGTTGGTGAAATCGATTACTCCAAAAATTATAATATTATCTATTTATAATATATTTTAATTGTAGCTGTGTTCCAATCATATATCGCGTTGGGAAATGTGGGGAATCGAACCCGGACCTTCAGCGCGCAAAGAGCGACACTTTGCCATGTAAGCCACTCCACCGCTGAGCATCACAGGATGCTTGAAGTAACATCGTCGCAAGTGATCGTCGAGTTAATTAATAAAAATAGGTTTCACAGTAGCATATGCTTCCTGTCCTCAGCGTTGAGAGTTGACGGAGTAGCCTAGTGGTAAAAGTGTTGTTTCGTCTCGCTGGAGGACCGGGTTCGATTCCCCTTTGCTGGTGTCCACCAGTCGGAAAGCTGGATAATTGTTGGAGGTTGTTTAGTGATGAGATAAATAGGAAGTTTTTGAAATCACTTACCTAAAAACCTCACGCAATTCATGCGACTTACTACACTCTCATTGAACTAGATTATCATATAGTCTGTGAAATCGTTTATTACACAATACATTTCTCTCCTCTAAAATTAGATAATGTTTCGGATGCTGATTTCATGTGGTATAGAGCTGTTTAGGCCTGGCTAGACTTGCTTTTGTACATCTATCTAGATTTGTTTTGTTTTTTATAAAATCCATACATTCCACGGTCATGGTGCGGGCCTACAGAGTTCCTTGCGGTCTGTCTTGTACTTCTGCCACAGGCGAGAAGTGTCGATTCGTCACATGTTACACAGTCCACTCAAGAAATTACTTTTTTAATCCATTTCATTTTTGTAAGATCTACACATTTAGATAAACACACGTCGTGAAATGGTTAACGGTCATTGGGAAAATATCCTAAAATGTGGGAAACATTTTCCATTTGCGTAGTTATCCGTTGTTTACATTGGTTGTACGGCTCCACGTGCTGTCATCGAAGCCGAACGGAGAGCTGGCGATACCGTCACTTTGATGTGTGAAGATATATTGTCATACTCCTGTCGCAGTTGTAGTAGCATATCTATATAACAATCAAAACGACATCTAAAGCGCAATGAAAATGCTTCCATTAGGCAAGTTTGCTCTGATTTCAGAACAAGCGCCTTTGTTTACAACGCTCACGTGATATGCAAATTAGCTCGTGCCAGGGTGTAATACTACGTCATCTCTGCGTAGGAGTGTGGACTTGGTATACTTACAACAGCATAAACCACATTCGTCATACACACAAAGAACTAAATAATCACATCTATCAGCATACCACCGACACCAATGAGTAAATCGCAAAATTTGTTGACGTTGATAATAAGATAGCTTGAACGTGGCATATCCAATTCCTCATGGACAAACGTTATATGCGGATATACCCCATTTGCAATAATTAACTGTATTCGAAATGCAAATAACGTTATCCGTTTACGATAAGGATTGCACAGTGTTAAGTAGTTTGCCGATAGACTTAGCTCTGTGCAAGCAAATTGATGGTTTACCCTTGCTAATCTCTCGTCGGAGAAATTATGTCCCGGCGATAGATCAAGCTCTCGGAACCTAGGTACGAAGCAAACATGACTTCGGAAGATAAGGGCTGAGTGTGGTGACACAACTTTTGATGAAAATTGATTTTTCTTGTTGTTTTATAATGTATGTAAACACAGATCGCGCGATAAGGCCGCTCACTGATCATGCGTTCGTCTGTATGCACAGGTGCTGCCTCTAAATCACGTGACGATGACAAGCGTTGATGACGACCGTCATCGCAAAATCATCTGAGACCGGATTAGACCAGCTTGTATCACTCCGAACCAAAATCCCGCTTGAAAGGACATAAACCACGAAAACGGAAATATTTTTTGGCATCGGCGCGATTTATATCCTGCGCGTCAGTCATTTTAATTGCAATGTTGTGTTTGTTTGTTAAACTAATAGTTATTCCCAGAAATAACGTTATCTTATTTAAACATATATATCTACAAAATATAAAGTAAACCTCAAATGGAGCCCAGAACAATGCATAAAGTCGAGGCAATATAGACTTGCCAAATAATTCTAGACTTTGGTTGTATTCAATTTTTATTTATTGTCTAGGGTCCTGTTTAAACAAACGAAGAGAGTTCTTCCTGCATCACATGTGTTTACAATAAAAAATAAACAAAAATAAAGTTCTGCCGCCCTCCTCACTTTTGTTAAAATGTGTCCAAGGAACATTTTTTATTCAGCCTCATAAACGGCGTGACTACATGTATGCGGATATATACATTTCATGATGTTTATAGGCGCGGTGGGGTAGCCTAGTGGTTAAAGCGTTCGCTCGTCACGCCGAGGACCCGGGTTCGATTCCCGACATGGGTACAATGTGTGAAGCCAATTTCTGGTGTACCCCGTCGTGATATTGCTGGAATAGTGCTAGAAGCAGCATAAAACAATACTCACTGAGGCACTCCAATCGTGACTCTTGGTGATAGTAAGAGGAAAGATGCTAGTGAGTGAGTGAGTTGGGTTTAACGCCGCTTTTAACAGTATTCCAGTTATATCACGGCGTGTCAGCTTAATGTGGGAGGAAAGCCCGAAGTGCAGGTCACAGACGTTTACCACCTCGGTGAAAACCACGAGCACGGGTATGGTGCTGACAAACCTAGAAACATAATCGGGGCGAACCGGGATTCGAACCCACATTCATAGGTTTCAGGTGTGTCCAAGGGACGCAACTCTGCACAGCGAATCGCGGTGCCTTAGACGACTGGGCCACCAGTGCCCCCCGAAAAGATGTTAGATAATGTATCCCATGACTTTTTCAAGAGCGACCCGTTCTTCTGTTCTCATCCGTGAGTTCGTTTGTTTGTTTGTTGTTTAACGCCGCACTCAGCAATAGTCCACTATATGACGGCGGTCTGTAACAAATCGAGTCTGGACCAGAAAATCCAGTGATTGACATCATGAGCATCGATCAACGAAATTGGTATACGATCACACGCATGAACCATGTCATCGATCCCGACCACCCGATCCCGTTAGTCGCCTTTAATGGCGAGCATGGGTTGCTGAAAATCAATTCTAACCCGGATCTTCACGGGTCTCCTTCATCAATAGTCAGTGACCGTGCCTCATACTCATGTGTTCTATCATACACCTCACTGTCTCGACCAAGTCATTTCATTACGTGGTGGCACCTGGTCACATGTAAGGCGAAGTTAAGCATCGTTGCGGAGAGTGGGTGGATGGGTGACCGTGTTCGGCGGATTGACTTTTGAAAGTTTCTGCAATGCATTTTTTATCCTGTCACGCGGGTATGTGGTGTCTCTTAGGCAAGATACTTTGTTCGAAGCATGCCTCTGTTCACGCAGCAGTGAATGGGTACCCGGTAGAAATAGAATAGGTGACATGACTGTAAACTTTCCAACGCCTCATGGCAGTTTATCTTTTGCCCAGGGGTCTGAGTGAGTGAGTGAGTGAGTATGGTTTTACGCCGCTTTTAGCAATATTCCAGCAATATCCCCCCCCCCCCCCCCCCCGGGGGGTCTGAGAATAAAGTTGCTTGAGTGCACAGAAGGGGGTAATGATAAAGTGACACTATTATTATTATTATTATCATTATTATTATTTCTTTTATCGTTGAACCAGAAAATAAGCAAGATCTCGTTATATGCACCACGCTAAATATCAAGCCTCGTACTCACTAACACACTCAACAACCACTTTTTTTTACGTTTGTAGTGTCGATGTATTGCACCCAATGAATTGAATGCGTTGGTTAGAGTTTACATGTTTCCCTCCAGGTAATCCCCAAATGGAGCGAGGAACATGACGCTGATTTCCCCATACCCACGGCCCCGTCCCCCTCCCCCTCCCACCCTACCGGGTCTGTCTGATACCCCTATACCGTCCCCCTAGACGCCGGCCACCCTTCAACGCACCTCAAGTGCCTGGTTGTCGCATTCGTCCATGTAGACAGCCAATCGCTCACAGCGAAGCCTCCTTGAGTCCAGGAGTCGAACCCGATGGCGACGTCGTTTTGTAAACATCGCCGTCCGCTACCCGGGTACCCTGATTCCATCCGAGCAACGCCCGGCCTGTGAGCGTAGCGCGTCCTATCTGTACGTCAGCCCTCACACTTTGAAACCTGGATGGCCTTCCTGAATTGGCATTAGCGATTAGCATATGTCTAGTAACAATAGGATCGGTCGGTTGGGTTGCAGTCACTGCAAATATGATGTCTGGTCACTCCAGTGCAGGGAAAGAGACCGACTCTCCTGTAGACCAGATGGACATATCTGATACAAAGTCCAAGATTGATCCAAGGTGAGAGTAGAGGTGTTATAAGCAGAATATGACATATACTGATATGCATCAGTCTCTGTGTGGTAGGTTATTCTATAATATTGCTTCAAGTGAACATTCCACGTACATTTGAAACATACAAAGTCACATTATTTTGACGATGACACTATAATGTAACTTAGAATACCTTTTTCATTTTTTAAATCATAGAATCAAAATCAATTAGAATTTTGTATATATACTTCCATCTCTTAAAAGAAAAGCTTTATCATACATGATATATTTGACATAAACAAATATTGATGGACAGGTCTGGTCCAGCAGTTTTCAGGAAATACTTAAAGAATAATTTATTTTTTTCTAAAATTCGTAAACTGTATACGTTTTTATTTGATAGACGAGTACATAAATTTATTTGATTATTATTTACCTGGTTTGAGATCATAAATACAAATGCCAAATATTTTGCGGCACATTCTGTCAGTAACAACAATTCTGATGTTTATTAAATACGTTCTTGTTTATTATATTTCAGCGTTTTGTTATAAATGTACTACACTGTAAAACGGCTTTCACTGGCAGATGAAATACTATAGGTTCTTATTCATTCGTTAATTATATATTGATATCAAGTACTTAATTAAATAATTTGTTACTATGTACAATTCATCCCCGCGATTCCAGCATCAACTCCCAGTGACTTTCTTACATATTGTTACTATTACTTCGTTATAATAATCATCACAAGCATATCGGAACCATCTTAATTCATGTGTGGCCTAAAACATATTCTCTCTTGCACACCCAGAGCATATATTTCTTATATATTTAGCAAAACAACCACCCCTGTTCGATTCGCAGCCCCTTCCTACTTCCAGCATAATCTACTCTTTCCCTGTTAGCACTATGTGAAAGTAAGAGACGAAATGGTTCCCCAATACATGATGGTTCCTTCATAGACTTATTTTATTTAACCTTATACATAACTGTATTTTGGGGACTAGATTTTAGTCCAGCAAAAGACAAACATCACTAAAGATAACATGTCTAAGATACCCATAATCGGTTGTGTATTTTGCGAATCTATTTATTTTTATTTTTTAAAAACTTTAAAATAATAATTTTAAAAAATAAAAACATGTAGAAATATTCTTTGAGTACTAATCGCCAGTAGATGTCTTTTTAAAATATTTTCAATTGAAACTCAAATATGTGATAAAATCAGCTGAGAGATATAGTTTCTTTTGCTTCCCGGGTTATATTGTATAGTGTTGTTTATATTTGCTGCTCCCTTGAACTAATATCAGTTTCCATGACGTGATTTCTGTAATAATAAATAAAGGCATATCGGAGAAGAAAGATGATGTCATACCAAAGAAACTTAAAAAAAAGTTTAATGTTTGGAAACACAAACACAGAATATATCAAAACAGTTTTAGTGTGTGTAGGTTCATTTATTACGCAATTTAAACATCTTTTAAATGTGGTATCTACAATATTTGACTATTCGATTTAATCATATAAATAACGAATTGTGGGTGACATACCTTCTATAAGCATATTAAGATATAATTTCCTTGTGTATTAACGGAGTGGCTACCGATTTCATTTAAATGGTTTGACCGAGTAACGGGTACATGAAACAGAGGTTGATAGAGTAACGGGTACATGAAACACACAGAGGGCGTTCGCTTACGGCGACGTACTGAAAGGCGATTAATTGATTAAGGTGCATAAGAACAACTTGGTTATTAAAAACACACAATTCAAGGAATCTTGACTGATTGAATACAGCTAAATTTGATCAAAACAACCGTTAGGTCTACAGTTATCATTGAAATGTCATATTGGAAGAATTTCACAACGAAGGTCATGTTCTTACAACGAATGTTAATATTCTTCAACAAACGCAACACTATTATATAGTCATTGTAAATGTTTAAGATTGTCGTATTACATTTTTAAATAGGATTTAATGCGCACTTTTTTGTAAAGCAAGAAAACTCAATTACTAGAAGGACGAGCTTTGTAATAAGCTGCTATTCAAATCATATTCAACTTGATTCTGCGTATATCTGCGTCGGCTCCGATAATCAACGAGTCAACTGTCATAAGTTCCTGAATACAGTATTGTGTTACTTCACATTTCAATAATATTAAGGAGCGTTGTCATTTTTTGTGTGTGTATTCACTTGGTGGTAGAGGATCTTATTTCTTGAAGTCGGGTGTAAAAGGAGCGGGTATAAGAAGGTTGGGCATTGATGTTATGAATGCAGAACAAGGCGACGCTTTAGTTCTCTGTTTGGCTATCCGTACGGCCGGTGTTGACATTTCCAACCTTCGATAAATGCGCTCTTAAAGCAACCAGTAAACACGTGAATATCACTGAGAACGGTACTTTACGTTATTTGGAATTGTCGATGTCTGGCTTCATCACATTTACCACAAATTATGCCACAGTTTTTCGGTAAGGGAGCTGTTCGAAGCTTCAATGTGTCATATACAAAACGTACTTTTCTTAAGTTTGTGACAAAAGTTGACAAAAGTTGATTTTTGTCGTATAGGATATTTGCAAATTTGTTAAAGTCCCTCCTCTCACCGAACTCGGCTAAGAAGAGATATTTGTAGCGAATAATTCGATCTTTGTAGGTAATACTGTTACTGTTAGTAACGTTTGTGGCTATAGGATTGTAGCCCCACTAAATTACACATTGGACTACTCTTGAATACCATTTTATACTTTAGAATTGTACACTTTGATAAGTATATATGTTTTGTACATGTTTTTTTTCTTCAAATATTGCCATTTTCAAACACTTCAGCTGAGATTTTAAAGAAATAAATTGGAACTCAGTACGAATATTTCCATTGCTTTTACATCTGTGACTTAACAGTTATTTAATTAACTCGTGATGTCAGAAACTCCAGGTGAGACTGGGTGCCTATGTGTTGGGTGTAGTTACAGGTGAAATTGATTACCCACGAATCAGCAATGTATGGTTAAGGAGCACATACAGTATTGCTCTGAAATAGAGACTCATTTGCATTTGCAGAGGTCCGTGAAGTGGTCCCCTTGCAATCTGAAACACGGCACTTTGTGTGCACGGTCGGTCGAGGACAACATGCATCAGTATGTGTTGGCCTTGACAAGGAGGACAAGAGAGTTGTTATCATAAGGTTCTTAAAAGCTATACACAAATTATTTTGACAAACTGACAAATATTTTCTGAGGATGCATACATTCACACATTTCACATTTTCATTCGTAGACGCATGCTTGTCAATCCAAAATGGACACTCCAGCTCTTACTTTCCCGTTTTCCAAATGTGGCCAGTTTGCACATTTTTTCCCGCCACAAGGAGGCAGGGGTATCGGAAGGGGTGCATTTCATCCCTGTGGCCTTCAGTTCAATCAAAAGCAGCATACAGTTAATAGGATGAAAGCAACATTACTCGAGACATTGAATGAAACTGTCTCTTAATGTTGAGAAAATACATCAAGTTCAAAAATGAAAATGGGATCATATTTCACAGAATTGATTCTGATTTTTTTCAGAAAATGGATGTATAATTATTTCATTTCGTTAAAAGGATAAAAACAAACATATTTGAAATTAAACTTTACAAAGCGTATCTTAAGGGTCATGAATACTCTTAGAAATTGAAATATGTGATTGTAGTTTTCAGAGTGACACATATTTGTTTCTGAATTATAGAAAATCAAATGACACGACGACCTTAGCAGGATACAAGGACAAAATTTTAACATGGTAGAACTTGAAAGATGTATATGCTATTTTAAAGATACATTATTCAGTATTCCCCCATATTATCATGATTCTGTTTTTGAGACGAGTGTAAGTACATGATTCTAATATGTTTTTAAAACATTGTAATTGAAAAGTGTACTATCATATGAAATCCGCGTTTAACTGTTTGTTTACATTTACATAACCAGTATACAAATACATGGAGTATAAATTTTAATATTTAGAAATCCGGGGCTTCAAATTACATCTCGTTAACCATCCAGTCTATTTCATATTACTAATTATGAAATTAATAACTTGATACAAGACTATAACTTTACAATTACATATTCATCGAAACAATGTGTCTTTATCAGACTTCTATCACAATGATAAATACCCGCTCAGTAAATGATATGCTTAAACAGGCTTTTCCCTGATCCCTTTAAGTGAACTGTTTGTATTCCATATCATTTGGACGGCATTTGTGTAAATATCGACACAGAGGTATTGACTAGAGGTCTGTAAACAATAATTTGGGAATTACTCTTAATACCTCTGTATTAGCACAAATTCCAAGGTAGGCCCACAGAACTCGGCATTAATCGGGGGTAACAAAGAAAATTGTTTTCTCTGGTCCTTTGCCCGTACAGCCTCTCCATGCCTATTAGAAGGGCGACGCTCTGACGCGGAATGGCAAAACACGGATCATGGCCGTCTTCGTTCAGCACCTGCTGGTCTTGATTGGGGAAAGGGGTTTGGGGAGACATCAAATCAAAATAAAACGTGGGTTTATCAAACAATGGATATTGTCTAAAATTGAGATAAATAGTTCTTGATAGAGACTTATATTTTAACAATTAATTGCCGAAATTAAAGCGCAATATATTTTTTGTTCTTCAGTCGAGTTGAAGCCAAACGCAACACGAAGACATGTAACGTTTTATGGATAAAATACAAAAAGAGGAACTGCCCCATTGATCTTGCCCGAGTCATACATGGAGACGCGTCTGACGGTACCACCAATCACATATCTAGTAAACTGAAGTGTAACAACATAACATTATTATTATGGTTCTGATCTTCAAGCCATCTCTTGAAAACAGAAATCATTTTATGCTTATTTTTATTTTCATTATATTGCATGTATGGCGAGAATGTACTTCACGAGACAAGAGGCTGTATATTACTTTTTATTTTTTTATGTTCCTAATGTGTTTTAGATTTAGTACAGGAAACGCATTGAATTAGGAATAGTAAAACATTTCAGTTTGTGCCATACACTGTGCGTGCGTGCGTGCGTGCGTGCGTGCGTGCGTGTGTTGTTTAACGCCTCCATCATGATTCTTCCATGACACCTATAGGGCGCTCTACAAAATTAATGTTGTCTCCTTACGTTTTGTAACAAAAGTTGATTGTTGTCGAATAGAAACCTAGCTGTTACACTCCCTCCATCCACAGAACTCGTGGACTGCCACTTGCACCAGTTAAGAAGTGATATTTGTAGAAAATAGTTTGACATTATTCCACATATATACGGCAGCCTGCACATGGTCGTCATTTGCCAGACAACCCTGTGACCTGCAACGTCACATGACGTCGAGTACATGAACTGCAATCAACCAAGTCACATGACCGACCATGCATCCGCTTAGTTGTCTCTAGAATGTATTGGTTGCTGGGGATCAGTTCTAACCCAGAACCCCCGCTGTGTTTTTGTTTGTTTGTTGTTTAACGCCGCACGCAGCACTATTCCAGCTTTATGACGGTGAACTGTAAATAATCGAGTCTGGACCAGACAATCCAGTGATTGACATCATGAGCATCAATCCACGCAATTGGGATACAATGACATGCATCAACCAAGTCAGCGAGCCTGCCCACCCGATCCCGTTAGTCGCCTTTTACGGCAAGCATGGGTTTCATGAAGACCTATTCTAAAAGGATCTTCACGGGTAACCTTGTTTATGAACTCACGATTCTAAACACTAGTTGACATTTTGACAAATAATTACACAATTTCACTTGAACAACATTATACACTCATATATATGCAAGAAGGTAAAGAGACACTTTATATTTCTAGATTTTATAAAATCGTATCCTTTTTCATTTCTACGACTAAACATTTCTAAGATCTGTTATCTAATGACATGTTTAGTAACTATTAGACGACCCTTTCATCTGATTCCTCTTTTTATTTGCATGATATCGTCCAGTTCTTGCGACAAATACCCGGCCGCGTCATACCAAAAGTGTTAATTGACGGTACTTGTTATTACCCTGCCTGCGCTCGGCATTGAGGGGCTAAAACTAGGAATGGTGGTTTTCGAGTCAGTATACTGTGTCTGAGTGGGGTATTCATGTAAACTGCAGCATGGTAGCCTAGCAGTATAAAACCGCCATTAGTCCGGACTAGTACAAGCAGCCAGACACACACGTGCATGCATGCATGTCACTATACAAGTACAATAACCTTAAACGCAGCGTTAAACCCCATATCACTTCACCTCACCTTCTAACGACCATCTGGAGGAACATCATGGATTTCGTCGATCTGATATCAATGTTACATGTAGATACACAATTTTGGTATTTCTAAAACACAGATGGTAGTTCGAGACATGAAAAAGAAGATGGGCTGATGCTTGACATTTTTCCGGGTGTACAGATAGACGGAAGATCCTCGTTACAAGAAGCTGTGGCTTGTGATAAGTCACTTAACTACGGCAAATTACGTGTCAAGAAGATATGAGTTTTGATCTCACTGTACACATTAATGCCGGATTCTGATGAGGCTGAGACCACTTCTAGCATTTCCACTGTTCCCCTCTAACATGTTAGGCACATTTCTTATGCTTTCGTGACCAGCTCGTGTTATTCCGGGACAAGCCGAATAGCAACTCGTGCCCCTCTCATGGCCATTTTTCCGACCTGGTTCCGTCTAAGCGCAAACGGGCATACCTAAAACAATTGTCAACTCGTTGCGTAATGGTTCACTTACATTTCCCCATATATTATATATTTCAGATGCAATTTAAAGCACATCAGGACATGCGGAATTATACAGTATGATTGAACACATTAAACTGTGCCTTTGGTATATTTTTAGATGCAAGACATATGTAAAATCAAAAAATATTTCTGAGGGATTCTTTGACGAAGAACTTGAAATCATACGCGCACTCTGATTGGGAGACGAGTCTTCTTGCAGGTTACGGAAAGGGGCGAGTGGTTCCGAATGATTTCTTATGGTCACCGCTCGAATTGCCGAACTGTTGGCATTACATTTGCAACATACCAACCGCAAGTTTGTATCTCGGGTTATTTATGTAAGACGTCATTCTCCGGATATTTACGATATTTTCCAAATGAAAAAATGGGGGAATAAGTTTGTTTTCTGTCGTCTGCTTTTTTTCCATGGATGTGAAAAATTAACGAAGTGGATTAATGCCTAACTATGGTATTTTTACCGATTCGGACCAAATGAAAGTACGCATACATAAGGCATGTCTGCATTATAATTAGGAGTGCGGTAAGTGGAGCTCGACTCGGGCAAATCGGCAATCCTAGCTGCTTCAAATAAACTTTAAAATATTAATAACTTCAAGTTTAGGACGTATAATTATTAATTAGTTGATGGTTACCCTAATTACATAGCTATATTGGACTCCGGGTTAGACTAAATCTTCAGCCAGCATGCTTAGTGTAAGAGGCGACTAACGGGTTCGGGTGGTCAGGCTCGCCGACTTGGTTGATGCACGTCATCGTCTCCCAATTGCGTGTGGGTCTTATGCTCATGACATCAATCACTGGATTGTCTGGTCTTGACTCGATTATTTACAAACTGCCGTCATTTCGTGTTAAACAACAAACAAACAAAGATGCCAAGTGGGGCAAAACAAGGTAGGCCTATACCGAGATGGGGTTTTTTTTTTTATGTAATGGAAAATTGAAAGAACTGTTGTTAAATTTGATTACGTCTATTTAACCATCACTTCTTCCTAAAACAATTTTTTTTAAAATAATCTGTGGCTGAGTTATTTGGTGTAAAATAAATTGTTTCAGTGAAGACTGGGGTAAGAACTGAATTTGCAACCACATGCCCCTACCATGTTTGAAATGTACATTTGTGAGGAAAAAAAGCAGATTTTACTTATAAGTTGTCTTAGACTCCAATCAGCAGTTGTGTATCACGCAAATTTCTTCTTTTCATTTTAAAAGTTTTAAATCAAATTATATTTTAACAAATAGAACCATGTGAACGTATTCTTTGAATGCTGGCTAAGCGCCAGTACAGTTCTATGTTTTTAATAATAATACCACTAACTTAAGATATTTTCAAATCAAACATACATGTATGATACAATCACCTGAGAGGTGTGGTTACTTTTCATCCTCCGTTCAACACGAGGCAATAATCACAACGACTAGATCCATAATGAACATTAGCAACACGCCATGGACAACAAACCGACTTTAAAGTTTCCAGATCGACAACCGTCGTTATTATTACTGCAGGTGTATTTACGTCCTAAAAAAAACATATAAAAAATCCTCCTGTAAATGTTTTCAGTTCAATTCGGTTACGTTTGTAAGCTCTTTTGGACTGTTTTTGCATTATACGTTTTTGCTCTTGGGACATTTACCTCGCTCAGTATTTATCCGTCTACCAGGAACTGTTTTACAAAACACATCATTTGAGTCAATGTCAAATTGTGCCCTAAACACGCCTCAACGTATTATAACATGGCAAACAAAATGTTCAATAATGATAGCTGCTTGTGTATTTTCATACACACCTTTTAGCATTTGGAAGCTGAAAAGCTTTTAAAAGGTGTTAAAATTCCTGAAACGAGTGGAATCATATTAGCCAAATGATCGCGTTAACTATCCCTAGCGTAATGGCGTTGAAGACTGGTGTCTTGCCACAATAAATCCGATCAGCCTACCTTCTATCCCGTCTACAGAATAGGTACGATGTTGAACCAAAGGGCATCCAGGACTACACCTTTCCTCCCTCCGACGTAAGTCCATGTCAAGCAACGAGTTAAACTAAAATGGCCCCCTAGCTTAATTCCCTGTCCTTATGAATGTAATAAGATACTGGAGGTGATAGAAATACCGCAAAGTGTATTAGCATTTTCTAGCGTTCGTGTATGAATTTGGCGTCTCGTCGCACGCGCCTCTCAAAATGGCAGACGTTCGTGTGTGCCACAAGTAGAAGTCAAGATGGCGTCTGGCAGTTAAGTTCTTCCTCAGTCGCGGACAGCATACAGTGGTGTCGGCGCTAATGTCAAGAGGTATCAGATTGCTCCTAAACTCCACAAACCATGGCCATGCTGCACGAACCCACTTACTGGCGTCTGATTTCATTATATAACCGCCGTATGGTTGACCGTTCACTGAAGCTTAAATCTCAATAACGTCAAGTAATTCAATTAGAAACACGAACTGAAATGCTTCCTATTTTATGCTATTTGGCCATAACAACATGTGTATGATGATTTTTTTCTTGCCTTAATTTGGTTATTTGGTCCGTTTTGTAGGAATTAGGAATTAGACAATTTTCAGACGTAGTGTAATTAAATCAAGGCATTTAAATTTCACTTTAGTTGTTTACAAATTTAACATTTATCATGTTGATCAATCTAGCAATGTTTTATTAGTCTTATTATCCAGACATAATGTCTCACTCTCACATAGGGTATAATTTTACGTCTGGTCCGAAACTAGAATTTGGTTCCACATAGCCTTGTCCTTCTTTAACCGACTGATTCTCGAGCTATAACAGAACTTAACGTGTGATGAGCGCGTGGAAGCACGAAAAATTGTGATGAACAAGTTGCATTACTAAAAAATATAAGCTAACCTAACCTATAAAAATAAACGTGAACTGTTTTGGGAGAATGTCCCTTCGGAAGAGTCCATTTCCTGTTTACTGGCCCACCTGCAAATCTTTCACCCAAGTTGTTGTTATCGACTGCACGGATTATGCAGGTCGTTGTCAGGTCGTGATATGTAGCTCACCAGGCCCAAAAGGCCACGTGAGCTTAAGACACCGCAAGTCGTCCGTCGTCCATAACTATTTACAGTTTCTATAAATGCCTTATGGATTAAGCTGAAAGTTGATATGTTGATATTTGTTACCATAAGTGGGTTCAGGTTTGTCCAGGATACATAGTTGGAATTTCAATATGGTCACCAGGCAGCCATCTTTGATTTACAAGGAAAACAATTAAAATATCCTCTCCCGAAGGCCTGGAACTTGATGAGTAAGATTGTCAGTGGGTGTATGTAGTTCCGTGTTTGTTTCAGATATATTAATCGGAAGTCAATGATGGCTGCCAGCAGTCATACTGGATAATACACAATCTCATTCAAATCAGATCTTAGTTCTTGCTACCGCTAAACAAAGATCTGAGGAACCCTATTACGGGACACGTCACAACAACCTTGATGAACTCTGATGAACCATGACATGACTAACAAGAAGTCGACATTAGCCAATCAGAAAGCAGCTTTCTCGAGCTTTACGGCACTAGTTTTAAACTGCCGACTGCCAATTTTGACAGTTCCCGATTCAAAATTTGAAAACTTAACAAAAGACCATTCTGGAATGTCTAATAAATGGCCGCGATTGTATGGTAGTACTTCCTGTGGGCTACGTAAAGTCACTTCCGGTTTAAATGTTTATCCCATTGAAGCGAGAGACAGAAGATCATCCTGACGGTATCAGTCGCACAACCCTTAACTGTCCTTCGGAATACCCATTTTAACATTTTAGGTAACATTGTTAGAAAACACATTCCGACTGTCAGTTTCCCGTTTTGGTGAGCGACGCTCTGGTTAGTCGGATGAATGAAGGTCGTTTTGACGCGACACGTAATGGGATGTCCTCAGATTTTTGTTAAACGGTAGCGAGAACTTAGAGGTGATTTTAATGAGATTGGTAAAAAAAATCATTCATTCAGACCAGTGAAGCTAAAGCTTCACTAGCTTGTTTCCACCAATGATGACAGCCACATTTGTCATGAGGGTTTTCATGATGGCCGTCATGGTAGCCATATTGAAAGAGTTATTAGTAGCCATTACTCTGCCATGTTTGTACAAAATGTCACGAAATGTTGTATTTATTCGTGGGATTCAACACATGTTCCCTTTTTCGCAATATTTTACATTTTGAGCTTACTTGAAGATGCTCTTAAATTCTCTCAAAATGCATAATTTGCTGATTATACGTTTTCTCCTGAGGGCGCTGAACTTTGGCATGTATATCTCCGCATGTTACGGCATCGTACTTTATTCAGATCATTACATTTTATTGTTAGGTTTTAGTCCTCACAGTTTGTGCAGAAACTATTTGAATATCAACTTTTGTTAAGTAACTCTCTTAAAGATATTTCAAACTTTTGACAACATAACCAGGTGAGCTACAGTGTCGTAGCACTATTTTCGTAAGATTTTTTTGGAAGTACAGACACTTCAACAGTGTTTGTTGGCGCTGTTTTCGTGACGTTTACTTAGTTATACGTTTCAATTTGTAGGGTCGATGTATGTTAGAAGATATCTTCTGCGCCACTCGTGTCATGTCACTGGATGAGATGAACACGTTATTTGACAAGAAAATATTCTCTAAATATTCGATTAGACTGACTATTTTATCATTTGATAAAGCTTTTTTGTTTGTGTGTTTAACGCCGTACTCAGCAATATTCAAGTTATATTACGGTGGTCTGTAAATAATCGAGTCTGTACTAGACAATCCAGTGATTGATATCATGAGCATCGATCCACGCAGTTGGGATTGATGACATGCTTCAACCAAGTCAGCGAGCCTGACCACCCGATCCCCGACAAGCATAGTCTGTTACGGCAAGCATTGGTTGCTAAAGACCTATTCTAACCCGGATGTTCACGGGTCTGTTATAAGCGTAAAAAAACCTAGATACTCATGTTGTCAAAGATCTATTTACAGTTCATAATTATCATTAAAATTACATATTTATATGATTACAGAACTGTTCTGGAATATACCCCTTCCTTATATCGTTGCATGCACGTCGGAGAAACTGAAAATGATATTCATTGGGCATTATTTGAAAGGAGAATCAGTTGCCAAGCAACTTAACTACCAGGCAAAAGAAAGTTAAACCATGTTTGATGGTGACTAAGAATGAAACAAATAAAATATGGTTATTCGATTGTTGTGTATTTCATCCGGGTATCGTAGATGTGGGTTTTTTTACCTTGAGTTTGCGAAGATCCGGGATGGTATAGGCCTTCAGCAACACATGCTTGCCGTAAAAGGCGACTAACGGGACGGGTGGTCAGGCTCGCTGACTTGGTTGATGCATGGTTGATTGCGCGGATCGATGCTTATGATATTAATCACTGGATCATAGGATGTGATGCTCATTTCTCTTTAAATTCAGATGAAGTAACTGATAAAAGGTCCTCATCATCTCTGCCCTATTCAAGATATGGCATTATACCACAAACTTCAGTATACTGAACCAAAAACGTTAGGGTTCTGAATATTGTTTTGGATATTTTTAGGGATATTTTTTATGAAACTGTGTGCTCGGTCTTCAGTACAATGGGATTCACAAAATACTCATGATCCCTAACATATGGTGTTCAGTATATTGGTGGCGCCATGGACTTACTTCACGTCGTCACTATTAGGGAGATGTTTAAAAGTTAAGTGTAGGATAAAAAAAACTAATTCTTTAAGTTTTGAGAAATACCCCCCGCACTCAAAACTTAATTGTGAAAGTGTTAACGTCTTCAAAGAGATTCAAGCGAATCCTGATTGCCTATGATTTATAAACTGCTAGTGCGACACAGTAATAGATTTCAAATATGTTAGGCTGGCTGCTTTTTCACTGAAATCGTTTTTGTATTTACGATGGTGATGCGGTTGATTTTCACAGTAGTAGTGGTAGTAGTAGTCAGTAGTAGTAGTAGTAGTAGTAGTAGTAGTAGTCAGTAGTAGTAGTCAGTAGTAGTAGTAGCAGTAGTAGCAGTAGTAGTAGTAGTAGTAGTAGTTCAAATTGCGTTATATTTCCGCACCAAAAAGGGGGTAATGCTCAAAGCTGTAATTCTCATAAAATGTTCATTTTGTCTGATGGTAAACACAACAAAATAATCAACATGTGCATGCAGCTAAGGTTATTCTTTTGGCAATGACATATGTTTTAAGTTCAGTTAAAACAATGAATTCGTCCTTTGGTTACAATTATTAATAAGGTCGTATTATTTATGGCCAGAACACCATCGCTCTTCAATCCTGTTGTAATGGAAGTGTCAGGAAGTGATTTAAATGCTAAAGTCACATCCAGTCTATGTTTGTTCAATGCGTGCACGTAATAGAACGTGTTGACAGGTCACGTGACTGGCGCGTGATAGGCAAACATGGCGGCCATCTTGTCGTGTTGACTGAGCGCTTTACTGTCCCCGATCGCGGCCCATCACAGACCTCATTTCAATCTCCTCATGTATTCATAAGGGTGACTTCGCAGTTTCCATTATCTAATACCCTTTGAATCCCCACACCTGTCATAATTGTCGAAACAAAAGGCAATTTTCTCTGTGTGTGCCTCGATTAGCTGATTGAAACTTTTTTTGATAATTATCAACTAATAAATATGTATTTTTCGGACTTTCGGTTTTGTAACAATATGGTCTAAAAAAAATGAAATAGAGTGGCGATTTGTCAGCTTGGATGGGGAATGGGTTTGTTAACTTAAAAGTAATATGACGTCATTCCACATTTTATAAAAAAAAAAAAAAAAAAAAGTTTCTAAATCACATCAAAAGGTATTTCGGTGTGCATTGTCGTACCTCTTGCATCTTCAATGACACGGGGCGGTGGGGTAGCGTTCGCTCGTCACCTCGAAGACCCGGGTTCGATTCCCCACGTGGATACAATGTGTAAAGCCCATTTCTGGAGTCCCCCGCCGTGATATTGCTGGAATATTACTAAAAGCGGCGTAAAACCATACTCACTCCCCAAATCTTCAAGGACGAACTATTTTCAACAGAATGTAAACCAAAACCGGTTATTTGTCTTAGTAAGAATCACGTTTTTGAGAGAATACGTGTTGCCCATCTTGCCACACGCTCGTATAGTTCATTTGATTGCTAGCTGTAAACATATAGTGAATGAATAGGTTTGGTTTTTACGCCACTTTTAGCAATATATCGGAAATATCACCGCAGGGCAGTTATTCCAGGATACACAAATTATCATACGGCAAAACAAATTAAGAGCGAGTGAGTGAGAACGGTTTTACGCCTTTTTAGCAATATTCCAGCAATATGACCAGAAATTGGCTTCACACATTGTACCCATGTGGGGAATCGAACCCGGGACTTCGGCATTAGGAGCGAACGCATTAACCACAAGGTTACCCCATCACCCCTTAAAAGTATACACCCCGTGGGGCTCAGGTTAGGGGCCACAGCCTTATAATGCATTTGTATGAAACGAAGACAACACAGTAGACACACTTAACAAAACACACTGAACCAATACATTGCAGACAGAAATCACTAAGACGTATGGTACATTAATGTGCTTATGTATTTCCCAGTTCCACAGTTCACTTGGTGTTGAGACGTGACATGTACATAGACATTAGACACGGTGTATGCACGTGTTGTATCATCCCCTATACCTCCCGGGCTAGGGCAAGTGCAGGTTTACAGAAATCCTAGCCCTGGAGATAGGGAGGATGGTGTTATATAGGACTGTCGAGAAATGTGAAGCGACCTGACGAAGTCCATGTTAAACTAGTTAAGCCTGAAGCAGCGTTGTTTTAAATAGATCTTAAAAGCTTACAGAATAAGAAATAATATCTTTTCCTCGTCACAGTAGCAATAAAATCCTTAAAAACCAATGACTCTATTTTATCAAATTTTTGAAAAATAATATTCAAATTATTTTGTTGTTACTTACGGTTTTTTATTGTTCAGGTGATGTGAGATATTATATGTATTTATTATAATATATATAATGGAGACTGCTCCAGTCTAGCAGCTAATATCTGTCACAAGATAAACCAGCCATTGCCCGAACATGATTTAACCATAAGCATCTTCAGATAACGAATGTTATGTTGACGACAGGCCGGATTAAGATAAATATAGTTTATCTCGATTGCCCAGTGTGTATGATTAATCTGGGACCCACCCCCTCCTTGTGGGTGACACATGTCTCCCCGACCCCACGCAGGGTGTGGAATCTGTCAAACAGTCGTTTATAAATGTTCAGTCATCAGCGCTGCTTACACAACAATGTCAACGAGAACGTTGCGTTTTACTTACTAAAGCTCCCAGTTTTCCCAGTGTGCATAAACTATGATAAAAAACAGAGATATAGAGGAATATTTGTTGATATGTTTATGTTAATTTAGATTTCAAGTCGCCAATATATTATCTGTAAGAGAAAATTGGGGCGACCTTTCCGATCTGGTGACATCATACAGTTTCCACATACCACGCTTATCGTTCTGTGATATGATAGGTATAACAGGGTTGTTTTCCGTTTACTCAACAGACTTCTTTGTATTCTTTCGGGGGCATTAGTTGTCCTGTGGTGTTAGGCGACGCACTCCGATGTGTAAAGTTGCGCCCCTTGGCCGTGACAGGATCGGCCGGTTGTGGATTTTGAATTCCACATTCGCTCTGTTTATGATCGTTGATCAGAGCGAAAGTGTACTATTGTATTCAAGGCATCATGTCCACACAGTCATGTAATAATACACTGGTTCGTAAATTAAAAGGGAAGCATGACGGTATTGTTCTTTCAATTTCAATCCTGGAGACTGATTGAGTGAGTTGGGTTTAACTGATTGAGTGAGTTGGGTTTAACGCCGCTTTTAACAGTATTCCAGTTGTATCGTTTCAGCTTTATGTGGGAGGAAAGTCCGACTTGGTGCAGGTCTAAGGCGTATACCACTTTGGGGAAACCCACGAGCACGGGTATGGTGATGACACACCCAGAAATATAATCGGGATGAACCGTGATTCGAACGATTGACGCATGATATATATATATATATACATTGGTAACTGTTCTGATTTTAAACGATCATTGGATGACATACTTTCTGCTGCGGTTTTGTGCATCTTGAAAACTTTGTTCATGTAAATAATTACATTTAACTTAAGCTGATGGTATGATTAAAAAGCGATATTCATCTTCAACTTTTCTAAGAGACGAATTTTCTCTGGAACGTTCGAGCATTTCGGGCACGGTCGACAAACCTGAGATACGAGGGTGGCTGAAACGTTCTGAACCTTTCTATGATTTACTGCGTCGCTGGAGTTGATGGTGCCAATCACATTTCAGCAGACTCCCCTCCGAGGTCCACACACTCTGCTGGAATGCCTGCTGTTGGTGTAAAAAGTCACTGGTGCCGCTACGATCGAGACCAGGAATTCCAGCATGGTTCGGCAAAGGTGGAAACTGGACTTTTAATGTCAGTTAACTCTCTTGTCTCGGGAAGATGGTGGAACTCTGGCGTTGACCAATCTGTAGAATACGGAGTTCAAAGCCACTGCCATGCATTGCAGCCACATACACAACAGACTTGTATACAGGTGCACTGTACTGGTTCACCAACACACATGCAGTGACCTTGAGGATCTCACGCAGTTGCCTGAGCGGATTAACATAATATTGGCCATTAATGGTCTGACCTTTCGGGACGGAGTCCACTTTACTGTTGGAACAGAACATGCCTTCTTTTTCGGAGCAGGAGACGTACGTTTCCACTGCTTTGACTGTTGTTTAGTCTCCGGATGACAGTGGCGAACTCAAGACTCTTTCATAGTTACAAATCATTGAACAAAATCAGCTGGTTCTACTTATAATATAAACCTAAATTTTAACGAGAGATGATGAACCTGGAGCGTTTCTGATCAGGGCCCACTTGCACAAAGCGATCTGAGCGCTAAGATGATCGTTACTCCCATACTTTAGCATAGGCTTACAATAGTCTTAGCGCTAAGATGATCGTAACTCCCATACTTTAGCATAGGCTTACAATAGTCTTAGCGCTAAGATCGCTTTGTGCAAGTGGGCCCAGGAGTCGAAAACCTTGGAGCCCAACGAGCTGAAACCGTATGGCATGGCCAGTTCATTCCTCCGACTGCTCCCATCTCTCTCATGATAGATATCTACTATATGTAGCGTTTGGTGAGTCGTCGATCATCCATCATCTTATCTCGATTTATCAACATTTTCCTTAGTGATGTCAGTTGAAGGTCTTGGATCATCTTCGAGGCTCTATCTTACCCTCATGATCTCCGCTCCCCATCTCTTAACAGTGGCCAAGGAAGGAGCATCATCCCCAGAAGTTGCCATCGCATAGATGGTTAGCCCTATGGGTTGGAGATACTTGATGCCAGCGCGATAGACTATCTTGTTCATTTTCACCAGAGACCATATAATATTATATGGTCTCTGTTTTCACCAACAGAGAATACCTAGCTTTTAGCTATTGCGCTACACTATAGTATAGTGTTGATGTCTGAAGTGTTATATTTTGAAACCTGTTGATGTCGTTGGTAGGAAAGAAAACCATTTCAGAATAAAACCTACATTTCAGTTTCAAGTCTAAAAGGTATCGAGATAAACTAAGAACTGAGATCAAGGCCTTGGAAGCTCTACTTCCGGTGGACAGAACAGCCCTCAGCAGGAAACTCGACAGTCAGACCGTCTTTCGCCTTGTCATCTCGTACTTCCGGTCCAAGATATTTTTCCAAGGTAAGACAAGGTTATACTGATGGCATAAAGTGATGTTTTGTTTAAAAACCCTACATGAAATATATCATTCGGATATTTTGTTTAACCAAAATGAAATTAAGGCAATCTAGAGCATTTTGATAATTTTGTATACGTTGCTATAAAATCAGATCTTTTATTCCAGTTAGATACTTTACTCCATCGAAGTAACGAGTCGGGGTAAAGGATTTGGTTTTAAGTTTTGATTTTTCTATATTATCTGAAATTAATCACAGAACATTTGACATGTAGTAATGTTCCAGAATATGGACCAGTCTGAAAAAAACATATTCACGAGTCAGCGGGGTCAACCTTCAAGAGTAGTATAATCGGAAATTATTCATAAAAAAATCCAAAATGTGAACTTTACCGGGGCTGAATGGTTCTCTTTTGAGATCAAATTCTGTCCTGATGACGACATGTCTCAAATACGTACTACAATTTGTTTGATATAGCTGGACTATTGCTGACTGTAGCAATAAACGCCCACTCACTCACTCACTCATCCATACACTCCTCCTCGCCCACAATGGGACCGCCTCCGTGATCCAGTGGGTTGAGTGGTTCGAACCCGACCGCGTCATACCGAAACACATTAAAAGATGGTAGTTGTTACCCTGCCTGGCGCTCGGCATTAAAAGTCTAAAACAAGAACTGTTCGGCTCGGAGTCAGTATACTGTGTCGGAGTTGGGTATCTATGTTAAACTGTTGGCTAGCACTATAACTTGGCAGTACTCCGGACAAGTACAAGAAGCCACACACACACACACACACACACACACACACACACACACACACACACACACACACACACACACACACAAGTCTTGTACTTCGCTATGTATGTGCAATATGTATGTGCAATAATCTTGAACGCGACGTGAAACCTCCTTTCACCTTTATGTAACAAATGTTTTATTTGTGATAACACTTTCTTAGTAAAGAACAAATTCTAGTTCTTTTGGGGTCCCGGGTGGGACTCAACCCAAAAAGGTACTAGAATTTGTACTTTACTTAGAAACTGTAATCCCAAAGATAACGTATGTTACATTTGACCCCTTTTAAAAGGCATTGTGTATTGATTCCCATTTCACCTCGCCTCTCGCACTGACTCGCTCGCCTTGCACCCACTAGCTGCCGGGTTCTACCAAACCGAGGATGCCAAGCTGGAAGCAGAAGACCCTGAAGACAAGCAGGAGGAGAGTGAACCGGTCAGCGACGGACAGCACGGCATACAGGTGAGAGAACGCTACAGGTGTGTGCACACAAAGGCAACATGGCGGTGGTCAAGCAAACACACGAAGCACCACTTCAGTCCCCCGCAGCACTAAAGTGTGGTGTTGTAATGGTGACGTGGGAGGTCTAGCGACTGTACTTTGTTATGAACCTTGGAATAAACACCGGGCTCCCTGGTAGCAGCAACAGTATGCTAGTTTCCATAAACACTAAAATAATCCGAGATATAATATTTCCCTCTTTTCTGGTTTGTTTTCTGGTCCGATTGCACGGGAGCTTCCGGCAACATTATAAAATGTTTGAACAATGTTTAATGTTTTAATATTTTTGCATTTGTTTATTTCTTGTTTGGGTTATAGAACGGTACAGGTGTGTGCAATATGGTTTGTTTGTTGTTTAACGCTGCACTCAGCAATATTCCAGCTGTATGACGGTGGTCTGTAAATAATCGAGTCTGGACCAGACAATCCAGTGATTGACATCATGATACGATGACATGCATCAACCAAGTCAGCAAGACTGACCACCCGATCCCGTTAGTCGCCTCTTACGGACAAGCATAGTCACCTTTTACGGCAAGCATGTATTACTGAAGACCTATCCTAATCCGGATCTTTGTTTGTTTGTTTGTTTGTTTGTTGTTTAACGCCGCACTCAGCAATATTCCAGCTATATGACGGCGGTCTGTAAAATAATCGAGTCTGGACCAGACAATCCAGTGATTGACATCATGAGCCTTACGGGTATGGCAACTTGGTGGTGGTCAAGGTAAACGAATAACCACTTCAGTCCAGTACGGCACCAAAGCGTGTTCTGGTAATCGTTACGTGGGAGTCTAACTGGCTCTGTACTCTTGTAATGATACCTTGAAATATAGACCGGAAGAAGTTCACCATATGAAAACAATCCGAGGTTCCCCTCTTCCCTGGATTGTTCCGAATGCATGAGAACAGTATAAGATGTTGGAGCAGTGTATCAAATAATGTATTTACTGTTGCATTTTGTTTGTTTAATGTTATTTGATATTTTTTTTATATTATCACAAAATGGAGACTACTGAAGTCTAATTGAAATGCAGCTTTTTGTATTGACTTCTTTATATACATATACTCGTACATTATTTGGTACGCGGGATATGGGGTCTATTTAGAGGGTATTCGGTACTCACCGGTGTGGTATGAGGGACGCAAATATAATCGTATTTGGTACGCAGATTCAACATTTGTGAAAATATAATGTCGTACGTAAATATAATTCCTTTAATATATCATATTTTTCGATATTTATTCAGTACTTTAAATTCAGGTGTTGATTTGTGTTAAGTAGTATTCGTTTTTCAGGTGTGATCAATGAGACTCATGCAAGATTTGATGGTACTCGATGGGAATGGGGGCTGGTACCCGTTTCTGCCTTTTGCATTAAAAGATCTGGAGTAAGGGGTGGTGGGGTAGCCAAGCAGTTAAAGCGTTTGTTCGAACACGCCGAAAGGCCGGGTTTGATTCCCTTCATGGGTACAATGTGTCAAGCCCATTTCTGGTGTCATCCGCCGTGATATAGCTAGAATATATTGCTGGAAGCGGCATAAAACCACACCCATTCACTCTAGAGATACATATACAGTGTTCTTACTGTTCATGATGTATCAGGCGCGGTCGGGTAGCCTAGTGGTTAAAGCGTTCGCTCGTCACGCCGAAGACCCGGGTTCGATTCCCGACATAGGTAGTGTTTGAAGTCCATTTCTGGTGTCCCCCGCCGTGATATTGTTGGAATATTGCTAAAAGCGGCGTAAAACCATACTCACTCACTCACTCATGATGTATCAGGATATCTCGGACATTTATCAAAAGATATTTCCAAGAAATAAAATAATATCGATATTCTTACTATTGCAGATTTCGACTTGTCATAAAAAGCTTCAAATATCCCTTTTCTAGTGTCCCTGTTATCGACACACTGCCAGCCTAGATTTGTAAACCCGAACCAGTTTAGAGATACATCACCATTAAATCATGTTTCACCGTTTCCTATTACTTTGTTAGTTGAAAAACAATCCTATTCAAAAACCTTCTCGTGGCGAGCTTCTCGCGTTGTGATTCAGTTAATACAGGTAAAAGTCATAAGTCATCAAAATCCAATATATGTTTACACAAATCCTCTAATGCAAACAAACCTCACCGATCAGATAGCGATTCTGGCAAACAGTTTTCCGTGGCGGGCCGGCTAATTGTCGAGTTTACAAGTTTAAATCCACCGCGATTACACTGACAGAGAAGATAAATGCCTTGGGTCGTAACCGCCCTCCATAGCACCACAGTGCGGCACTTGTAGGGGAGAGGGTGAGGAGTGAGCGTTCCTCCAGTGCCCCACCCACTCCCGGCAACACCCTCACTACACAAGCCACTCGGCTGAACTCACTACCCAAACATACCAAGTCCATTGCGCCAGGTTCTCAGGATAGGAAAGCTTGAACTGACAAAGGGGCGTTTCCTCCATGACTATCCGTATAAGCTTCCAGAACGATGGTTTTGTTGAAACTTGGAAAGTTTATAAAAAATCGATTATTTTGTGATTATTTAGACAATTAACTCAGTATGAAGGAGGTACAGTAAAGTCTCGTTAATCCGACACTCGTTAATCCGACAATCGGCTTTATCCGACACTAATGATGGGAACCGATTAAATCAGTGCTATTTAGACCCGTATATTAGAAATAGGTTAATAACAAATAAAACATGTTTAGCTCAAAGCTAATTAAATACGAACAGAAAATTAAACTGGGAAGCAATTTCATTATTTGTACAATGGGTGCACCTCGAGTAGAAATAAGCTGAAGCTGTATGGTGGCATAGACATATATATTAATATCTTTGAAACAGTGAAGGGAAGATGACTGTATATAATCCCCAACTATATATTTCCATATTCATAAACAATCAATATATGATGTTCATTTAATGTTTTTTGTCTTGTCAACAGAAATATTTTGTTTGACAGACTGGTTTGAAAGAGAAACTGACAGTATGGAAACCAAAGTTTCTATTGTGTAGGTGCGAGAGATGCTGGTAGTTGGTTATGGCTGCTTGATGTATCTATCTATTCTTTACATCTAATGTTAACGTTGTAAATTTCCTAATTTTTTATGAAATTTAAAATGCACACTTCTTTAAGAGTGGTATTTGTTGACAAACCATTGTCCCCGTGAAGATCCCAGTTGGAATAGGTATTCGTCAACCTATGCTAGCTGTAACAGGCGACAATGCTTGTATTAAGAGGCGACTAACGGGATCGGGTGGTCAGGTTCTCTGACCTGGTTGATGAATGTCATCGTATCCCAGCTGCGTGGATCGATGCTCATGACATCACTCACTGGATTGTCTGGTCCAGACTCGATTATTTACAGATCGCCGTCATATAGCTGGAATATTGCTGAGTGCGGGGTTAAGCACACAAACAAACACAAACAAACACAAACCATTTGCTGAATCTAAACATGATCATAATATAACCCTGTCTATTGATTTTCACACAAGAAACATGACTTAAAGGCTGCAAGAACTTTGCCTGGTGTTTCAATCTGAAGCAGCATTCTCTACTACATGTGACCACGCCTCTCGTTTTCCACGTAGTCACACCTCGATAACCCGGACAGTTCACTTTCAATAGAAATCGTCCGGTTTAAATAATCATTTTACGGAATAATGTCAGAGTATACATGTAAGCGTTTCCAGCAGTAATGGTCCGAAAAGCGGGGTTTTCGGATTAACTAGGTTTTACTGTATATGCACCCCACTATCCAGACATCTTACTGTTACACATAGTTATAATCCGAGGCAAAGATCACACAAAGGTGACACACTTTATTTAACAGTGTTGCATGAAAAAGCTTGACCACTGTCTTTGTTTGTTGTTTAACGCCGCACTCAGCAATATTCCAGCTATATGACGGCCGTCTGTAAATAATCGAGTCTGGAACAGACAATCTAGTGATTGACAACATGAGCATCGATCTACGCAATTGGGATCGATGACATGTATCAACCAAGTCAGCGAGCCTGACCACCCGATCCCGTTAGTCGCCTTTTACGACAAGCATAGTCGCCTTTTACGGCAAGTATGGGTTGCTGAAGATCTATTCTACCAAGGAATCTTCACTTGACGACTGTCACTTTATTGTGAATGGTTCCAGTTGACAAATAATGCAAAACTTCTTTGTTTAGTTTCTTATCACCGGTTAAAGGGACATAATTGTCTAGTTGTTAATCTTGACAGAAGTTTTTTAATTTTTAATTACCTGACCATGATTTAACTTTGGACGAAAACTTTAACATATGACACCATCCAAGTTGTGGCATGAAAACCATTACCATGTTTGTATGGAAACTATTATATCTACCCTCGAATTAAGTTTTTCATATCGGGTCCAATTACAGCAAAAGTGCACACGTCCTTGCTATAGTTAAAAAATCAGACCAATCATCTTACTTTGTTAGTAACTATTCTCCCGATTTAATAAACTAGAAGACAAACTGCATTATCAGGGTTTCATCAACGTACAAATAAGGGGACCTATGAAGGTCCGGGTAAAATTGTTCTTCAGCAACCCATGCTTGCCGTAAAAGGTGACTATGCTTGTCGTAAGAGGCGACTAACGGGATCGGGTGGTCAGGCTCGCTGACTTGGTTGATGCACGTCATTGTATCCCAATTGCATAGATCGATACTCATGATGTCAATCACTGGATTGTCTGGTCCAGACTCGATTATTTACAGGCCGCCGTCATATAACTAGAATATTGCTGTGTGCGGCGTTAAATAGCAAACAAACAAAAAATAACAGTATTTTAAAATCAGACATATTTTATGTATGGAAGACTCATACACCTGAAGTTCACACACAATCAGTTACGACATATTGCACACAAGTAATCAGCTGACAGTGGTAGACAACTTCACGGGTTCTCTGGCACAGTCAGTCACGTGATACTCCAATCACATCATCAGCTCTTCATCAGGGTATCCAGTTCTTTCTCCAACTGTCGCACTACCCTATTGTTCATGAACAGCAGGGACCCTTGGGGGAGGAACCGGCTGAGAACAAGCCCTACCCTGTCCGTCCTTAGCCCAACGTCGGTCGGCTGGGTGAGGACGCGCACGTGCTCCTGCAGATAATGGATAAGCAGTCTCAGAACCGATTCCGCCAGTAGCCGATTTTCTGTGGTATCACACACCAACGCGAACCCGGTGTACCCTGCCCCCAGCCACGTCACGAACTGCTCGGAATCTGAATTCAACAATATATGTCCTGTTTCTAAATCTGGAGGCGTATCGTCGTTTCCGAGTCTCAAGATGTCTTCTTCAACAGACCTGTTTGACAGCGCTCTACGGAACTGGTATTCCGAATGAACCCTATCTGCGATTTGTTGTCGCTGTTTTCGCCTCCCTGATCGGACTTCGGCCGATGTTGCACCCTCGTCTACTATGTCCGTGTCATACGGGACAAACTGCTTGTAGTATATAATTTTACTCGACCCTGGCAACAAAGTGTTGATTATGAACGTGTAAACCATTTTGTGTGCTAAATCTCTCACAGCTGGAATCACTGGGCAGTTACATGTTCAACTGCGTGAAGTTGTCGTTGGGCGGCGGAAAACCCGGAAGCGAATGTGTGTTTACATGAAAAACGAGAGTGACTTCCCTTGGGTATATTTGGCGGGAAATACATATTTTCCACATCGCCATACATACGTCTTGGCTGTACGGGTTTACGTTTACAGTACAACACTTATTTTGGAAAATGAAATAAAAGAATCAGGTACAGATACATCATAATTAAATTTATCTTCTTAATCTGTTTTAATTGCATGTTATATATATTTTGGATAACTTAAGCACATATTTTATTGTAGATAGCGGAAGTACATGCTATAGTTTGGATAGCTGAATTAAATAAATACAAATATTTTTACTTTCAAACATTTTCTGAGATATTGACTATTGCACTGCTATTAACCATTGATTCTGACATTAAGGAATATTACTAGTCCTTGTTTTGGCCTTCGTGTAAATATAAACAGTCGGCCGCAGAGCTCCAGATAAGCTGCTTATCTGCGTAAAATACGCATCAGAAATGCAGAAATACGCAGTAAAATAAACTCCAAGCGTATCAAATACGCGACGAACATTACAGATACGCTACAAATTTAAAACTTGTGCGTATCATCAAAATATTGTGAAGTAACCCTGCGTATTCGATTAGCAAATCAGCAACTTATTTTCAAATTATAAACGGGCATTCCGTCAACCTTGCCAAACTCCAAGATGACAGTTACATCATGATCATTTGCCATCACACTTTCTTGTGGAAGTATCGTGGTGTTTTTGAGTCCTATAAAGCTCTCGAACCCACACGAAACCAGTTTGCAGGGACTAGATGAATAGTGTTTTTGAATATTTAACTTAAATACCCACATGTGTAAAAACTAGTGGGTAACAGAAATTTGAATACCCAGATAGAATTACTGATACCCAATGATTTTAAAATGCATGGGTAAAATACCCACAACACCAAAAGCTTATCTGGAGCTCTGAGTCGTGCAGATGAACGTATATCCCATGTTTGATGTTTTATTATAATGTATTATGAATTTTGAAAAATGAACATTTTATTATAATGTATTATGAATTTTGAATAATATCGTAATCGTAATTAAATATTTATCTCAATCTATTCGAGTTTCTTGGGTTGTTCCATTGTATGAAATAGGTAACAGACTAGGGATTAGCAGTGCCATGGACCGTGAACTTTGTTGTCTTAAGCTGTAGGGGAAATGGGATGTAGGGGTTTTGGGAGGTTACCGTTTGATGGTGGCTAAAACTGAAACAAACAAGAAATGGTTATTCAATGGTGGTGTATTTGATACGGGTATCTTTAGCGATATTACAAGAATCATATCAGAGACTATCTCACAACAGGTGGCGTCCACTTGACGTCTCGAGGAACACTGGGTCCACAATTTCACAAAACACAGTAACTAACAGAGTGAAGTGTGAATGTTTAATTGATACTTTCTTTTGCCCAACAGTTTGTCTGTTTATTATGCATGTGATGAAAAACATACCAGTCTTCCTCAAATACACTACAGTAAACTACGGTTATAACGAACACGCTTATAACGAACTGACTGATATAGCGAACCTATTTTTTAGTCCCGGCCATTTGTTGTATATATGCTGTTTATATGCTTATAACGAACTACCGTTATAACGAACTAAAATAAGTGGTCCCTTTGAGTTCGTTATAACCGTAGTTTACTGTATGTTTTTAAATTAATACATGTCAGATAAGTAAGTAGAATATTAAAGACGAATTGACCGAGTCCTTATAAAAATCTCATTTTTGTCCAGTCTCTCTATGATATAAATGTGTGTTTTTTTATGAAGAAAAGCCAAAATTACCTCTCTTTTTTGCGGATTCAGCTCTTGGATGGCTTCCTCCTCGTCATCACCTCGGATGGGACGGTGCTGTATGTATCAGACAACATCTTGCAGTATCTCGGCTTTAACCAGGTACGGATAATTATACATACGTGGCAACACTTTGCAAGCCTAGCCCTATATTCATGGCAAGATATCTTTGAGGCGCTGTTTTACCATTTATTCCCTATTTTATCATATCAGTAACTCATTATCGATATCATAAGGTCGATATTTATATATCAGCAAATGTATACATTGATAGATATCACTAAATCATTTTAGATATCACCCTTTAAACGTACCCATTGATATCTAAAATCGAGAAATAAATAAATGTATTTGTTTTACACTGTATATAACCTGATCAACAAGATTGCTGTCTGTCACGTCTTTGCATTAAACTCTATGAATATATTTCTTTGAGCTTGTGTGTGACTTTCTAAACTATATATTTTGCGAATGTAGCACCCCTATTCTACAAGGGAGCAGATACTGTGAACAGAACAATTAATGATATCACACATTCGAGTTATTGATATCTATGCTATTCAGTATTATTTTAAGACATCACCAATTTTTAATATCCCAAATTCGATTATAAGATATCATAAAATGACTTCTTTATTTCAACGAATCAAATTTGTGATATCAATAAATATTTGATTATATTAAAAAGTATCTTACATCATAAAATCTATTTTTGAAATATTATTTTATGTATTTTGTTGATATCAATATATGAAATATTGATTTTGAAACATGGGATAAATATTGAAACGGCGCCTATCAACTCTTCCAGAGAAATTAATTCCTGTTTGTTTGTTGTTTTACACTGCAGTGTAGTTAGCCCAAGGACAGACAAACTTGTGGCTGAAAGAATAGGAAAGGTGGGGTACGATGTCCGAAAATCTGATCCCATTTAGCTTACGACCTGGATAGTTAGCCCTGAATCCCTCATCTTCCCGAGGCAAGGGAGTTATACCCCCCATCACACCAAACTAGTTCGTGAAAATGTTGTCGCACGGGCTCCAACTGTGTATGAACGTAGTGGACGTAGTAGCAACTATTGACAGTCTTTTTACGAACTTCATGGACGGGCTCGGACGGGGAGGGTGCTCTAGAAATATGATTCTGCTCAAAAGTTTATCCCCTCCACCCCGTTCTGCAATTAGTCGGATTGACAACGTACTTAAGACGAGAAAGACGTATAACGAACGGAATTTCCGTACTTCGAACCTACTAGGGACGTGTTACGACGTGGTGCAGAACGTGTGCACACCGACCGGGTCGACTTCTCTTTGAAGGCATGATGTGTACAGCTCGGAGCCCTAAACTTGAATGAAGACTGGCTACAACGCGCTCGGTATCCATAGGACATCCGGTTTGTAAACTGCCGTGCAGATTTCGGTCGATTGCAGGATTTGCAAAGCATGTCTACCGCCAACACGGCGTCGACAGATATTTGACAAATCTTTTCATATTTTCAATCAAGGCGCTCACGTGATTTGATGCACTTCGCGAAGTAAGACCCGTTTTATCGTGACATATATTTTGATTATCGATCAGATCGTCTCTTCTGGGCGCCGCCGTTTTGTTTGAAGCAAATGCAAGAAATATGAGAGGTTGAATCTGATTGGTCAGTAGGAGGAACATAGGAGGGACATAACTCGTCATAACCACTGGTTGCGCTATGATCGAGCCCAGAAATTCCAGCCTAGTTCGGCAAGGGTGGAAACTGGGCTTTTAGCGTCAGTTAACTCCCTTGCCTCCGGAAGATGGGATCAGTTGGTCAGACACGGTGATGTGGGCCTTCAATAGTAGACCGTTGAAACATACCTGTTTTCATTGAGCTTCATCATATCATCCAACGATTTGTTTTCTTCATTTACACTGAAACCTCGTTAACTGGACAGGATCTATGGATAACATGACATGTATTCAACTGTACCCATAACCAGCTTCATTCTTTTCAGCTTTAAAACTTTCAACACCTGGAACATATTTTCAGCCCTATTGATTGTCAATAAAACTGTTTAAATCAGTCAAGCATTCGATATATAGTTGGTGATAGTTTAAAAAATATGACAGCCTACCTTCCCTTACCAGAACATTAAATATTCGGTCACCTCTCCTTATCCTCCATGTCGATGATTAGACATACATGTTTGATATGTTCGACAACGATACGGGTGAAAATAGTTACACGTATTTTGACAGGTTGACCTCATGCACCGGTGTGTATACGGCGTTATCCACCCAGATGACCATCAAGAGGTCAAGGTCGTCCTGGAACACACGCTTGGGCCAATACAGCTGCAGACGACATCCGGGGTAAGTAGGGAGATGTCAGCAATAAACAGTTATTCCAGGATACACAAACTACCAATGGTTTTACGCCGTTGTAGCAATATTCCAGCAATATTATCAGAAATGGGCTTCACACATTGTACCCATGTTGGGAATCGAACCCGGGCGTTCGGCGTCGTCAGCGAACGCTTTAACCACTAGGCTACTCTTCCGCCGATTAAGAGGCAGAATTTGTTTGAGATAGACTATTGTTTTTCTAAAAACTTCCACTCCTTCTCTGAAACGCCAAATGGTCGGCTCCAATCACATCATTAATTAGCATGATATTTCAGGAGTCCGCGGACAAGGATGCTGAGGTGACGGAGAAACCTGACACGTGCAAGCCGGTGTCCTTCCTGTGTCGGATGAAGTGCTTCAACGGGACGTCAGCGGGGTATCTGGTAAATAGCACAGGGACAAGCATAGACAGTTAAATACAGTGAAACTTCGTTAATCCACAACATACCCAATTATATCGTCCGGATTAACGAGTAATATTCCATTTGCTTCTTTCGCTAAATGAACGCAAAGTCTCCACGTTTTATCATACAAAGCCTCCACGTATTACTACACGTTTTATCTTACAAAGCCTCCACGTATGACTACACGTTTTATCATACAAAGCCTCCACGTATGACTACACGTTTTATCTTACAAAGCCTCCACGTATGACTACACGTTTTATCATACAAAGCCTCCACGTATTACTACACGTTTTATCTTACAAAGCCTCCACGTATTACTACACGTTTTATCATACAAAGCCTCCGCGCATTACTACACGTTTTATCTTACAAAGCCTCCACGTATTACTACACGTTTTATCATACAAAGCCTCCACGTATGACTACACGTTTTATCATACAAAGCCTCCACGTATGACTACACGTTTTATCATACAAAGCCTCCACGTATGACTACACGTTTTATCATACAAAGCCTCAACGTATGACTACACGTTTTATCATCCAAAGCCTCCACGTATTACTACACGTTTTATCATACAAAGCCTCCACGTATTGTCATACAAATCCTCCACGTATTATCATACAAAGCCTCCACATCAAATAAGTTCTATAATCGTTCATATTGAATGAAAATTATGCAATGTATTTTAATGGTAGCACAATACATATATTAAGATGACAACAGTCTCATTTGCATATTACGTTATATACAGCCAGTAAACATCGTGAGATTCATTCCATATCAATCCTTGACAGAAGATGCACTGCTCTGGGAAGGTGGAACATCTGGCTGAGCTGTCCAAGTCCAACAGAACATCCTGCCAGATTCTGTTCCTGTTCTGTCACCCATTCATGATCAACACGACGGAAGTGGACCAGGAGCTCAAGCAGAACGTCTTCTGGTCCAAGCACGACCTTGACCTCTCAATCAGAGAAATCGATAAGAAGTAATGCAGGTTCCTCATCTTCTGTTTGTTGGTTTGTTTGTTTTTGGTTGGTTTACGCCGCACTAACCAATATTACAGCTGTATGACGGCAGTTTGTAAATAATCGAGTCTTGACAAGACAATCCTGTGATTGGCATCATGAGCATCGATCCACGCAATTGGGTTACGATGACATGCTTCAACCAAGTCAGCGAGCCTGACCACCCGATCCTGTTAGTCGTCTCTTACGACAAGCATAGTCGCCTTTTACAGCAAGCTAAGGTTTTAACATGGTATAACCCAATATGGTAACAAGAACAATGTGCATGTCCATGCCTTTATCAACAATATGTTTGGCGAATGTTACAGAGCGCTTCCCGTGATTGGTTACACCAGCCCAGAGATAGAAGGTCGTTCTTTCTACTCCCTCATCCACCCAGAAGACATCGCAACATGCGCAGCTTGTCACAGGCAACGTATGTAGTGTCCTTTGTTCATTAGAAACACGTCATCGTAGCATGCGGGGGGGGGGGGGGGGGGGGGGGCGGTCATGGCAGTTCCAGCTAGTTCGATGGCTCAGGGCAGTTCCAGCAAGTTCGGGGGCTCAGGACAGTTCAAGCAAGTGCGGTGGCTCAAGGAAGCTCTAGCAAGTTCGGCCCCTCATGGCAGTTCTAGCAAGTTCAGAGGCTCAGGGCAGTTCTAGCAAGTTCGGTGGCTCAGGGCAGTTCTAGCAAGTTCGGTGGCTCAGGGCAGTTCCAGCAAGTTCGGGGACTCAGGGCAGTTCTAGCAAGTTCGGTGGCTCAGGGCAGTTCTAGCAAGTTCGGTGGCTCAGGGCAGTTCTAGCAAGTTCGGTGGCTCAGGGCAGTTCTAGCAAGTTCGGTGGCTCAGGGCAGTTCTAGCAAGTTCGGTGGCTCAGGGCAGTTCTAGCAAATACGGTGGCTCAGGGCAGTTCTAGCAAGTTCGGTGGCTCAGGGCAGTTCTAGCAAGTTCGGTGGCTCAGGGCAGTTCTTGCAAGTGGAGTTGCCACATGGCTATAGCTAGCTCGCCACACCGAAAGCCCGGGTTCGATTCTCCACATGGGTACATTGTTTGAAGCCTGTTGATGGTGTCCCACACCGTTATATGTTTGGAAAATGCTAAATGCGGCGTAAAACCCAACTCACTCACTCACTCTAGACAGTTTGAATCCGACCCCTGAGATGAATAAAGCCATTGCAAATTGCATCAGGGATAATTTTGGACACTCATGCGTCAAATTTGGAAATGTCCTCCACATGTCTACCAGCTTTATTGAAGCCTTGAATGTTGTAGCCGTGATCAAACAACTTTTGAGCAAGTGTCGTGTGATTCCCTTTGAAATTTCCACAGAAAGAGCATGCTCGATTGCAGAAAGTAGAAAATGTACACACCAAAGGATGGAGCTGTTGGAATTTTGCCCGGTTTATAAGTTGAAGTCATCCTTCTTGTCATTAACTCTTGTGGATAGCCACTCAGATGACACACGTGAGGCGGTGTCACTGGTTTCGTAGATTTTTAACTCGGGTGGGTAAATCGGTGGAAAGGAATTGGCCTTTATACCCTTAGTGAACGATATCAGACCACATGTTCCCGTGATTTTTTAGGTGAATGATTGACTTGCCTTTGCATGTGTTTGTGACTGGTGCATTCGCTCACATTTTTCGCGAACACCTGGTATCATCACTATCTGACAGCAACTGTATGATATGGTCGGAATCCTTACAATGGAATTTTGACAGAGATTTCTTAGGATTATGGGAGGGGTTTTGTCATTTATATTACAACATAGTGGCCTTTTGTATTAATGTATCTGTAGTCGCGTTGAAAACAAATACACGAGCCTAGCGTTACCCTCTTTACCCCGGCAGTGACGGACAGCAGTGACGTGCAAACCTTGTACTTCCGCCTGCAGAACAAACATGGCGGCTGGGTCTGGCTTCAGAGTCGCGGCAAGGTCATCTCGAAAAACTCCAAGAAGTTCTCCATCGTCTTCTCGCATTGTCCCGTCAGGTAACATTAAACCCCTGTATCCCAGACTGTAGTCATACACTTATATCGGGCCACCTCCATGGTCTAGTTGAAATGGAGCGTCTGCCGGAGAGCGAAACGAAGGGGGTTCGGTACCAAAAGACGTTGAAATATGGTACTTGTTGTTACCCTGACTGGCGCTCGGCATAAAGGGGATTAAACATGAATGTATATTCTGTTAGTACACTGTGTCTGAGTTGGGTAACTATGTTAAACTGCGGCATGGTATCTCAGTGGGCTAGCTCTATAAAACCGGCATTAGTCCGGACTTGTACAAGCAGCCATACCTACCCACCCACCCACACACGTGCATGCACGTGTGTATATAAGTGTAATAATCTTGAATGCATCGTTAAACCCAATTTCACCTCACCTCACCACCTCATATATCTGTCACTAGCAACCTCCAAAAACAATTAGACACTTCCAATGTTAACAACTCCATAATAAGGGGCGGTGGGGTAGCCCAGTGGTGAAAGAGTTCGCTCGTCACGCCGAAGACCCGGGTTCGATTCCCCACATGGATATAATGTGTGAAGCCCATTTTATGGTGTCCCCCGCCGTGATGTTACTGGAATATTGCTTAAAGCGGCGTTAAACAATACTCACTCACTCACTTAATACCGATGACAGACGTTCCTGCTTGTTCGAAATTGACTACACTACACAGTGCAAATTAAGTTACATGTAATATTAGTAACTGACTGGAGATGAAAGCTCAAAATGTGAATTGTACGTTTCAGATAAAATGCCTATGTTCGTATGGTAAAGTGACCACTCCGATAGACGAGTGTTTCACAACTTACAATAATTTAGTTTATTTCTTCTGTTTGTTTATGCCTAGAACTGAATATATATTATAGTCACCAAGAATAAGTCCCAGTATATTGTTTGTCGTAAGGGGTGGTAAAATTAGATCGGGAGGTCATAGTTTGTTGATAGAGCGTCATCACACCTCGTAAGCGTGCTCATAATATCTGTCACTGGTTTGTTTGGTCGAGACTATCAGTTACAGGCCGCGATGACATAGTTGGAGACTTTTTGAATGCAATATAATATAGATAAAACAAACAGATCCTTAAGTGTTTTATTATCTATGACAAGATCAACAGTTTATCAAGCGCCGGTTGGTTAGAATATCTGACGTAATATTAACTCTTTGTTCTATTCCAACGACGACACATAATAGGAACAATATTCAAGGGAATTATGGGAAAGCTTAGGTCGGTTGCGAACCCTTCGGCCGAAGATATGAATCTTTCCGCGGCAACGGTGGTAACTGACTTTAAAAGTCCAGTTTCAACAGTTTCCACGGTAGACCCGTGAAGATCCGGGGTAGAATTGGTCTTCAGCCACCCATGCTTGCCGTAAAAGGCGAATATGCTTGTCGTAAGAGGCAGCTAACGGGATCGGGTGGTCAGGCTCGCTAATGCACCGTATCCCCATTGCGTATAGTTGGAATATTGCTGAGTGCGGCGTTAAACAACAACCAACCAACCATTGTCCCTCGGTCCCTGGGGTGGCATAGGTTGATATACCCTGACTACCTCTATGTTGGCTTATATTCCCTGAGCCCGAAGAGCTATCTATGTTAGTTTGAACTAACAAGCCTCGAACTATATTAGTTTAAACTATCATCAACCAATGTCCCACTTGAGATACAACTCATAATATAACACAACATTCATCCTAACATATGTTCGTTCTGTTTAGGGAGGAGGACAGCACGTATATTCAACAAGAATCAGTTCTCAGACAGCGTTACGCCATCAACGACCTCATGTGCCTGTCACACATGACTCAGTACGGCTCCTCCTGGAAGGACGGTCCGAGTATCATGGAACCCAGCATGAAGAGAATGTGCTTCCAGTCCAACCCAGGCACACAGGACGAGGCCTATGTGACGGTCCACAGTCTGTCGGGGGGGCCCTGCCCTTCCAGCTGGCACGCCCTATCGGACAGACACTCACCCATCCTGCCATCTAGCCACGTGGCACACAAGATCTCCCAGCGAGAAAAGCAACTTCAGTACCAGGAGTTCAAACGACGCCAGCAGGCTCAGGACCAGACGGCGTTCAAGATGATGCCTGATTGGGAAGATCAGGGTTATGATTGTGCCCAAGAGCTTCCCGCACCAAGAGGGCAGAACGCGTACCCCTGCTCCATAGACAATGGACACGATTCGTCCACGTGGCATACCTCGAGTGACTTACCCCAGAAGCAAGGATTTCAGTTTGGCCGATTCCAGCCACATGATGATTCGTTTCAAAGAAGCATGCTTCAATCTTTCTCTGGTCAGGGTTACAATTGTCCACCTTTCCAGGTGATGCAAGGCGTTCCGATGTCTGGGTATTACCCCCACCCACCGTATGTCCACAACATGCCGCCGTCCCCACCCCCGTCGCCCCAGCACAACCCCTACAACCTGGACGTCTTCCCTCGAAGAACGCCCCCGCCCCCGCCTCCGCCTCGACTTGTCCAGTTACAACACTCCCTCCGACGGGATCATGGGGATTCAAATAGGACATTTAACACCGCAAATTATTCGTGTTATCAGCAGAACTATGTTCCAGCGCCCTGTATTCAGGATTTGCAAAGAACGGCAGAAAAATATCTAGGTTACTGTGAATACCAACAAGGGACTTGCTCTCCACAGATGCAGCATGTGTCTCGGGAAGGTGTTGGGAATTGTAAGCCACAAAACAGCAGGCCCAGTCAAAGGGCTGTGGCGCCATATGAATCAACATATTCCTTACATAGTTCCATTAAGCCAAGTCCTTCGTCTAGTCAGTCATGCGCATATGCTGCAAGGTGTCGTGTGCAAAGCAATGAAAGGAGCCAATCGCAGGCTCAAGTTGAGAATCACATGATGATCGTGGAGCACGGACAGCCCGTGCATTCTAGAGGCTACATGGATCTTCCGTCTATTGGCAGCTTCCTGGAGTATCTAAATGAGGTGTGACAGTATCAACAGGTCCGTTGTGTTCACAAACTTTTGAAGGAAAATGCAGATGCATGGCAACTTAGAACGCCAACGACAAACATTCCTAAGGGTCTCCACAAACGTTTTTTTTATTATTTATGTGTTTGCTTGTTTCAAAATGTCATCATTGTTGTGCAAGAATCGTCCAGAAAAGTGTAACGTGATTACTTAATACTAGTCACGTGGTGACCAAAAAGGGGAGACAACTTGCCCAAAAGAGAGACATCCGTAAATGAAGACACTTTGTTTGTTTGTTGTTTAACGCCGAAGCAATATTCCAGCTATATGAAGACACTTAAACATTGGAATTGAACAATGTGTCTGTAATTATCGTTGACCATGCAGCTCGAGCAGCACTGGCGTGTAAGGCCGGAGTACATTATCACAATATTATTGTACATGTGACACTAATGATGTACGCCCACTTGACCAGAGCCTTTAACTCTGCTCTAACGTGTTGTTGGTGGCTTTAATGTAGAGGAGTGCACCCCCATCACCTCTTTGAGAGCATACTTTAACCATTCCATTCGAACATTTTATAAGTGATCGGATATCTTAAGAGGAAACCTATCACAGCACTACGACTAACTGAGATATATTTTTTTGTCAACAGAATTAAACCTAATTTGACTCAAATTGCCAAATCACATAATGCACAAAAGGCTGTATCTCTGCTTATTCGTGGTTTATTATAATAGATAGGAATTTCTGACCCCTGAATTACGTTTACTTTTTAACTCAGGGGTCAGGGACCAGTATAAGGGGGCTTCATTGTCTAACTTACTCTCCAGTGCTATGGGGGCACAGGTGGCCCAGTGGTCTAAGGTCAACAATCTGCGCCAAAAACAAGATCTTAGATTCGAATCCTAGCTTCGGACTTTCCTCTTCACACTGACACGCCATGATTTAACTAGAATACTGTTCAAAGCGGCGATAAATGTAAGTTCGCCGTTGAAACCAACCACGTGTATAATTAACATGTGTCACGTTAATAAAATATATGCATTTTTCATGTATAGGTTCTGTTAAAATATCTATATACACATGTTCTTATAAAAAGAACGCACAGCCAAAACTTAACACATCTTCCCGAGGCAAGGGAGCTAACTGACTATAAAAGTCCAGTTTCCACCCTTGGCTGCAATTATGGTATTATATGTTGGCTGGACTAACGAGTCTATGCATAGTCCAATCAAATTCGCGTAACGAAATCGATATCCGGTTCGTGCAGATTTCTGTCGATTGCAGGATTTGCAAAGCATGTGTACCAACAACTTAATTTAAAACGTCAACAGATACTTTCCAAATCTTTTCATGTTTTTAATCAAGGTTCTCACGTGAGTTGATGTTTCCTACAAATCGAGGCAACAAATTCCCAAGATGTCATTTGACTTACATTTACGATCGCACGAAAAGGTGGAAATCTAACTTTGATGTAAGGTTGACAATTTTTAGAAATATGTTTATTAATTTCATTTATTACTTTTTTTAAATTTACTTACAATTTGCTTGAAACATCTTTATTTGCTCTTTGACATGTCCCCATGTCCGAGATTATTTTAATTTCAACAACATTGCGGGAAATAGTTAATAATTTTTAATCTATTGATAAAATATGATAGATTGAAATGAAATATTATTTTACTGACTTTGTTTAATACTGAAGATTTAATAAATGAATTATGTGACAGGTAGGTTCATGAAACTATATTTTATTTTGATGTGACTACGGTATTGGCGGTACAGGTCTGCGGTGTTGGAAGAGGCAGCGAGCGGAGTATTTTGAGGCTGGACCCTGTTTCACCAAGCAGTCTGTGTTGTGATTCATTTACCAAGTTCACAGCCTAAAATAAACCGCAGGCCGTAAGTGCCTGCTTAAATTTAAAACTATCAGTCCGAGAACAAATCTGGCCTACGGGCTGATGTCTATGTCGAACAGTGCTTGCATTTGCTTCAAACAAATTGGCGGCACTCAGTGAAGACCATCTGATCGATGATCAAGATGTATATTGTAATAAAACGGGTCTAACCTCGTGAAGTGCATCAAATTACGTGAGCACCTTGATTAAAACATTTGGAAAACATTTGTCAACGCCCATTTGGCGGTACACATGCTTTGCAAATCGACCGAAATCGACCGAAATGAAACACGTTGAACTCTTTGTTGTAAAATGTAACACCATAATTCCAGTCTAGTTTGGCAAGGTTGAAAACTGGACTATTACAGTCAGTTAACTCCCTTGTCTGAGGAAGATGATTTCTTCTGATTAGACGCACATATTAACTTTCATTCCACAATGAATTCGGAAATTAATTGATTCTGATTTATCATTCAGAGGTTATCAAATCACAATAAACCACCTCTGATTGAAACAGACGATTTGAAACATGACACATTTTATGGACAAGTTAGGATTTAGGTTTATACAGGATAGGATTAATGTTTACACAAGGTAAGATTAATGTTTACACTAGGAGGGATGCCAATGAGATTAACAGAAGAGAAGTCAATTACGTACAATAAAAGTGCAGTGATGGAGCTTGGAGTTATTACAAGGCGCTGACTATGGTGACATTAATCATAAGGCAATCAAGATGCCCATTAGTGGTTAGTGATAGGATTACGTCACAGTAGAGACGGGTAGGTCAATGGCCTGGTCTCAGGTAATGGCTTGGTTTTAGTGTTCAGTATTCGCCTGACAAAGAGGCAAGAGTGAGTGAGTGAGTTGGGTTTTACGCCGCTTTTAACAGTATTCCAGTTATATCACGGCGTGTCAGCTTCATGTGGGAGGAAAGCCCGAAGTGATGCAGGTCTCAGACGTTTACCACTTCGGTGAAACCCATGAGCACGGGTATGGTGCTGACAAACCTAGAAACATAATTGGGGCGAACCAGGATTCATAGGTTTCTGACGTACCCAAGGGACGCAACTCTGCACAGCGAATCGCGGCGCCTTAGACGACTGGGCCACCCGTGCCCCCCTGTGCAGGATGAACGTGTAAGGTTTACAAATCATGTGCAGCATATCGTGATGAGAATAAAGACATTGTGGTAACACTTGACAGATTGTTAGTTTTGTCTTTGGAAACATCTCTTCTTAACATACTTACTTTACACGTTTCGCGTTTCTTTTGGGTGTGAGTATATGTTATATTAAAAAAAACACTCAGTTGAAATTCTTTATACACTGAGACAGATTCAAGACAATGATTACAAGAAATCATTGTGGTACCAACCACTTAACATGCATGACAAATCCCCATCCCAGAATATCAAACAGTCAAACATAATCGGGGCGAACTCGGGACGCAACTTTGCACAGCGAATCGCGGCGCCTTAGACGACTGGGCTACCCGTGCCCCCTTACCAGGTTAGAACAGTCTCAACATTTTATGCTGAATCTACAGATGATATCCTATGTTGGATCATACACGTACAGATTACACTTGTGTTAGGATACAGTCACTTGACATATGATGAAAACACTCACAAAACAGCTCACTGTAGCGTAGTCTTTGAAACCAAAGCGTTTGAGCGTCTTCTTGGCATTTGTTCAACGGTCGAAATCACAAATATTTCCGAAACCTCTCAAATTACTGTTTTTTACTATTGTGATATGGACGGTCCTATGATATTATTTTGACCACAATGTGATGTAGAAACACATCCTTGATTTCAGAATTTCCCTTAAAAAGGCATTGAACTACATTTCGTATATATACATATATAACAAAATATAACAAAATTGAAGAAAAAGAATATCTTATAGATACAGTGACATTGGTGCATGAATGTGAATTGCCGCACGCAAAGGCGTTTAAAAGTACAAAATTCATTAAAAAACGACACTCAAGATATTTCCAATTTATAATGAATGTGGACTGTTTATCCCAGTTCTGGTCGCTACAGTCGCTACACACGTTACCACCCTCCCCCAAATCAAACGCGCATCCTCCCCCAAATCAAACGCTCGTACACACCGACCGACCTTCCTATCCGCTAATGAGCTCAGTCGTGATTCCAGACATCAGCCGCAAACCTCTGACGATAATCGCATCTATTAATGTATTGTTTCAACGGAAAGGTACTGACTACTAAGAATCATATTTCGTTTGAGTATTTTATAGGGCACCTGTCAAAGGGAGGTAATAATATTCTTTGCCGCCATTTTGGATTATTGTTGTGTGCGCCGTAGACATCAAACCTGACATCTATCCTTTATACATCAGCGGTACACTAGAAAAGACTTCACTGGTACGCATTTGACAACGTTATAAATGTTGCAAATGATGCATCTGATCAATTTTCAGGTTGACTTTTCGCCAAATACACGGAAGCTGAGAACAGCGTGGTAGACAAAATGGTGGATGCTTTTGTCAATACTAATACGACGCTTCAGTCACTCTATTGGGGTTAGGCATCGACGATCATTGATACAAACGTCCTTATCACGGCACATTTATCATTTCGATTAGTTCAAGTTTACATCGTAAGTTAGTCATCAATCAGATAAAGACAACGGCACCTTTTAACATTTTTATTTAATTTCTATTTCAATATTGACACCAGTAGCAGGCTACAAGGAGACTGGTAGACGTTAAAGATTAAAGACCGTTGGTGATTACTAATCATGTGTATGATAGAGTTTAATAGCTTTCGGTTCATTTTGATTTACATGATAAATAGTATGACTGATTAATCATGGTAATTATCAGATCATGGTATATAAGACTTCGAGTTCTCTATTAGACAGTCTCATTATGGATTTACATTGTATTATGAACATGACCAAAAAAAAGAGAGTAAATAATGGCTAAATAATGAGTGCATTAATGTTCCTCATGTGCATGTTGAAGCAAGCTTATTTTTTTACACTTGTCTGTACTGATGTATTATATGGAACAATTTTTATGATTGTCATATTCAGGGATTTTGTGGGACACATGATATGCATGAGCTTAGGACATTCTCATGATTGTAAGACATTTTTTGTCTACAATTTTAACAGCTTTACAGACATTCTTTATCTCTTATGCTTCTTTTTCAAATTCTTAACGTTCTTAAGGACAGCTTTACAGATTTAGAATTTCATAAATAAGGAAATCTTTTATCTTTTGATCAATGGCCTTGCTATAAAAAGAATTTAATGTCTAATACCCAAAGTACTTGATAGAGCATTGATTTGACGATGACATTACCATGATTATGTTGTGTCTTCGTAAGAATAATGGATCAGTCTATCCTGAACATGTCCACTACTTGTTTTTGGTAGTGATCTTTCATCACGTTTGTAGATAAACGTGAACAAATAATATGCTTATCATGCTTATATCCATCTTCCAGAAACAAGCGTGTCCACTAGCCTATATCAAAGCCTAGTTTCTACCCTTGCCACATCGTGGCCACTTTTCTACTCGGCTTGACTCTGGCGCCAGCTCGCATAGATCATGAGTTGTGCCCCTTATAATGAAATCGTGATATCCAGTCAGATCCCTGTTCTAATCTCGTATAGCTTCACAAAGATGGCGATTACCATAGGTGCGACCTAGTCGATCAGATAACAAAAACATTCAAGATTTCAACCCTGACACAAAAACGTAGGCAATCGTTGGGGGGTTTAAAAGATGAAAAAGACATTTTCGTGTCAACAAAGACAGGCAGTGGCAAACCACTTTCATACGAAGGTGTACCAGTCGTGGATGTTGATTTTGCAAAACCGTCTGGATATGTGCGATAGTCCAATCATATTTAGCACAGGAAAGTGGGCTTGATGTGTCAAGGGTGGAAACAAGATTTTGATAAAAAGACGAGTTGACGCTCTTGCCTTGGGAAGATGGCTTATATCACATACACATGACTGAAATATTCCTCTGTTCACCCAGCAGTGAATGGGTACCTGTAAGGATGAGATGATAATGTGAGCATGAACCTTCCAGAGCCACAGTAAGCTGCTTGGATTGTATACATGGTATACAAACTGAAAAACTATTTTTGCCATCTTGTAAGGACATAGTGAACTGAGCATGGTGTTGTGATTTATTGTCAGAAATAACTATTAACAGGGATTTATCTAGACCTCAGCATTGATCAGAGGCAAATATTCGGCCCCAAATCTGCTGCAACACATGTGCAAAGAGGAGTATTAATTCCTAAATCATGGCTATGCAATATTTAACCCAATCATCATGCTATTTCAGTCATATCTAATGTTATCAATGGTTATGGTTTTGTAGACTTGCATTTCACTGATAACAGAACCAAGAAAGAGTCATTAATGCCTAGTTTTGCATTGTTGCATTGATTCCAATATTTAAGTACAATGGTGAAAATACCTCTGAAATTTAGAAAATTACTGAACAAATCACAAATTTTAACCAAAATAACAATTTTTTCCCCCGATTTGCCAGCCATAGGCACTTTGTTTGGAATTCTAGGTAAATTTATGATTATTCATGAGGTTTGTTTTTGTTCCAGCATATGCCACAAAAACATGTCCCACTTGTCACTATAAAGACCTAGTCTGAGCTCTCCCACCCGTCCAGATGTCCCGACGAATCTCTGTGGTCCTAGAGGGTAGGTGGTCAGATGATAGCCACTCCCAACGTGGACGCTACATGTCCTCCTATCTCCGCCTCCCAGGATCCGATCAGGAGTTTGACCTTGTACAGCTGGACCACTGCTACTCCAAGCCATGGAGTGCCCATCCAGATGCGAGCAACGCCCGACCCATGCGGACACTCTTCATGGCCAAGTTCCCTCGCAGCCATGGATCTGAAGGAACTGGGTGAGTTCCAATTTGTTGGATTTTGCACTGTTTCTTTTTATCTCAGACTAGAAGGTAGATGTTGAATTAGAACAAGACATCATGATACATAGTATCAGCATGATCAGCTCATCTAGATAAAATGGCTGTGTGTGCCACAGTCAAGATTTGGTGAAAAATGTATGGTATTTCAAGCCCAGAAATATGAAAATGACACTGTGTATGGTTACAGTTACACTGTAAACTTGAATTAGCCCCAGTGAAAATTGGAAGAATGTATGGCAGACATATGTTGGGTAAATGTGCCCCAGACTTGTTATGTCATAGTTCCATCCAAGTGGGGGTGGTCAGGCCGATGACCTGGATTCGATTCCTGGCATGGGTACAATGTGTGAAGCCCATTTCTGGTGTCCCCTGCTGTGATATTGCTGGAATATTGCTAAAAGCGGCGTAAAACCAAAACTCACTCACCCACCCACTCAAGTGGACATTTGACACAAGCCACGGCTTGATTTAAGGAACTGGATTTAACTTGCACCAGGTGCAGGTTGACAGGAAAGCCTAGTTGCACCTGACAAAACCAGGTTGCACCCTGGTCGCGTAAATTTATCCAAGTTGAAATATTGCCTGGTCTTCTGCCAGTGTCAGTAAATTAGTGGCGTATTGCTGTGAAACGTTACTGGAACATATGCACATTATCTTTAAGTGTCCACAGTTTGATAACGTCAAGCCCAACAAAGCCTGACAAATTACTCATAACACTAGGATAAGTGATGTACTATGGTAAATGTAGCTGAGAGGTATTGTGTTCATTTTTGATGTTGTGAGAACAATTTAGGATTAGTCAGACACATTATACTTTTTTTTACATGCACATGGCGCATATGACATAAACATTAGGTTGCATTTTTCAATAACCATGATAACAGGTTGCACTGGTGCCTGTTTTATACAGCTGAATCAAGCCCTGCACGCTGAGGGGCTAGAACACATCCATCCCCATGCAGGGATCAACTTGTGTTTTCTTTCAAGTGTGCCACAGGACACGCACAAATATGTTTAGGTGTGCTTTTGAAATTTGACTGTGCCAAATAAGAAGAAATACTTTTCATCCATCTACGGTTCTACCTTGTGTAAGGTACCGGTATTTCTGGTGTTACATGCTCACGGTAGTGTCTTTGCGTTGGGGGAAAAAACCCGTCAAAACTCATTATGGCGTGTATAATGTGCACCCCCTTCTACAAAGCAGTGTTTTTTGGGGGGAAAAAAGTGTGCACTATACTCAACAGAGCTCCAGATAAGCTTTTGGTGTTGTGGGTATTTTACCCATGCATTTTAAAATCATTAGGTATCAGTAATTTTCTAACTGGGTTTTCAAATTTCTGTTACCAACTAGTTTTTACACATGTGGGTATTTAAGTTAAATATTTAAAAACACTATTCATCTAGTCCCTGCAAACTGGTTTCGTGTGGGTTCGAGAGCGTTATGTGACTCAAAAATACCACGATACTTCCACAAGAAAGTGTGATGGCAAATGATCATGATGTAAGTGTCATCGTGGAGTTTGACAAGGTTGACGGAATGCCCATTTATAATTTGAAAATAAGTTGCCTATTTGCTAATCGAATATGCAGGGTTACTTCACAATATTTTGATGATACGCACAAGTTTTATTTTTGTAGCGTATCTGTAATGTTCGTTGTGTATTTGATATGCTTGGATTTTATTTTACTGCATATTTCTGCATTTCTGATGCGTATTTTACGCAGATACGCAGTTTATCTGGAGCTCTGCTCAAGAAAATAAGGTAATAAGCAGTTGTAATTGAAAAAGTTTGCCCCCTTCCATTTCAATGAAGTTGACTGTTCCCTTTTCAGCATGTTCAGTGTTTGATATTCGCGGGGGTGCTTGAGGTTTGCTCCTATAGTATTAGAACCTACAGACCCGTAACTTTTAACGTAAGGGTGCTGGATTGATATTAGGCCATGTTATTGTGAGCTGAATGGCCCATGATTTTTGTGGTCACAGAGAGGACAGCCTGCCCCTGGATGTCGTGAGTCTGCCCTCCACGCCCACCCTGCCGTACGACCTGACCAAGGCTCGCAGTCTCATGAGTGAGTGTGAGAGACACGTCAGCTTTGCTCGAGTTGAGGAGGGGACGGACGACTGGGAAGAACAAATTGTCAGGTAAGTGACACTCAACAGAATCTGGTGCACATATACATGATATACTCTCAATAGATTTTCACTGATTTTGAGAATTTGATGGTGCAATAACAATGATAGAACAGTGTTCACTAACTGACTCATTTTTGTCATGATTTGAATGGTTTTCATGGTGCAGCCCGTACTTGCAAAAGTATGTTTGAATTATGGTTTAGCTCACCTGAACTGAAGGTACAGTAAACTATGGTTATAACAAACCCAAAGGGACCACTAATTTTAGACCGTAATAACTGTATTTCATTATAAGCATATATACAGCACATATCATGCATATACAACAAATGGCCGGGACTAAAAAATAAGTTTGTTATGTCGGTCAGTTCGTTATAAGTGTGTTCGTTATAAACATAGTTTACTGTATGTGTCAGTCAATGTCTGCATGCGTCTGTTGTGGTAGAACTTTGGGTGTGTTTCCCTGTTTACCCTAGCATCATGTCCTAGTGTCTAATTTTGCAAATAGTCCACAAGAACTCAGGTGAGCTACAGAGTCTTTTGATGGTTTCAAGGACAGTTGCCATTAAAGGTTGACAAATAAACAATAAGGCTGAACATTATTTTCTGATTGTGTTCTGAATGTTTTTAGTATGATTATTGAATTGAAATTTGTTGCATCAATTAATCGAATGTTTTCATTTCATGTGGCTGTGGTATTCAGGACTGGCTGGGCAATGCAACAGAATCGTCTTTTTAACAAAGTGATGAAAGCTCTACAAGCAGACCGACTAGCTCGACTCAGTTGTGAGGGGGTAGGTACACAGTGACCAATCCATTGGCTTCATCACCCGATGCATGTCATCGGTACTACTTGCATAGATCGATGCCTATGATGTCAATCACTGGATTGTCTGGTCCAGACTCGATTATTTAGACCACCATCATATAGCGGGAATATTGCATAGTGCGGTGTTAAACAACAAACAAACAAATCATTCACTTCTGGGGGCAGTGGGGTGACCAAATGGTTAAAGTGTTCAGTCGTCATACCAAAGGCCCAGGTTTGATTCTCAACTTGATAAAATGTGTGATTCTGGTTTGATAGCTTGGAATTTTGGAAATAATGGCATAAAATCATCCTCTCTCTCACTCACTCACATACCACCCATCAAGTGGAAGGGAAAACACTCGTCTACTTATTTCCTGACCTTTCTGTGGTTTTACCAGAATCCAGGGTAGACTAGGTCTTCAGCAACCCATGATTGCCGTAAAAGGCGACTATGCTTGTTGTAAGAGGCAACTAACCGGATCAGGTGGTCATCCTCGCTGACTTGGTTGATGCATGTCATCATGTCGCAATTGCGTGGATCGATGCTCATGATGTCAGTCACAGGATTATCTGGTCTTGACTCGATTATTTACAGACCGCCATCATATAGCTGGAATATTGCTGAGTGTGGCGTTAAACAACAAACAAGCCAAACATGTATAAATATCAGTAAAAATTCCCAAATTGGAGTTACAAATTTCCCGATTGATGTTAGTATGGTTATTATTGTTATATGTTATGACTTGTATACCACTGTTAATAGGACCAATATAGAGGAAGAGTCTGTCATGCTTAGTGTGTATTGTTGTATCAGATGGGGGCATGTGTTGGCCAGTTGTTCATGACGCTGCAATTTGCTCTGCAGAGTTGTGTCCCTTGGTCGTGCCAGAAACCTATGATCGTGGGTTCAAATCCTTGATTATTTACAGACTGACGTTATATAGTTGGAATAGTGCTGACTGCGGCATTGAACAACAAACAAAACAATTTTACCGGAAACAGAATATTGCATCCTATATGCATACAAACTGTAAACGGACACAAATAATTAATATTGCGAGTTTTGAGCCAAACAACAAAATGTCTGTCTTGTTTGAATTATTTAATTGAATAATACTACAGATTGTGTGTTACATATAACTAACATTTCTATTCTGTTAATACACTCATGTTGAGGGTGTCAGTGGTGTCTTGAATAGGATTGACATGATCCCCAAGAGGCATACGGCTTCTAAACATGTCCAATGATATAACAGGAGTAACATTTTGGGGAACATTTTTTTTTGAAATGCCAACTAAAATTTGCTGTCTGCTGTATAGGTATGCAACTTACACCTAATGAGTATATTATATGTCATGTTACTCTATGTAAAACTATGTAACATCATATAGTGAATTGAATAAAAATATTGTAAAAAAACAAAAACAAAAACAACAACATTTTTGGAAATCCTGTGAAGAGTGCCAAGTGTTACCAGCCTGGGACCCCAATGCTCATGCCTTAGACCCCAAACATTGTGGCTGTGAGTCCTCTGGGCTTGAAAATAGATAGAACCACGTAAATCCCCGCCTTTCCCTGTATTATTGATATGGACTGACTGTTTGATATTCTGGGGTGGGGATTTGTAATGCATGTTAAGTGGTTGGTACCATGATAATTTCTTGTAATCATTGTCTTGAATCTGTCTCAGTGTATAAAGAATTTCAACTGAGTGTTTTTTTAATATAAAATATACTCACACCCAAAAGAAACGTGAAACATGTAAAGTAAGTATGTTAAAGAGATGTTTCCAGTGTGTCACTTAAAGACAAAACTAACAATCTGTCAAATGTTACCACAGTGTCTTTATTCTTATCACCATATGCTGCACATGCCGTGATATAACTGGAATACTGTTAAAAGCGGCGTTAAACCCAACTCACTCACTCACTCACTCATCCTGCACGAGCCAAATGGTGCATCTCGCGTCATAGGTCTGTGATGTCAGTTGTGATGCGTTCATGAGCGCCGGTTCACACAAGATACCAGGATGGTCGTTTGTGCGTCGAACCAATTAATATCTCTTGAATATGAGTAATTCTTCATGTATTAACCAGCATGTATGTAATCACGTTTCTTTTGCCAGTGAGTATATATTAACAAGTTTTAAAAACTTTTGAGGCTTGCAGAATAGTTTCAAACTTTTATTGACGAGTGTTGATATGTATATCAAACAACATGAGGATGAGATTCCATTTTTCATCCAGAATCATTCTTCCTACGTTTTGTTTGGAAATAGAGAATCTCACCCGAGTGTCTTGATGTCATATGTTGTAAGCTTATGCGGAGCTTGGTTCTTGTTGCAGCTTGACACAGAGCCGATACAGAGGAGGGTGCACATTGACAAGACAGCCAAGCGCGTGAGACAAGCTCTAGCCAGTGTAGGATGGGTAGGACATGCATGCATTCATATAGTGCTTGTAATCTGTGGTCTTGAAAGACGCAGTTGATGTGCACAGTTGCATCCCTTAGCCATCTGCTGATTGTAGGTTGTATCCAAAATTTCCCTTGATTATGGAAGATGTCCCTTGATGAGTATCATTGCTTTGTCAGCATCAAATTGGAATATGTCTATGGCCTACGTCACTTCAGGATTTTGGACTTTCCCCAAATGTAATGTATTGGTGAACTACAGTTGAAAGCATCTATTATAGGCTACTGTGATATATGCGGGTTTTTTACACTGGGATGATAGTTTATTTATTTTTTATAAATTTTAGATTATATTATCATGATTATGGTATACTATGGAGTATGTGTGGTTTGGTAGCTTTTCATTAAATGAAAGATAGATTAGACACAAGGCCAATATGGACAAACCCATGTTGTCAGAAATTTATCTTGACCTGCTCAGAGGTGGATAATGAGGCCCAAGCACATGTTAAAATGACCCATGAAGATCCGGGTTAGAATAGGCCTTCAGCAACCCATTCTTGCTGTAAAAGGTGACTATGCTTGTCATAAAAGACGACTAATGGGATTGGGTGGTCAGACTTGCTGACTTGGTTGATGCATGTGATCGTATCCCAATTGCGTGGCTTGATGCTCATGATATCAGTCACTGGATTGTCTGGTCTTGACTCGATTATTTACAGACCGCCATCATATAGCTGGAATATTGCTGAGTGTGGCGTTAAACAACAAACAAGCCAAACATGTATAAATATCAGTAAAAATTCCCAAATTGGAGTTACAAATTTCCCGATTGATGTTAGTATGGTTATTATTGTTATATGTTATGACTTGTATACCACTGTTAATAGGACCAATATAGAGGAAGAGGGTGTCATGCTTAGTGTGTACTATTGTATCAGATGGGGGCATGTGTTGGCCAGTTGTTCATGACGCTGCAATTCGTTCTGCAGAGTTGTGTCCGTTTGTCGTGCCAGAAACCTATGATCGTGGGTTCAAATCCTTGTTTGCTCTGATTATGTTTCTAGGTCAGTCAGCACCATACATGGGTTTCACCAAAGTGGTAAAAGTCCTTCACCACTTCAGGCTTTCCCCCCACATTAAGCTGACACGCTGTGATGTACCATATTTTCTTGAGTATAGTGCACACCCAAGTATAAAGCACATACCCCTCTATCGGATTCAGTATTTTGGATAAAAAAAATAATTCAAGTATTATGTGCTGAAAACAATTTCACCCTACCCCTTCAGACAGTAAACGAACAGGTGATAAGAAACTTGGTCAGTACAAATTTGGTACAAAAACCATCAAAACTGCGTGTATGATGCACACTTTTTCTACACAGCTGTGTTTTATTTTTTGGAAAAGTGTACACTGTACTCAAGAAAATACGGTAACTGGAATACTGTTCAAAGGGCATTAAATTCAGCCAACTCACTCACTATTGCATCAAATGCAATGATAAAATACCTCTGATTTTACTCTTTTTGGACTCCTAGATAAATCCCTGTGTTTTCTCTCAGTATTGCAACCCGTTGACTGACTACAATGGTATCTGTGTTACAGGACATGAAGCTGGCCCAGTGGCTGCACATCACCCTGTTTGAGAATCTCAGTCTGTCCCTCCTGTCTGCCTACCTGGATGTACTGCAGACCCTCAAAGCTAAGGTAGGATGGCTGAAACATGTGCTGATTAGGAGCTTGTTGTAACAGCCGACTAAAGTGAGGATCTGGTAGTCACGGTATTTCACTGATACGGCTGAGAATGGGACATTGTGCTCCGATGACAGGCATTGTTGATCATGCTATCAACCATTGGTTTGCCTAGCCCAGACTTGATTATGGTACATATCACTCACAGAGATATAGCCGGATTGTGTTGACTTATGGGAAACAACATTCTCTCACTCACTTGATGACCGCCTCCGTGGTCTAGTGGTAGAGCGTCCGTCGTGAGAGCGGAAGGTTCAATCCCCGGCCGCGTCATACCAAAAGACGTTAAAAGATGGTACTTGTTCTTACCCTGTCTGGCGCTTGGCATTAAGGGGTTAAAGCAAGGACTGGTCGGCTCGGAGTCAGTATACTGTGTCGTGAGTGGGGTATTCATGTTAAAGTGCAGCATGGTATCTCAGTGGGCTAGCACAATAAATAAAGCAGCCACACACGTGCATGCACGTCGCTATATAAGTGCAATAATCTTGGATGCGATGTTAAACCCAATTTCACCTCACCTCTCACTTGATAATTTGAAGGAATAAATGCAACATTTCCGACTTGAACATTGACCTCTCAGGTGTTGCCGAGGGTTAAGTTCTTTGAAATATTCACTTGTATCGGAAAGTTATTTCTGATGACATTAAATGAATTGTTCCTTAAAGGGTGTTACAATTGGATAATATGTCTGTATTGAGCTGTTTCTGTGTATTCATGTAAAGGTGTGCCAGTATTGTCCTGACACATTTTATTATGATCTCTAGGTGCCCTCCCTTGTGGACCGCATGATGGTGGCGACGGCGAGTCGGACTCCGCCCGTCACATCTGAGGCTCTCAATCTGCTGCTAAAGAGGCCCTGGGACCCAGTCCACAACACACTCTCACAGCAGAAGCCAGTCAGTATTCTCTACTCTTTTGTGGACTACATGCTAGTTGTTTTAAACAGAAACCTAATGAAAGAAACATGAGAAAAGTATGGCTTTCTTCATCCTCCAGCTTTTGTAAGCTTTTACCTCTAGGACCTCCTCCGTGGTCTCTAGATTGACAGGTTAGTCTTCTTTGAAGCAATGATACCTGATATTAAATACCAAGATGACAACAATTAGTGGTGGCTTTTGCTGACATTCAGGGAGCATGGTTGGCCAAGTGATTCAAGGTGCAGCAATTCCCTGTGTAGAGTTGTGATCCTTGGCTGTGCCAGGATCAGCTGATAGTGGGTTTTTGAACCCCAGATTAACCATGTTCAACCAAAATACAATCCTTGCTTTGCCAGCACCATACCTGCACTCAAGGGTTCCACAAAGGTGATAAATGTCTAAGCCTCGCATCACTCAGGGCTTCCCTACCACATTGTACTGACATGACATGGTATGACTGTTATACTGTTCCATAGCTGCCAACTGTCCAGAACCTGTATTTGTTACAAATTTTTCAATTAAATTACAAAAATATGATTTCTTCCTCAAACATTTTCATACACACAGATAAACATGCTAAAGAGATGGTAATTATTTAGCCTTACACCGTCTGCTATGAGTGCATCTTGTTTATTGACTGGTATGAAGTCTGTATATTGTGTTGCAATTGTCCAATCGAGACACTCCACTTGCATTATCAGAAGTTGCTGTAGTCGAAATAGGAACTTAACAGTAAAAATTATCAACTGAGTTTCGGAATGATATGACTCTCACATGGCTGTAGTGTAGACAATTCGTATCATCAGACTTTGGTGTCCCGACCAGACTATCGTAACAAAATACTTAGTGTAATTTGGTGAAGTTGGCAGCATTTAACCTGATCAGGTGAGCTACATTTTACATGAGTGTTCATGTCATACTATGTTTACAACACGAGTGTCTAAATACTGGAATTTAGGCATGAGTGTCGTAAACATAGTATGACATGAACACAAATAAAATGTTCTATTTATTACCGAAGAAGATGTCTACATACAGAGAGTGTTTACCTATATTGACAGCAAGTTGCAACAGTGACGGAACCACATTTTGTTGAATGACATCAACAATCTTCAGCTATGATGTCTTTTCTAGTGTGACATCAGTCCTACCTCGCGTCACAATAAGATTCGAATGACGTCAACAATGCGGTCCGGATGACGGAAACAATACACTGTTGTCTCGTGACGTGATATTACTCTAGGGCTCATATGATTTTTATGAACGCCGATATGTTTGCCCTCGTAGGTAATAGTTATATATGTTATGCATTATGTGACGATTTCACAATGACAAATCATATCCTCACAGAAGAAGTTGCCTGGCAACCCTCTCCTCCTGATAGCCCCCAGTGGCCCCATCCACTCCAGTATCGCATATTCCAAGAGGAGCAAGTTCTGGAACACCCAGCTGTCCAACCTGGGCAAAGTGATCCCCGTCACCATGCACACCGTCAATGGTGGCAGCGGAGTCGGCATTGCACAGTGCCTCGAACACATGATCGGAGCGGTCAGGACCAAGGTGCTGGAGGTGAGTAATGAGGCACGATTGTGAAAACAAGAAACTGTTTCCCTGCCTGACACAGCCAATATAAGCTCAATGCCTGCAAAAGTTTGCCCTCAAATACTGTTCGGGGGCACGGGTGGCCAGTAGTCTAAGGCGCCGCAATTTGCTGTGCAGAGTTGCGTCCCTTGGGCACGCCAGAAACCAATGATTGTGGGTTCGAATCCCGGTTTGCCACGATTAGGTTTCTAAGTTTGTCAGCACCATACCAGTGAAAATTTAAGAATTTGAAATTGTTTTTAACCTCCAAGGGAGTAAAAGTATAATGAATACCCCCCAAAAAATTGGTACCCAATGCAAATACTGAATAGCTTAAAAATATTCCTTGAGCCCTGATCTACATTTGAAATTGGAATTACTATGAATTTAGAGCTCTAGTTTTACTTTATGAAAATAGAAACCATGAAATGCTGACATGTGTTTTGCTTGCTTTCAGTCAAAGAGTCATTCCCAGAACCGGCCCATCATTCTCATTGGATGGGATGTTGGAGCTCTTGTTGCTTGTCATGTGAGTTACAGATCTTTGTGGAAAGAATATGTTGGAACAATTATTGTGTGAAAAGTAACTTTGTAGACTTTTGTATCAGGATTGTCATAGTGATATTGGAAAGCAAGGTAATTGAATATCAGATATTTTGTGTGTGTCCTATAAGTGACTATGATCCACTTTCTTGTTGCAGGTTGCCTTAGTGGAGTTGGTGACGGCTGTGGTGTGTCTGGGGTTTCCCTTCACAGGCATCAGCGGAGGAAGAGGGGTGTGTATTCAGTTTGTAGTGGAGAAAGATGAGGTGTATTCAGTTTGTAGTTGAGAAAGATGAGGTGTATTCAGTTTGTAGTGGAGAAAGATGAGGTGTATTCAGTTTGTAGTGGAGAAAGATGAGGGGTATTCAGTTTGTAGTGGAGAAAGATGAGGTGTATTCAGTTTGCAGTGGAGAAAGATGAGGTGTATTCAGTTAGTGGTGAGGAAGAGGGGTGTATTCAGTTTCTAGTAGAGAAAGATGAGGTGTATTCAGTTTGTAGTGGAGAAAGATGAGGTGTATTCAGTTTCTAGTGGAGAAAGATGAGGTGTATTCAGTTAGTGGTGAGGAAGAGGGGTGTATTCAGTTTGTAGTGGAGAAAGATGAGGTGTATTCAGTTTGTAGTGGAGAAAGATGAGGTGTATTCAGTTTGTAGTGGAGAAAGATGAGGTGTGTTCAGTTTGTAGTGGAGAAAGATGAGGTGTATTCAGTTTGTAGTGGAGAAAGATGAGGTTTATTCAGTTAGTGGTGAGGAAGAGGGGTGTATACACTTTGTAGTGGAGGAAGGGGGGTGTATGCAGTTTGTAGTGGAGAAAGAGGGGTGTATGCAGTTTGTAGTGGAGGAAAAGGGGTGTATGCAGTTTGTAATGGAGAAAGAGGGGTGTATACAGTTTGTAGTGGAGGAAGAGTGGTGAATGCAGTTTGTAGTGGAGTGAGTGAGTGAGTTGGGTTTAACGCCGCTTTTAACAGTATTCCAGTTATATCGCGGCATGTCAGCTTAATATGGGAGGAAAGCCCGAAGTGATGCAGGTCTCAGACGTTTACCACTTCAGTGAAACCCACGAGCACGGGTATGGTGCTGACAAACCTAGAAACATAATCGGGGCGAACCGGGATTGGAACCCACAATCATAGGTTTATGGCGTGCACAAGGGACGCAACTCTGCACAGCGAATCGCGGTGCCTTAGACAACTGGGCCACCCGTCCCCCCCAGTTTGTAGTGGAGGAAGAGGGGTGTATTCAGTTTGTAGTGGAGGAAGAGGGGTGTATGCAGTTAGTAGTGGAGGCAGAGGGGTGTATGCAGTTAGTAGTGGAGGAAGAGGGGTGTATGCAGTTAGTTGTGGAGGAAAAGGGGAGTATTTAGTTTGTAGAGGAGGAAGAGGGGTGTAAGCAGTTTGTGGTGGAGGAAGAGGGGTGTATGCAGTTTGTAATGGAGGAAGAGGGGTGTATGCAGTTAGTAGTGGAGGAAGAGGGGTGTATGCAGTTAGTAGTGGAGGAAAAGGGGTGTTTGTAGTGGAGGAAGAGGGGTGTATGCAGTTTTTAGTGGAGGAAGAGGGGTGTATGCAATTAGTAGTGGAGGAAGAGGGGTGTATTCAGTTTGTAGTGGAGGAAGAGGGGTGTATGCAGTTTGTAGTGGAGGCAGAGGGTGTATGTAATTAGTAGTGGAGGAAGAGGGATGTTTGTAGTGGAGGAAGAGGGGTGTATGCAGTTTGTAGTGGAGGAAGAGGGGTGTATGCAGTTTGTAATGGAGAAAGAGGGGTGTATGCAATTAGTAGTGGAGGAAGAGGGATGTTTGTAGTGGAGGAAGAGTGGTGTTTGTAGTGGAGGCAGAGGGATGTATGCAGTTTGTAGTGGAGGAAGAGGCGTGTATGGAGTTTGTAATGGAGGAAGAGGGATGTATGCAGTTTGTAGTGGAGGAAGAGGGGTGTATTCAGTTTGTAGTGGAGGAAGAGGGGTGTATGCAGTTTGTAGTGGAGGCAGAGGGTGTACGTAGTTTGTAATGGAGGAAAAGGGGTGTATGCATTTGTAGTGGAGGAAGAGGGTTGTATGCGGTCAGTAGTGGAGAAAAAGGGGAGTATTTAGTTTGTATTGGAGGAAGAGGGGTGTATGCAGTTAGTAGTGGTGAGGAAGAGGGGTGTTTGCAGTTTGTATTGGAGGAAGAGGGGTGTATGCAGTTTGTATTGGAGGAAGAGGGGTGTATGCAGTTTGTAATGGAGGAAGAGGGGTGTATACCATTTGTAGTGGAGGAAGAGAGGTGTATGCAGTTTGTAGTGGAGGAAGAGGGGTTTATGCAGTTTTTAGTGGAGAAAGAGGGGTGTATGCAGTTTGTAGTGGAGGAAGAGGGGTAGATGCAGTTTGTAATGGAGGAAGAGGGGTGTATACAGTTAGTACTGGAGGAAAAGGGGTGTAAGCAGTTTGTAGAGGAGGAAGATGGTGTATACAGTTTTTAGTGGAGGCAGAGGGGTGTATGCAGTTGGTAATGGAGGCAGAGGGGTGTATGCAGTTGGTGATGGAGGCAGAGGGGTGTATGCAGTTGGTAATGGAGGAAAAGGGTGTATGCAGTTAGTAGTTGAGGAAGAGGGGTGTTTGTAGTGGAGGAAGAGTGGTGTATGCAGTTAGTAGTGGAGGAAGAGGGGTGTATGCAGTTTTTAGTGGAGGCAGAGGGGTGTATGCAGTTTTTAGTGGAGGAAGAGGGGTGTATGCAGTTTGTAGTGGATCAAACTGTTTTAATCAGTTGTTTAATCAGATGTTATTGTGATTTGAAACCTCTGATTGACCAGCCCAAAGCAAGTTTCTTCCAAAGTCTTGGTAGTGTTAGTGGTGGCTAAATAGTCTCCATGTTGTGTCTCCTACAGGACGTGGAGGACCCCCTCCTGGACAGCAAGACTCCCACACTGTTTGTGGTCGGCCAGCACTCCAGCGTGTGTGAGATTGACGACATTGAGGACCTACGGGAGAAGATGAAGGCAGAAAATGGCCTCCTTATGGTGGGTGGGGCCGACAATCAGCTCCGTGTCAGCCGGGCCAAGAAGAAGCAGGAGTGTGTGACACAGGTGATGGTGGACAGGTGTATTCTGGTGAGTGTGACACAGGTGTATTCTGGTGAGTGTGACACAGGTGTATTCTGGTGAGTGTGACACAGATGTATTCTGGTGAGTGTGACACAGGTGTATTCTGGTTAGTGTGACACAGGTGTATTCTGGTTAAAGTCTGACACAGGTGATGGTGGGCAGGTGTATTCTGGTGAGTGTGACACAGGTGTATTCTGGTTAGTGTGACAGATGTATTCTGGTGAGTGTGACACAGATGTGTTCTGGTTAGTGTGACACAGGTGTATTCTGGTTAGTGTCTGACACAGGTGATGGTGGACAGGTGTATTCTGGTGTGTCAGACACAGGTGATGGGGAACAGGTGTATTCTGGTTAGTGTGACACAGGTGTATTCTGGTTAGTGTGACACAGGTGTATTCTGGTTAGTGTCTGACACAGGTGATGGTGGACAGGTGTATTCTGGTGTGTCTGACACAGGTGATGGGGAACAGGTGTATTCTGGTTAGTGTGACACAGGTGTATTCTGTTTAGTGTCAGACACAGGAGATGGTGGACATGTGTATTCTGGTGAGTGTGACAGGTGTATTCTGGTGAAACCTTCTTATTGAGGTGGTTAAGAGGCATGGGACTTCCACATATCAGCCAAATTCTAAACATGTGCCTTCTACTATTGTGTTTTTTTATTTGTAGATTTTGTGTTTCTAAATCTGTCTTTGACATGTTAAACTGTTGACTACATACCTAGGTGAACTAAAGTGAGTGAGTGAGTGAGTGAGTATGGTTTTACGCCGCTTTAAGCCATATTCCAGCAATATCATGGCAGGGGGGGGGGGGAGAGGGGGGGTCACCAGAAATGGCCTTCACACATTGTACCCACTATTTTTACATGTAATTCAAACACACATCAAGTTCCAATCTATGTTATAGGATGAGATTTGTGAGTTCCTGGGAGGAATCTTGTCGCAGTCTGCCACAGCACTAGAAGGCTTGGACCAGTCTATTGATGTCGACCTCCGCAATAAGAAAAAGAGGCGGGTGTCCCGCGAGATCACACAGACAATTGCCGAGTCACCTTTCACTGTGGTGAGTATGAGTAAGGCAAGGGAATTTATTTTCCTGTTAGCAAACTACTCTTGACTTCATCGGTATTCCAGAAGTGTGGCTTTGTTTCTAAATGATCTCTAAAAAAAATATTTATAAATTTTAAACTGAAAAGTAAAATGTCACAGGCAAAATTGGATATATATTTTGACCAAAGGCTCTAAGAGATTTAATCTGTAAACCCACTGATACAAGAGGAAAGACCTTATGACACATTGACACTTTGTAAATTGCAGTCATCAAGAGGCCGAGGTCGCGGGATGAGACAGAGCTTTGCAGGTGTGACCTTGAGCTCTCAACTATCCCGTGCTGACGAGACCGATTTTTCGGCAGATATGCCTATAACCACCATCAAACTCTCAAGTAAAAACATTAACTGTTCCAGAATTTATTGCACCTATTAGAATTTTATCAGCCTAAAGTGTAATATGATCTGTAAAGAATGTGATTTGAGTAAACTGTTCATTTTGCTTCATATAGAATATAAAACAATATTTCTGTCCTCAGATCGCCGAGGCACACCCAAGAAACGTCAGGCAAGAAGTCCCATAACTAGTGTCCCAAGGAAGAAGATCTCCCTACCGACGTCGGTAGCAGGAAGCAATCTTGCATCCCCCAAACTGTCCAACAGAACAACTGGAAACATACCCCAGCCCCTCACCATACCAGGGGCCAGGGAGCTCTCGGGGCTGCTCCAGGGGGTGAAAGGGGCGGAAGAAAGCACCGTGCCCAAAAGCACCAGCATCACAACTGTCCCCCTGTCTCAGATCCTCACCTCAGCAGCCCTGGCCAGTCAGCGAACATCAGACAGCCCGTCAGGAGGAACACTGCTAGCGACAGCTGTGAAGAGTGACCCTGTCCCTGGGGAGAAGACAGCTGAGACAGTCCCCTTACAGCTGCAGACCGGGGCATCAGGGTCATCAGGCAACCACTCACAGATCCTTCTTAGGACCGGATCCAAGCCTTTCTCTATTCCTCTCTCCATGGCGCAGAAACTTGTGTCCGGGTCCCCTCTGGTTCACATCACCACTGCTGCCACAGCTTCAACACAGATACAGCAGCTGCTGTCCACTATAGGCAGGTCTGTGTCTGGGTCCGGGTCCGGGTCTAGTGGGCAGACAGCCATGATCATAACAAGTGCAGCCCCCAGCACAAGCCAGGCTTCTACCGTGGTCACACAAGCCGGGAACCTGGACAGACAGACATCTCCTGCCATGGCAAAGACGACGACCGTCGCTAGCGCTGTTCCCCCAGCCACAGGCACCCCATCTACCGACCAGGAGAAGGTGCAGGCGATACAGAGGCTCCAGTTCCATGACTTCCCCCTCACCACTGCATCACTGTCATTGTCATCGGGGGCAATATCTGTGACTCAAGCTAAGATACTCTCAAGCTCTCAGTTAGATCTGGCAAGGTTACAGTCGATTTCTGAACCTGGTAAAGGTCCTGTGCAAATTGCTGTCAGCAAGAGTCTTATCAGCCCAAATACACTAACAGTGTCTTTACCAAGTAGCTCTGTTACTAAAACAGTGTCTCATTCAACTTTGATTGCATCATTAACTTCCCCAGGTAAACCTGCACAATCAGTTCCATCACCTCTCAGTGCTGGAAAACCGTCATCTGTGCTCCCATCAACAACCCGACCAGACAGACCTCCATCTGTAATGTCAACAGAGCCCCTGGGTAAGGTGTCATCGTTACTGGAGTCTAGTCCTGTCTTGTCCCCCTCAGCCCCCTCCCCGGGGCCAAGCTCCTCACCCCCATCCAGTGCAATTCCCAAGACAGTGGAGGCAGAGCTATCCCAGGACTTGTCTCCCACGAGTAAAACATCACCAAAGAGTGGACCCAAGGGTGTGACGGCCTCTTACAGTGCTACAGCTAAAACCGTCCTTCCAACAATAGCATCCACACGGACTAGACGCATCAGGACACCCAAGCAGTATGACTTGTGATGTGATGCTGAACAGGAACTGTGACGTTGTATTGCTTGGAATGATTTGCTTGGTGTTCAGGTGCATTTCATATTGTTTATGTGTTCAAGTACTCAGCACAGGTGCAATTGTCAAAGTCTTAAGGAAATGACAAGATATTGGCATTTATCTTACTTCACAATGGGAATGTTAGGACCAGCAACTACAACTGCTTCAGTCTGTGTCAAAAACTTTTGAGTCTACTAGCCTGAATTTGGCTACATGCATCATTTTCTGTAGATTTTGATATGATAGTGCTTACTGGAACGAACATCATTTTAATAGACTTGGACTTCGGACTAGTGGCAAAAGTCGCAGACTGCTGTTTAGCAGTGTATTGTACCCATGAAAACATCAGCATGCCTAAGAAGAAAGTATGTTTAATTACAACAATCTATTAAGCTTATACAGAGTTTTATTAATACCAGATAATGAGAATGATCTTTAGGTAGAAAAAAGCCTAGAATGGAATTATCATTTTCAGGTTTGTATCAATTGTACAGGATTCTCCCCACCCACTTTGTGTACAGAGAATCATACGTGCATACCACATCCATCCACACTTGACAATTCTGTATATCTTGGAAGATAGAGCCCTTTGTCCCATCAGTGGATAAATATACTGCTCAACTTTTGATAGGGATAATTAGATATAGGTTTTACTCTGCACAGCCAATTGCGGCGACTTAGACAACTGGGGCACCATGTCCCCATCAAAAGTGGAGATGTATTTTACCATGTATAAGATCTGTTCATGTTCATATTCATACCGGGTTAGAATGGGTCCCCAGCAACCAATATTGCTGGTTCATTACATGTCAAAATACCCTTATGACATGGGTTGTTGGTGATGATATCAATCACTGGTTTGTCTAGTCCTGACTTGATTATTAACAAGTTGACATCATATAGCTGGAATATTGCTGATTGTGATGTTAAACACAAACGATGATGCCCGATATGTCGCCCTTCGGAGGGACATCATATAGCTGGAATGTTGCTGATTGTGATGTTAAACACAAACGTTGATGCCCGATATGTCGCCCTTCGGAGGGACATCATATAGCAGGAATGTTGCTGGTTGTGATGTTAAACACAAACGTTGATGCCCGATATGTCGCCCTTCGGAGGGACATCATATAGCGGGAATGTTGCGGGTTGTGATGTTAAACACAAACGTTGATGCCCGATATGTCGCCCTTCGGAGGGACATCATAAAGCGGGAATGTTGCTGATTGTGATGTTAAACACAAACGTTGATGCCCGATATGTCGCCCTTCGGAGGGACATCATATAGCAGGAATATTGCTGATTGTGATGTTAAACACAAACGTTGATGCCCGATATGTCGCCCTTCGGAGGGACATCATATAGCTGGAATGTTGCTGATTGTGATGTTAAACACAAGCGTTGATGCCCGATATGTCGCCCTTCGGAGGGACATCATTACCATTGTTTTGGTATTGTAGATTTGCTATTTTTGGGGAAAACATTTTGTCTTTTTGTTGCTTTAATGATGAGTTGACAGGAAGTGATGACTATATAAAACTTCTTTATAGTCAACATACCTTGCCTAAAATGGATGACAAATGTGTTCAGTCAAAATAAGCTCCCTGCAAGGGCGTAGTAGACGAAGAAAAAAAGAAATTCAGTGATATCTAATCAGTAATATTGGGTTCAGTTCACTTCATATGGTTACTATCAGGATTGTCAAGACTGCATTCATTTGCTCATATACTATGTATATGTGTATACATTGTTCATTTTCAAGAAATAAAAAAAACATAACATCTTGTTATTTTTTTATATTTTTGCATCAGGCTGAATTAATGGGAGCAATTTGACTGGAGTCTAAAAACATATCCATCGCCAATACTTCCACAGGTTTTCTACATCATGGGGACCGCCTTTATGGTCTAGTGGATCATGATCTACTTCTTGTCACCCGGTCTGGAGCTCATCATTAACAAGGACTGCTTGGCTCTAGTGAGAATACTGTGTCTGAGTGTGGTACCCATGTTAAACCTGCAGCATGGCAGCTCAGTGGGCTGCACTAAGAAACTGGCATTAGTCAGGGCTTGTGTGCACGCATGCACGTATGCACCACTATATATGTGCAGTATCCTGAACGCGACGTTAACCCCATAACACCTCCCATCACCTTGGGGAGCATGGAGGAATGTATTCTAAACTAGTGAAGTACTGACGATAAACACGCCCAAAGTGTTCAGAACTGAAACAAGAATCATGATGCTGCAGAACATCCTTCCTGTGTTCATTGTTCTGAGGTGAACCAAAGATGCTGGTTACTATCTTTACAAAGTATTCACAGAAAGACAATCTCATTAAGATCAGATCTTAGCTCCAACCACCTTTAACAATGATACGACCTTTTGCAAACTTTCATTGAACAATGAAATTACTAACAAGAAGTCCAGGATAGCCAATCAGAAAGCAGCTTTCTACGGCTATTCGGCAGTAGTTTCTAACTGGCGACTACACTTTGAAAAATATTTTGACAAAGTTCTCGATTCAAAATCTGAAAATTGAACAAAAGCACATACTGGGACGTCAACAGCTAGCCTATAGATTGCATGGCAGTACTTCCCACGGGCAATGCAAGGTCTCGTCATTCACATGTGTATCCCATTGAAGTGACATGTTTTTGATGCATTTCGTTTCGGAATACCCAACATTAAACTCTGAGGTTGCATGATTAGAAACCCTGTGTGATGACCTCAGATCTTTGTTTAGCGGTAGCACGAACTAAGATTTGATTTGAATGAGATTGACAGAAAGACAATGTACATGCTGTATAGAATATTTTAATATGATTCAATTTCATTCATCCAGACACTAAATAAATGCAGTCAAAGACGCCATACAAAGGTTTTCCTTTTCCTCTTCGTTTGGTGAAACTACACACACACAATGTAACTGATCCATAGAATGTCAACACACACTGCCATCTTGACAAGTCTCGCGTATCAGCTTTGAGAATCGGTTTCCCCCTTTGGAGTAGAGTCTTTAAGAGGAGGAGTAGCATTGTCAAAGTCTGTTACTTCTTTACCGGATGAGTCTATAGCAAAGTTATAATCTTTTCTCGAGTTGAGCAACTTCTCAATCTCCTGATCCAGATTATCTTCTGTGATGAAATATTTAGATTCCTCCTGAAAGAAACAACAGATGAAACTTTAGCACTGTTCAAGGAACTTGACTGCCTATCATGGAATTTAATGTATGAATTAATTGATGTGTCCAAAATCTGAACTCAACATTTCAGTAAGTATTCCAAGAGAAATACTACATTGTATAGTAAGATTGTTTGGAATTATGTTCAAATGGTGTTCAAGAGAATAATATAGTCTCCAGATTCATGCTGAGTGACATGCATTAGTTTCATTGACTGAAATCAGCACCATTTACAAAACGATCATAGGGCTGAGACGATTGTAACTCCCATACTTTATCATAGACTTACGACAGTCGTAGCAGTATGATCACTTTGTATAACATGGCCTAAATGAACCTGTGCTTTCCAGTTCCGCAACCCAAATTTAATCTGAGAGAAGTTATTGTAGCAAATCTTTGAGGGGATGAGTCTCCGGGAAACTTGGCAGCCCCAGCTTGAGTCAAGTTGTTCAAACACTGCTTTGTTTTATGTATACTAATCTAACATTCATGATAGTCCTAGTACTTCACTGAGACACTATCTCAGTATCAGACACTGCAGAAACTGACTAGATCTTTATTGAAAATTTGTGCGTAAGGTTAGTTTACATCTGCTTTGAACAATATTTCAGTCGCATCACAGCGTGTCAGCGTCATGTGAGAGGAAAAACTAGGTCAAGCCAATGTGGGATTCAAACCCACGATCATAACTTTCTGGCACACCTAAAGGATTCAGCGAAGCACAGTGAATTGTGGCGAGTTTGACAACTATCCTCTTCTGCCTCAAGTGGTATAAGACTAGAGCAGATGCAGACACAGTCCTCCATATACCTTATTTTGGTTTCACAGCCTCGCAGAAATTCCAAGCTCTTGGTCAAAGCATCAAAGTCCAAAACAAATGATTCTGCTAAACGATGATATGAATTCTTCTCATCTCTTCCCCCCAATATTTGCAGTGTCTGATTATAATTGAAATGTTCAAGATGACTTACAATATTTGCAAGAATCAATTGATGTGCCTTTGCTTCCTGCTTCTGTTTCCGTTGAACCCTTCTTTCCACCTGGCGATCAAGTCTAGCTTGGATTTTTTCAAATTCTTCCTTCTGTCGACTTTCCCTGTAAAACAGTAAAATGAAAAAAATTATCTTTCTCCCCTCTGATACTTATCAATAACAGCTGTGTATGACATACTTCAGTCGTGATGTAATGCGAGCCATGTGTCAAAAGTGACAAGTGTACCATTCTCTGAAAACCACTCATATTGGTGTTGTTTTGTTTTTTGTTTAATGCCACATCAGCAATATTCCAGCTATATGATGGCAGGCTGTCAATAATCAAGCCTTGATCTTTACAAATCCAATCATGAAAACAGTAGTACTGTGCTAACCTGCTAACACCAATACCAAGATTACAGCTGATAAAGAAGTTGTACCCATGCTAGTTTCAATATGATGGCTACAGTATTTACAAAAGTTCAGATGATGATGTTTTCTAAATTAATAACAGCATGCTGTGTGATATTCTGGTAAAAAGAATGTGTTGAATAGATAGAGGTTATCACGCGAGTGTTTGGGGATGGTAAATATCCTGCATTAGGAATAAACATCGTATTTAGCAAGCCTTGGCGAGCTAAATACAAAGTGTTTATTCCTAATACAGGATATTTACCATCCCCAAAGACACACGCGTGATAACCTCTTTATCATATAATGTCATTCTTTAATTCTGTGCTTCAAAATCGCTTTCCCTCTCTCACAAATATTACCGAAACATTGTGAGTTTTCCTGGAATGTGCGCATTAATATTTATTATGTCACAGGGTAAGTGATGTGTCAGTCGAACAGTGACAGTAGCCAATATAGTTCCAACTGAAATCTAATTTCTTATACAGTGGTGAAGCAACATATACGCAAAACAACAATTGTTTTTAATTTCCTTTCGCGGCAATCCATCGGTCTGTCCACTAGAGTAACTGCCTTTGTCAAAGGGAAGCTACTCTAACCCTAATCTATGAGACGTCACGGCCACGTTCAGACGTTGTTGAAAGTCGGTCTGTCCTGACATAACGTTAAGAAGTGTAGTCAGATGTACACACAGCGACAAATCGAAACAAGGTAACAATTCATACGTATTTCGGCCAGTTCTAACTATCTTAATTTGTGGAAAAGGTTTCAAGCCGCAGACGTCTACAAGCACAGATATGGCTACTGATCCTGCTTGGCTTAGGCCTAGTGCCCTTGCAAAATTGTATTGAAATTTATACCTCCAAAGTTGCCAAAACTTAAAATGCCTTAGCTATGTCACCATGGTCACAGTTAGACACTGATTTTCAGTATATTAGACTGTTCTTTTGATAATGATAGCAATTATCCCTGTAGTTTATCCAGATTCCTGATGGTTAATTCTGACTCGATCGCCTAATGACGAGGGCGACGCCGTGTTTGTTTATAAACAGTGAAAGTAGTCCCTGCTTGACCTTTGATATTTGCATCCCTATCCGCATATGACCCCTACGGATATCGATTTTATCCGTTGGCTTTATCCTTCCGAAAAACCTACCCCTAATATAGATATCTATGCTGAAGGTTGACACCTGCAGACATATTGCTACTCAACAAATACAACTTGTTGCTATGGAAATATGTGTTTTAAAAGTAATAAGAACTTTGTATTGATGTGGAAACAAAACATGAAATTCAAAAGTAATTACAATGTTTGGAAATTTATGTGAAATTCCATATTTTCATTTAAATTTAAAACGTCTGAAGTAAAAGAAAATAATAACCATGATAACTGCATGTATAGGTTACAGGTCAGATTGGGCATATAAGTTAATAGCAGTTTTCTCTGAGGATGTGCCACAGTATTCATTAAGTTCATGGTGTTGCTTCAATTCAGTGACATTTTAGTCATGGTTGCAGTACCTAACGGCCGCCACCTTGGCATTCCACTTGTTGTTTTCCTCCATGATCCATGCAAACTCTTCTTCCTCATCAGTCTGTTGGGCTTTCAGCAGGGCACGTCTCGCCAAGTCAGCCTGGTGAGTTTTTGTTATGAAATTTCTACAAAAGACAATAATGTGATTAATGTTCATGCCCTATGCAGAGATGTGTTTTATCCTCCCCATCATCCACAGGTCCGTGTATATGTCACTCCAAGTATCATTCCCCACATGAATACTGTCTGTAGTCTGACATATTAAATCATTAAAATTGTGTTATTTTCAATAGAAATAGAAATCATCTATATATTTATTGGTTATATTGCACATCTACACATAATAATGTTCATCTTGTTCATAGGCGATGTTCATAAATATGATTATGAGGTAAATGTTTTCTCAATTTAAAGGATGGTTCTAAGTGAAGATTTTATTGAGCAACGTCAGGATATAATGATCAATAAACAACAGCAATTATTGCTAAAACATAAAGGTGAGGTAAAACGTCCTGTTCAAGATTATTGCACTTATATTGCAACGTGCATGCACGTGTGTGTGGCTGCTTGTACTAGTCCGGACTGATGCCGATTAGTGCTAGCCCACTGAGATACCATGCCGCAGTTTAACATGAATACCCCACTCAGCTGCAGTTTAACATGAATACCCCACTCAGACACAGTATACTGACTCCAAGCCGATCAGTTCTTGTTTTAGCCCCTTAATGCTGAGCAACAGGCAGGGTAACAAGTACAATCTTTTAACGTCTTTTGGTATGATGCAGCCTGGGATCGAAACCCTGGACCTTTCACTCTCTGGGCGAACGCTCTACCACTAGACCAAGGAGGTGGTCTTAAACACAAAGATATTTCCAAAATGAAATGCTGCAAATTAACTTGTTGTCATAATGTCATACACTGCTTGGGATGGGATATACCCAGATTGAGGTATTTCCGAACCTGATCCATGTTATGACAATTCTATTTCCTTGTTACTTTGGCTGAATTGAATTTGAAAATAATTTTGGGGGACTCCTTTAATTGAAGTCTATGCAAGTTTATGTGGAATAATCTCATTATGGGTAAGACTGCAGTTACCGGGTACAGCTAGAGTGCGAACTGACTCCAGATGTGGCTTTTTTCCTCACTTGTCTGTGATCTTGCATTAGTGTTAGTTACATTACTATGTTAACCTTTGCAAATTTTATACGGATTAATCTGATTACTGGCAAAACTGCATCTAATCGAGTTCAGATATAGGGTATCTGCAGTAATTATATACATGTACTCTGGTACGGTTACCACAGCTAATTGTGCACAAACTGGCTCCAGATGAGCTAATACTTCTTGCATTAGAGTTAGGGAATACCACAGACTCTATCCTTAACTCTTGAATTCCTTTTCCTATCATTAGAATTGGGTATCCCTTTCCGATCAAACAACCAATGACAATCCTTGGGTTCTGTCCTAAGAGGCGACTATGTTTGTCTTAAGAGCCAATTAACAGGATCGGGTGGTCAGGCTGTCTTGGTTGATGCATGTCATCGTATCCCAATTGCGTAAATTGATGCTCATGCTGTCAATCACTGGGTTGTCTGGTCCAGATTCGATCATTTACAAATCTCCGTCCTATTGCTGTAATACTGCTGTGTGCGGCGTTATACAACAAACAAACAATCTTTGGGTTCACACTTTCTGATCTGATTCGAAATTGGTCCCGTGGTAAAGTGTTGGCTATTCGAACCCAGCTTCAAAGCTGGCAGCTGGTGTTCGATGCTCTACTGACGTACCGCTAACAAAAATCATAAAAGTGCACTCAGTAAAGTACAATATTCTCTGCTCTATTTACCTGACAGCTCGCAGATGTGTGTTGTAAATTGGAAGCCTTTTCTTCACCTCTGCCGTATCTTCGGGGTGGAACACTTGAGGCTTTGGCACATAGAATTTCTTGCTAGCAGTCACTGGGTGCCATCTTGACTTTCTCCATCGAACTGTCTGATAGCATGATGCTAACTTAGGCAATTCTTGGGTAACGATTTTCAATGTAACAAAGTTTTGAGATCTTACGACTGCAGCTAGGAAAGACATGCCGGCCATTGTTACCGGAAGTGAAGAAAGCCATGTAACGACTCAAATGATTGGTGTTTGGAAAGATAGCTTAGCTAATCATTGGCGTTGGTGTTAAAGGCGTAATGGTTATAAAATCCGAAAGATATCGATTTTTATGACCAAATCAAAATGTTTGAACAAGTCAGGCAAATAGAGGGCTGGTAGAAACACAAATTCGTATATTATAATGAATTAATTTTCGTCGTAAATAAATATGAAATATAAAAGTATCTGATATTAGCCTAAAAAGCTTTATTGTTGGTTTTGTCCGGTTATTCCTCTCTGCGCTCAGCTCACACTCTTTGCAGCGTAAGTTAGGTTCCGCTACTGTTGTTTTGTTGCTGTGTAGGTCACAGATAATAACTGTCGGGAGTTTCGGAAAACTCAACATGTTTATAAACATGGCTGGCGGTGACACCACGTGTTGCAAGAATGTTTGCAGCTGATTAGGCAATCGTATCTAGTCAGATAGATATGCATGAGAATAATGAGTTGACATTCATGGGTAAAAGCATTAGCGTTACCTGTCTCAGGGACTGAAATTTTTGCGTGTTCATGTGATACACTTGAACGAAGGATGGAGAAGAGTGTGAGAGTTCTTGCAGCGGCAGTGCTAGGAACTGCTTCTGTCTATGCTGTCGGTATGTTTCAGTTGAATATGTACCGAATTGCGCTGGGTCTCCATAGCAACATTTCTTAATTGTACATTTGATGAATTTTTTGTTTTCAGTGCTAACATTTCGCCAGCTGTACAAACATTTTAAAACTCAGTCGAGGAAACGTCAAAAAAGAAAAAGAACCAATCTAGAAATTCATCTCATCTCTACCCCGGAGGAATGGCAAAATCAGTTGGTGATGCTAACAGAACATCTGAAAATTATGAAGGTAGTGTTAAATAGGATATCTATACTGAACAACAAAAGTTCCTGTGACATTGAATAAGATTTAATGCAAAGTTATGTTTTTTACCAAATCTGAAACAATTTCGGTTTGCAACAGATGAAAGACTCCTGTAAGTGTTCAAATGGTTTAATTTGCTACACTGACTTCAGAAAAGGCGTGAACAAAAAACATGAACAATGTCAATTTACAAATCAATAGCGCGTGTGTCCACCTCTGGTTGCGATGCAAGCAACACATCTTCGCCTCTTGGAATGGACCAGGCGTCGTACAAAGTCCTGTGGGATATCTGTTGGAGCATGTTTCGAAGTTCCTGGAGTGTCTTTGGAACACATGGTTGAGTTGAAGGCGCTGATCCATCTCATCCCACATGTGCTCGATTGGTGAGAGATCAGGCGAGCAAACCGGCCAGGGGATGACATTCACATTGTTTTGTTGAAGAGGATCCAGAGCAAGTCGAGCAATATGAGGCCGGGCGTTGTCATCTTGAAAGGTAATGCCTGGGCCATGACGACGCAAAAATGGTAGAACAACAGGGCCGATGATCTTGTCGCGGTAGCGCTGTCCATTGAGATTTCCCTCTATCACTATCAAACGGGTCCTCTGTCTTGCTGTAATCCCACCCCATAACATTACGCTGCCGCCCCCGAACTGATCTTCTTCCATGACACAATGATTGACGTAACGTTCACCTCGACGTCGGTTCACTCAAATCTGTCCATCGCTGTGGCTGAGGTGATAATGAGACTCGTCAGTGAATAGAACTTGTCCCCACTGCATGGCCATCCAGCGTAGATGCTGTCTGCATCACTGTAGACGTGCTTGACGGTGGTTTCCTGTCAAAATGGGACGTCTTCTGGTGACAATCCCTTCACATCTGACAACGTACGGTTTGTGAAGATATTTGTCAAAGGCCAGGGATGCTTCTTGCTGTCACTGTTGCTGGCTGGAATCGATTTTGTAGGTGTGTTGTTCGAATCCAGTTGTCTTTACGATTATTGGTTACGTGTGGCCTGCCACTCCGAGGATGGTCTCTGACTGCATTCGTCTGTTGCCAACATTGCCATAAACACCAAATGGTGTTTCTGTGGACGTTAAATTGTCTTGCAACATCACGTTGACTCTATCCTGCATACCAATGGCTCGCAGACGCTCATTTTCGGACAGGCGTGGCATTTCGTAATGTTGAATAATTGAGTAATTTTGTTGTTTTTCTGAGTGGTTGTTGTCAGCACAATGTTAAACAATGCATATGGAATCCCGTTAACGCACATGTTTTTATACCCATTCTTGGGTACTGAAATGCATGGGGCTTGCATAAAAGTCAACTTTTGCATGGAATGCATGCTTTTCTGTAGCAGTTGCGTTTTTGTGACTTGATTCCATACATGTACTACAATATTGAAAACTAAACTTTACTTGTTTGAAAAATACACTAAAATATTGGTGTCACAGGAACTTTTGTTGTTGAGTATATTGTGGGAAGATTTCCACCCATAACCCCTGATTCAAATTTTACCTTGGTTAAGGTAGCCTAACCCTATTTAAATCATTTTTGATACTTCCAGGCAGGTGTTATTATTTTAAAAAAATTGAAGTCCTATAAAATATGTATTCTGTTGATTGAAGAAACAAAACTAACACAAATCTGTATTGATTTTGCTTGTTTATTGTTAAGACATTTAGTTTATATATTGTTAAGCCATTACACACAGATCTTTCTTGTCACATGGTCTGTCACATGGTCTCCATCTCAAAATATCATCTTATTGTAATGGTCTCCTCTCACTGGCCTCCTCTATCATGGTGACATCTTCAGTAGCAGTGGAAGCATCAGACTTCCTCTCCACCTCATCCTGCATCACTGCCTCCACACGGTGACTGGTTGCCATAGCAACTTACACTAACTCCAGGTTCACATACTCCATGAAGCAATCCCTGACAAGAGTCGGCTGATTTCTTGGTACCGTCTTTTTACACATATTACAATGAACCATCAGTTTGATTTTAGCTGTGGTGAGGCTTGGTGCAGGTGTAACCTAACCTCATTTCTCCAGAAGTTCTCAATTATTGTAATTGACCCCCCCCCCCCCCCCCAAACAAAATGACAATGGATACATGGGACAGTTAAGACAAGATATTTAATGGATGACAACTTGTTTATTTATTATGATGTGATGTTTCGGTATAGATCCTTATATCATTGTCAAGCAAGAGTGACAACAGTATAAGGATCTACACAAAAATGTAAATCATAATAAATAAAGAAGTTGTTGTCCATAAATTATCTTGTCTTTACTGTTACTTACCAACTTCTGAGTCAAACAGTTACCGGTAATACATGGGACCCTTTTCTCCAATTTGGGCCCATACCTTATCTTCACTTCTCCTGTCTGTGTCATTGTATCTGGACTCTGTCTTTTTTTGTGTTTGTTTGTTGCCGCACTCAGCAATATTCCAGCTATATGATAGCGGTCTGTAAATAATCAAGTCTGGACCAGACAATCTAGTGATTGACATCATGTGCATCGATCCACGCTATTGGAATACGATATGCTTCAACCAAGTCTGAGCCTGACCACCCGATCCCGTTAGTCGCTTCTTACGACAAGCATAGTTGCCTTTTACGGCAAGCATGGGTTGCTGAAGACCTAGCCTTGCCCAGATCTTCACAGGCCCTTTTTTTGTGGCAATGGTTAATCTTACTAATTGAAAAACAATCAAATTAACAATTAATTAAATCCCATGGGAGAAAAGGATCCCATGTAGGAATTGTATAAACTAAATCACTGCAGATTTGTGTTAGTTTTGTTTGGAGCCATTTTCACTCAAATTTGAAGCCATTTTATTTAAATTTCTTGAGGCCAATTTTGTAAGTGGCCATTTTCTCTATAACCCGTGCCGAAGTAGGCCAAGTATGTTTGTACCTGTAGGTAAGGTTACCTTGCTGTTTTGATTGACTATATGACCCCTGTTTATTTTTCTTTATGACCTTTCTGATCTAATATGTTCCGGAAAAATTCATGTGAGCTACGGAGGTGTTGGCTCAATTTTTTTATGTGATTATTGCAATGTGATGTGTTGCGCCTCTAGGTTGTGGGCTTGGACTGTGAGTGGGTGTCAGATCACACGACCGGACATCGCTCCCAGGTGGCGCTGCTGCAGATGGCAACAACCTCTGGTCTGTGTCTGTTGGTCAGACTGTGTCACATGGGCAGCATGATACCACAGACACTGAAGGACGTGTTGGCAGATCCAAGGTAGAGGTCAATACTGATAGCAGTGTATGTATCATGTACAAACTATGAGAAGTCCAGCTCTCTGTCTCACATGATACTGGTTTAGACAGTCCCTTGTGTTATGTAGATACCAGTACCTATTTTGTAATGACTGGAGACTTACCATGCTATCCTGAGGAAATGGGCTGAAAAAACATACACATTTTGGTTTATTAATGAATGAAAAGCAAATACTTTTAACTTGACAGGATCTAGAGTTTGGTGTTGGTAGTCAATGGTTGGACACCAATTCCCCAGCAGATTCTGTTGTCTTTGTATACAATCACAAATATACAGTCACAGTCAAAAGTGTCTCTGAAGATCTGGGTTAGAATTGGTCTTCAGCAGCCCATGCTCACTGACTTGGTTGATGCATGTCATTGTATCCTAATTGTGTGGATCAATGCTCATGATGTCAGTCACTGGATTGTCTGGTTCATACTCGATTATTTAAAGACCACCGTCATATAGCTGGAATATTGCTGAGTGGGGCGTTAAACAACAAACAAACAAACATTGTTACAAACAAAGAAGCAAACAGCATATTCCTGGGACACCTAATTATGAAGCAGAATTGGCAAAACATATTTTGTCAAAGTATAAATCATTTATTTTTGTTGAAGGTTTATGTAAACCAAGTAATACCATCTTAAGGTCCTGACATTAGGATATAGTTGTGTTGGTAACTTTCTTTGTATGTGACTATATGGTTGCTTTGTAGCATACTTAAAGTTGGTGTAGCAGTGAAGGATGATGGGAAAAAATTGACAAAGGATTATGGGATGGTTGTTCAAGGCTGTGTTGACCTTCGGCATCTCTTGACCCGTGTCAGACATAAGTATAAGTGGTAAGTCTTGCTTCAGATTTTCCACCGGCTCTGAAAGAAGATAATTAACATAATCAGGAACTATAGACAATACCGATGATACTTTAGTAGAAGAGAGCTGTGTATTTTGTAAACATGTAATATTTGTAAATCTCTTTTTTTAGTTCAGTACCTTTTTTGAATATCTATATTTAAAAATTACGAATTTGCAAAGTAAGATAATTACAGTTATAGGATCGTTGTGTCGCTGATCAAATCCAAGCAGAATGTTTTTTCTTGTTAATGTGAGCTTAACTTGAATGATTGAAACTTCATGATAATGAGGGCAGTGCCTGAGAACCAAGATTTGTTTTTTTATCCTAACACCTACGAGGGGCGTTCAATAAGTTTTGCAACTTGGGCATTTGTGTTTACACAAACAATGTCAACTTGTGACAGGTGTGACACAAGTCATAACATCAGGTTGACACGTGTCATAACAAGTTCCAGACACAACAATAAGCATGATAAGTTAGATGTGATGGCTTCATTCACCTAAGGGTGGTCACAATCATGGATTCTCTCACCCATGAACAATGCGCTGTAATAAAGTTCCTTACCAAGGAGGGATACAAAGCAAAAGTTTGCATGTGTAAAGTGATGGGTAAGGATGCTCCTGACTATTCCATAGTTTGACGTTGGTCTCTACAGTTTAAAAGGGGTTGGGAGTCCATAGACGATGACCCAAGGTCAGGCAGCCTTCAGATGCCACCCAACCGGAAACCATTGCTGCTAGAAAAAGAATTTTGTCTGACCGACGAGTGAAAGTATCTGAACTTTCTAGGGGATTCCAAATATCAGTTGGAACTGTTGTAACCATTATTCATGAGCATCTTGGAATGTCCAAGGTATCTGCAAGATGGGTACCTAGAAAACTCAGAGCTCAAGATCGCCATCAAAGAACTGAAAGTTGTCAAGAGCTCCTGGATCGCTATACTGCTGATGAAGCCGGATTTCTTTCTCGTCTAGTGACAGGTGATGAAACATGGATCTACCACTGGGACCCAGAAACTAAATTGGAATCCATGCAATGGAAGCACCCCAATTCTCCGCCTCCGAGGAAGTTTCACACTCGATCATTGGCTGGCAAGGTAATGGCCACCATATTCTGGGGTACAAGAGGCATATTACTGACTGATTACATGCCACCAAAAACTACAATCAATGGACAGTATTATGCTAATGTAATGAAAGAATTGCAAAAATCTATTCGCCAGAAACGCCGTGGGATGTTAACATGTGATATTCTACTTTTGCATGACAATGCTGCGGTTCACAAGTTGAGAATTGTACAGGCCGCCATATGTAAATGTGGATTCGAACAGTTAAATCACCCACCCTACAGCCAAGACTTAGCCCCCAGTAACTATTTCCTGTTCGGTCAAATGAAATCTGCCCTACGTGGAAGATGCTTCCAGGATGTCGAGGACATAAAGGCTGCCACAGAGGCGTGGTTAGAGGGCCAATCTGTGGATTTCTATAAAAGTGTTATTAAAAGCTTGAAGGACAAATGGAATAAGTGTATTGAGGTGAATGGAGATTATATTGAAAAATAAAAGTGCAAAAGATAATCGGCGACTTGGTCTTATATTGAAGTTGCAAAACTTATTGAACGCCCCTCGTACATCTTGTTTTTGGTGAGTTTTACATGGTGTCCTCTGTCAGTGCATTGTTCTTCTCTTGCTGCAGTGACGCCAGCCTCCAGGGTCTGGCTGAGGGGGTCCTGGGGGTGACGATGGACAAGAGGAGGGAGATACGCTGCAGTGACTGGGAGGCCCACACCCTCTCTGCGGAGCAGGTGGGTGACTGCTCTTTGAGGTTGGGGTGGCCTCTATTTGTCTACAAAGTCAGGGTGGCCTCTATTTGTCTGCAAAGTCAGGGTGCTTTCTACTAATCTACAAAGTCAGGGTGGCCTCTATTTGTCTGCAAAGTCAGGGTGCTTTCTACTAATCTACAAAGTCAGGGTGGCCTCTATTTGTCTGCAAAGTCAGGGTGCTTTCTACTAATCTACAAAGTCAGGGTGGCCTCTATTTGTCTGCAAAGTCAGGGTGCTTTCTACTAATCTACAACGTCAGGGTGGCCTCTATTTGTCTGCAAAGTCAGGGTGCTTTCTACTAATCTACAAAGTCAGGATGCTTTCTACTAGTCTACAAAGTCAGGCTGCTTTCTACTAGTCTACAAAGTCAGGCTGCTTTCTACTAGTCTACAAAGTCAGGCTGCTTTCTACTAACCTACAAAGTCAGGCTGCTTTCTACTAGTCTACAAAGTCAGGGTGCTTTCTACTAGTCTACAAAGACAGGGTGCTTTCTACTAACCTACAAAGTCAGGGTGCTTTCTACTAACCTACAAAGTCAGGGTGCTTTCTACTAGTCTGCAAAGTCAGGCTGCTTTCTACTAGTCTACAAAGTCAGGCTCCTTTCTTCTAGTCTACAAAGTCAGGGTGCTTTCTACTAACCTACAAAGTCAGGGTGCTTTCTACTAGTCTGCAAAGTCAGGCTGCTTTCTACTAGTCTACAAAGTCAGGCTGCTTTCTACTAGTCTACAAAGTCAGGGTGCTTTCTGCTAGTCTACAAAGTCAGGGTGCTTTCTGCTAGTCTACAAAGTCAGGCTGCTTTCTACTAGTCTACAAAGTTAGGGTGCTTTCTACTAGTCTACAAAGTCAGGGTGCTTTCTACTAACCTACAAAGTCAGGGTGCTTTCTACTAACCTACAAAGTCAGGCTGCTTTCTACTAGTCTTCAAAGTCAGGGTGCTTTCTACTAGTCTACAAAGTCAGGCTGCTTTCTACTAGTCTACAAAGTCAGGCTGCTTTCTACTAGTCTACAAAGTCAGGCTGCTTTCTACTAACCTACAAAGTCAGGGTGCTTTCTACTAGTCTTCAAAGTCAGGCTGCTTTCTACTAGTCTACAAAGTCAGGCTGCTTTCTACTAACCTACAAAGTCAGGCTGCTTTCTACTAACCTACAAAGTCAGGGTGCTTTCTACTAGTCTACAAAGTCAGGGTGCTTTCTACTAACCTACAAAGTCAGGGTGCTTTCTACTAACCTACAAAGTCAGGGTGCATTCTACTAACCTACAAAGTCAGGGTGCTTTCTACTAGTCTACAAAGTCAGGGTGCTTTCTACTAGTCTACAAAGTCAGGCTGCTTTCTATTAACCTACAAAGTCAGGGTGCTTTCTACTAGTCTACAAAGTCAGGGTGCTTTCTACTAGTCTACAAAGTCAGGCTGCTATCTACTACCCTACAAAGTCAGGGTGCTTTCTACTAGTCTACAAAGTCAGGCTGCTTTCTACTAGTCTACAAAGTCAGGGTGCTTTCTACTAGTCTACAAAGTCAGGGTGGCCTATATTTGTCTGCAAAGTCAGGGTGCTTTCTACTAATCTACAAAGTCAGGGTGGCCCATATTTGTCTGCAAAGTCAGGCTGCTTTCTACTAATCTACAAAGTCAGGGTGCTTTCTACTAGTCTACAAAGTCAGGGTGCTTTCTACTAGTCTACAAAGTCAGGGTGGCCTATATTTGTCTGCAAAGTCAGGGTGCTTTCTACTAATCTACAAAGTCAGGGTGGCCCATATTTGTCTGCAAAGTCAGGCTGCTTTCTACTAATCTACAAAGTCAGGGTGGCCTATATTTGTCTGCAAAGTCAGGGTGCTTTCTACTAATCTACAAAGTCAGGGTGGCCTCTAGTTTTCTGCAAAGTCAGGGTGCTTTCTACTAATCTACAAAGTCAGGGTGCTTTCTACTAGTCTAGAAAGTCAGGGTGCTTTCTACTAGTCTGCAAAGTCAGGGTGCTTTCTACTAGTCTACAAAGTCAGGGTGCTTTCTACTAACCTACAAAGTCAGGGTGCTTTCTACTAGTCTACAAAGTCAGGGTGCTTTCTACTAGTCTACAAAGTCAGGGTGCTTTCTACTAACCTACAAAGTCAGGGTGCTTTCTACTAACCTACAAAGTCAGGGTGCTTTCTACTAGTCTGCAAAGTCAGGGTGCTTTCTACTAGTCTACAAAGTCAGGCTGCTGTCTACTAACCTACAAAGTCAGGCTGCTTTCTACTAGTCTACAAAGTCAGGGTGCTTTCTACTAACCTACAAAGTCAGGGTGCTCTCTACTAGTCTACAAAGTCAGGGTGCTCTCTACTAGTCTACAAAGTCAGGCTGCTTTCTACTAGTCTACAAAGTCAGGGTGCTTTCTACTAGTCTACAAAGTCAGGCTGCTTTCTACTAGTCTACAAAGTCAGGCTGCTTTCTACTAGTCTACAAAGTCAGGCTGCTTTCTACTAACCTACAAAGTCAGGCTGCTTTCTACTAACCTACAAAGTCAGGCTGCTTTCTACTAGTCTGCAAAGTCAGGGTGCTTTCTACTAGTCTACAAAGTCAGGCTGCTGTCTACTAACCTACAAAGTCAGGCTGCTTTCTACTAGTCTACAAAGTCAGGGTGCTTTCTACTAACCTACAAAGTCAGGGTGCTTTCTACTAACCTACAAAGTCAGGGTGCTTTCTACTAACCTACAAAGTCAGGCTGCTTTCTACTAGTCTACAAAGTCAGGGTGCTATCTACTAGTCTACAAAGTCAGGGTGCTTTCTACTAGTCTACAAAGTCAGGCTGCTTTCTACTAACCTACAAAGTCAGGGTGCTTTCTACTAATCTACAAAGTCAGGCTGCTTTCTACTAGTCTACAAAGTCAGGCTGCTATCTACTACCCTACAAAGTCAGGGTGCTTTCTACTAGTCTACAAAGTCAGGGTGCTTTCTACTAGTCTACAAAGTCAGGGTGGCCTATATTTGTCTGCAAAGTCAGGGTGCTTTCTACTAATCTACAAAGTCAGGGTGGCCCATATTTGTCTGCAAAGTCAGGCTGCTTTCTACTAATCTACAAAGTCAGGGTGGCCTATATTTGTCTGCAAAGTCAGGGTGCTTTCTACTAATCTACAAAGTCAGGGTGGCCTCTAGTTTTCTGCAAAGTCAGGGTGCTTTCTACTAATCTACAAAGTCAGGGTGCTTTCTACTAGTCTAGAAAGTCAGGGTGCTTTCTACTAGTCTGCAAAGTCAGGGTGCTTTCTACTAGTCTACAAAGTCAGGGTGCTTTCTACTAACCTACAAAGTCAGGGTGCTTTCTACTAGTCTACAAAGTCAGGGTGCTTTCTACTAACCTACAAAGTCAGGCTGCTTTCTACTAACCTACAAAGTCAGGGTGCTTTCTACTAGTCTGCAAAGTCAGGGTGCTTTCTACTAGTCTACAAAGTCAGGCTGCTGTCTACTAACCTACAAAGTCAGGCTGCTTTCTACTAGTCTACAAAGTCAGGGTGCTTTCTACTAACCTACAAAGTCAGGGTGCTCTCTACTAGTCTACAAAGTCAGGGTGCTCTCTACTAGTCTACAAAGTCAGGCTGCTTTCTACTAGTCTACAAAGTCAGGGTGCTTTCTACTAGTCTACAAAGTCAGGCTGCTTTCTACTAGTCTACAAAGTCAGGCTGCTTTCTACTAGTCTACAAAGTCAGGCTGCTTTCTACTAACCTACAAAGTCAGGCTGCTTTCTACTAACCTACAAAGTCAGGGTGCTTTCTACTAGTCTGCAAAGTCAGGGTGCTTTCTACTAGTCTACAAAGTCAGGCTGCTGTCTACTAACCTACAAAGTCAGGCTGCTTTCTACTAGTCTACAAAGTCAGGGTGCTTTCTACTAACCTACAAAGTCAGGGTGCTTTCTACTAACCTACAAAGTCAGGGTGCTTTCTACTAACCTACAAAGTCAGGCTGCTTTCTACTAGTCTACAAAGTCAGGGTGCTGTCTACTAACCTACAAAGTCAGGCTGCTTTCTACTAGTCTACAAAGTCAGGGTGCTTTCTACTAACCTACAAAGTCAGGGTGCTTTCTACTAACCTACAAAGTCAGGGTGCTTTCTACTAACCTACAAAGTCAGGCTGCTTTCTACTAGTCTACAAAGTCAGGGTGCTATCTACTAGTCTACAAAGTCAGGGTGCTTTCTACTAGTCTACAAAGTCAGGCTGCTTTCTACTAACCTACAAAGTCAGGGTGCTTTCTACTAGTCTACAAAGTCAGGCTGCTTTCTACTAGTCTACAAAGTCAGGCTGCTATCTACTACCCTACAAAGTCAGGGTGCTTTCTACTAGTCTACAAAGTCAGGGTGCTTTCTACTAGTCTACAAAGTCAGGGTGCTCTCAACTGGCCTACAAAGTCAGTGTGGCCCTTACTTATCTACAAGGTCACAGTGGATTGCACCAGTTTTTGAGGGTCAGTGTGGCCTCTACTAGTCTGCAAGATAAGGAATGTTTCTACTTGGTTGATTGTCATCATACCACGATGTACAGATTGCTGCACGTGATAGGTCAATCGCTGACCGAAGTTTCATAATTAACTAGCTGCTCATGGGTTTCATCTTAGTGGTAAATGTCTGGGCCCCTGCATCACTTCACGATTGTCGCCTACGCCTTGCTATAACCATAGGAACTGAAATATACAATAGCGTAAACTTTCTCAATCACTCCAGGTGGCCTATGCTGCGGCTGACGGTCAGGTGGGCGTCGACGTCTTCACTAAGCTGGTGCTGACCAAGCTGACCGGTGGTGACCCTGGCGACCTGGTGTGGAGCATGGAGGGAGTCGACCTGGAGGACGTCAGGAGACTGGCCAGGGCCATGTGCCAGGGCATTGTGGACATCGGCTACAGGCATTCAGGCACACCACGCAGAACACAGGTAGGAGCTCCACACAGTGTACAGATCACAGGTGGGAGCTCCACACACTGTACAAACACAGGGCATTGTGGACATCGGCTACAGGCATTCAGGCACACCTCGCAGAACACAGGTAGGAGCTCCACACACTGTACAAACACAGGGCATTGTGGACATCGGCTACAGGCATTCAGGCACACCACGCAGAACACAGGTAGGAGCTCCACACACTGTACAAACACAGGGCATTGTGGACATCGGCTACAGGCATTCAGGCACACCACACAGAACACAGGTAGGAGCTCCACACACTGTACAAACACAGGTGGGAGCTCCACACACTGTACAAACACAGGTAGGAGCTCCACACACTGTACAAACACAGGTAGGAGCTCCACACACCATACAGATCACAGATTGGAGCTCCACACACCATACAGATCACAGATTGGAGCTCCACACACTGTACAGAACACAGGTAGGAGCTCCACACACCGTACAGAACACAGGTAGGAGCTCCACACCATACAGAACACAGGTAGGAGCTCCACACTGTACAGAACACAGGTAGGAGCTCCACACTAACAAAACACAGGTAGGAGCTCCACACACCGTACAGATCACAGGTAGGAGCTCCACACACCGTACAGAACACAGGTAGGAGCTCCACACACTGTACAGAACACAGGTAGGAGCTCCACACACTGTACAGAACACAGGTAGGAGCTCCACACCATACAGATCACAGGTAGGAGCTCCACACACTGTACAGATCACAGGTAGGAGCTCCACACACTGTACAGAACACAGGTAGGAGCTCCACACACAGTACAGAACACAGGTAGGAGCTCCACACACCGTACAGAACACAGGTAGGAGCTCCACACACTGTACAGAACACAGGTAGGAGCTCCACACTAACAAAACACAGGTAGGAGCTCCACACACTGTACAGAACACAGGTAGGAGCTCCACACACTGTACAGAACACAGGTAGGAGCTCCACACACTGTACAGAACACAGGTAGGAGCTCCACACACTGTACAGAACACAGGTAGGAGCTCCACACTAACAGAACACAGGTAGGAGCTCCACACACTGTACAGAACACAGGTAGGAGCTCCACACACTGTATATGTTCCAACATATCCCATGACAGATAAGTATCTGATGGATTGTTGCAGACATCTGCGAAGCAGACGGAGAAGCCCGGCATTGAGAAAGGACGTGCCTACTCCGCCCGGGCTCGACCTCTGTACCACAACTGCCAGCTCCAGGCTCCCGACGGACAGCCGCTGTGTACGTGTGACATCCGCAAGGCAGAGTGGTACATAGAGAAACAGCTGGGAGGTGAGATAGTGAGGCAGTCATGACCTGTTAGTAGAAACAGCTGGGAGGTGAGATAGCGAGGCAGTCGCTGGGAGGTGAGATAGCGAGACAGTCATGACCTGTTAGTAGAAACAGCTGGGAGTTGAGATAGCGAGGCAGTCATGTCTTGTGAGTAGAAACAGCTGGGAGGTGAGATAGCGAGGCAGTCATGTCTTGTGAGTAGAAACAGCTGGGAGGTGAGATAGCGAGGCAGTCATGTCTTGTGAGTAGAAACAGCTGGGAGTTGAGATAGCGAGGCAGTCATGTCTTGTGAGTAGAAACAGCTGGGAGTTGAGATAGCGAGGCAGTCATGTCTTGTGAGTAGAAACAGCTGGGAGTTGAGATAGCGAGGCAGTCATGTCTTGTGAGTAGAAACAGCTGGGTGGTGAGATAGCGAGGCAGTCATGTCCTGTTAGTAGAAACAGCTGGGAGGTGAGATAGCGAGGCAGTCATGTCTTGTGAGTAGAAACAGCTGGGAGGTGAGATAGCGAGGCAGTCATGTCTTGTGAGTAGAAACAGCTGGGAGTTGAGATAGCGAGGCAGTCATGTCTTGTGAGTAGAAACAGCTGGGAGTTGAGATAGCGAGGCAGTCATGTCTTGTGAGTAGAAACAGCTGGGAGGTGAGATAGCGAGGCAGTCATGACCTGTTAGTAGAAACAGCTGGGAGGTGAGATAGTGAGGCAGTCGCTGGAAGGTGAGATAGCGAGGCAGTCATGTCTTGTGAGTAGAAACAGCTGGGAGGTGAGATAGCGAGGCAGTCATGACCTGTTAGTAGAAACAGGTGGGTGGTGAGATTGTAGACAAGTTACTATGGTAACAGATATATTCACACTATTGCAGACAAGTTACCAGGGTAACATATATTCACACTATTGTGGATAAGTAACCATGGTAACAGAGATATTCACACTATTGTAGACAAGTTACCATGGTAACAGATATATTCACACTATTTCAGACAAGTTACCATGGTAACAGATATATTCACACTGTTGTAGACAAGTTACCATGGTAACAGATATATTCACACTATTGCAGACAAGGTGTGTGACATGCCTCTGACCGTGCGTCTGAGGTTTGAGCCGTCAGGTCGTCCCGAGTCGGAGAGCAACTACTACCTCCAGGAGAAGGAGAACGTCTGCGTCGTGTGCGGCAACGACGACACCTACACCAGGAAGTTTGTCGTACCCCAGGAGTACCGCAAGTATGTACCGTGTACAGAGGTTTCTTCCCATTCCTCCTCCCTGCTTGTAAATTGAGCTGGGTTCTCCAGTCTACATTGTAAATGTCTAAATCCTGTATCAGAAATGGTGTTGGTTGGTTGGTTTGTTGTTAAACGCCGCTCTCAGCAATATTCAAGCTATATGACGGCAGTCTGTAAATAATCGAGTCTGGACCAGACAATCCAGTGATTAATATGAGCTTCGATCCGCGCAGTTGGGATTGATGACATGCATCAACCAAGTCAGCGAGCCTGACCAAAATGATGATGTAGCGGAGTGTATCATTGTGCACTCTGTCAATCACTGGTCTGTCTGGTCCTGAATCAGTCAGGATGGCCTTGGATTGGATGTGCAGTTGCACCCCTAAGCCATACCAGGAGCTGCTGTTTGAGGGTTTGAATCCAGGATTCGCCTCGATTTTGATCCATGTTCTTTCATCTCTATTCCCACTCAAACACCCACGCAAACACTCAAACAAACACCCACACGACACACACACTCACACAAACACCCACACAAACACACACCCACACAAACCCACACAAACACTCACACAAACACACGACACACACACGACACACACAAACACTCACACAAACACACACATGACACAAACACACACACAAACACTCACACAAACACTCGCACAAACACAAACACCCACACAAACACCCACCAGCAAATGACTGTATATTTCTTGATCTAAATGACATGTATGTCTAACATGACAACACCTTCCAGATACTTCCCGCCATTATTGAAGGACCACAGGTCACATGACGTCCTACTGCTGTGTCCTCCGTGCCACCAGGTGAGCTCCAACCATGACGCCATTCTGCGGCAGGAGTTGGCGGTGGAGTGCGACGCCCCCATCGACTCCGGACCTGGATGTCGCAGTGTACAGAACCAGGACCTGATGAAGATCAGATCAGCGGCCAAGTGAGTGCTGGGACCCATAGCTAAGGCCACACCATGAACTATTCCTGCTTTACTCCTTAATGCATTTACTGCTTACTTGTGACAGAAAAGCGGTGATGGGTCCAGCTGAAGAGAAAGTTGTTTCACTTACAGAAGCAGGGCCCCAATTATCACCTGCCACGTCATTCCGCAATGACTCTTGTTTTGAGTGAGTGAGTGAGTATGGTTTTACGCCGCTTTTAGCAATATTCCAGCAATATCACGGCGGGGGACACCAGAAATTGGCTTCACATATTGTACCCAGGTTGGGAATCGAACCCGGGTCTTCGGCGTGACGAGGGAACGCTTTAACCACTAGGCTACCCGACCGCCCTCTTGTTTTGATACAGAAATCAAATGTGCTGCTCCGAATGCTTCACCCACTTGTACCGAAAATTTAGACACCACCATGCTCACTAGTGATTAGACAGCTCATCTCAATTCAGAAATCAAATTGGATTAAAACTTCTGATCTAAAAAAGATGGCAGTGTGATTTGATGCTTTTAGATTGGTGTATTTGGGGCTTGTTCTCTTTCATAATCCTTTGTGTTGATGGGCTGGGATAATTGTCAGTTTCACAGTGACAACTTTTGTTAAGTGTTGGTATAGTATTGATAAAGGTAATTTGCTGACAATATTCATTGTATTTATTTTCATAGAGCCTTAACACTTAGCAGAGCCCAGATACCTGAAGCTAGAGTAAATGTGTTGGAAAAGACATTGATGGATTTCTATGGAGTTACCTCCCTTACCGATGATCTGTTGGAGACGGCCATCATAATGGACACCAGGTGAGTGAGTGAGGGAGTGAGTATAGTTTTACAAACTTTAGCAATATTCCAGCAATATCACGGCAGGGGACACCAGAAATGGGCTTCACACATTGTACCCATGTAGGGAATCGAGCCCAGGCCTACGGCGTGATAATCGAATGCGTTAACCACTAAGTTACCCCATTGCCAGTAGCCAGAACAAGAGGATATACCAATGGTTAAACTGCAACAGCGTGTCCCTTGAACTAATACCAATTCATTTTGTTGATGTTGACCCCCTGACCTTCATAGACAATCACCCAGCCTTCATTGCAGACCCGTGAAGATCCGGGTTAGAATAGGTCTTCAGCAACCAATGCTTGCTGTAAAAGGCGACTATGCTTTGCGTACGAGGTGACTAATGGGAGCGGGTGATCAGGCTCGCTGACTTGGTTGATCCATGGCATTATATCCTAATTGTGTAGATCAGTCCTCATGATATCAATCACTGGATTGTCTTGTTCAGACCCAATTATTTACAGACCGTCATCATATGGCTGAAATATTGCCGAGTGATCCATGTTCTTTCGTTAAACAACAAACAAATAAACAAAACAAACCGCTTCATTGCACCTATCTTAATAAATCTAGATGCACGTGGAACACATTGACGTGTGTACCTTCAGTTAAATACACCCCAACTTTATTCCATACACTCTTATGACAATGTTTACATGTATATCTTATTACCAATGTCATTACATATTTTAAGGTTCAAAATTTAATGTAATAAAAAAAATGAGCAGATTAGATATACGAGGGGTGTTCATTAAAGATTTCCCCTAAACCACTTAGGGTTATCATATTTGGTTGAAATTTCTCATGTGTAATGATACATGTATCTATGGGTTATGTCTTAATTTGCAGCACCGAACTATTAATCTTACCACTTTTACAGGTGTTATGATCGAGTAGGGTGTGACAATGGAGCCAGTAGAATACCGAGCAGTGATTAGGTTTTTATATTTGAAAGGTCGCACACCAAAAGAAACTTTCGATGAAATGAAAGCAACTTATGGGGAAGATGCCCCATCATATGACGTTGTTAAACACTGGCATCGCCAGTTCAAGTGTGGTCAGACATCTGTGGAAACAGCTGCCATTCCTGGTCGCCCCCATTCAGCCATTGATGAGGACACTATCCATCAAGTGGAGACCGCGATTTTGGCAGACCGACGTATAACTGTTCGCCAGTTAGCACAAGATGTCAAGATCAGTGTAGGGTCTGTGGAAAAAATCATCCATGACAATTTGAACATGCATAAGGTGTCTGCAAGATGGATTCCCAGGTTGCTCACACCTTTCCAAAAGCAGGAACGAGTCAATTGCTCAAAGGATCTTTTGGACATGTGCCAAAAAAAACAGGCAAATTTTTATGACAGACTTATCACACAGGATGAAACATGGGTCCATCACTATGACCCTGAGACTAAAGTTCAGTCAATGCAATGGAAGCATGTGGAGTCACCACCCCCAAAGAAGGCACGTGTCCAACCCTCTGCAGGCAGGGTCATGCTCACAGTGTTTTGGGACCAGCACGGAGTAGTGATGATGGATTTCTTGGCAAAGGGTACCACAATTATAGGAGCTTATTATGCTTCACTGCTGCGGAAATTGCGGGATGCTATCAAGCTTAAGAGGCGTGGCATGCTGACCAAGGGTGTCCGTCTCCTGCAAGACAATGCTCCAGTACACAACTCTCATGTTGCCCAGACAGAAGCACAGTCCTGTGGCTATGAAATCCTTCCACATCCTCCTTACTCTCCTGACCTTGCACAATCTGACTTCCCCCTCTTTCCAACCATGAAGTCATTTTTGAAGGGAAAACGTTTCACAGATGATGAAACACTGATTTCTGAAGTCAAGTCCTGGTTTGAGATGCAAAATGAGGGCTTTTACAAGCGAGGTCATCATAGTTGCATACAACGATGGGAGAAGTGTGTAACTCTTGGTGGTTCCTATGTGGAGAAAGACTAATACCTATGCCAAGTTTCATTCCACTAGGTCCATCGGAAGTGGGTCAGGGGAAATCTTTAATGAACACCCCTCGTATGTAGGGGAGTTTTTCATGTTACGTTTTCAGTTCAAGTCTGTGAAGGGCATTTAGAAGTCATACACATAAGGAAGAGAATTTATGGATGTCAACTTCTTTATTACGAGGAAAACATTTCGGAGTATATGCTTAGGCCTTCATGAAGGAGTAGGCATATACTCCGAAACATTGGGTTTCCTCATAATAAAGAAGTTGACATCCATAAATTCTCTTCCTGGAGTTTTCAGTTGATTTAGTGTAGGGTTGAAATTGATCAAAACAGAAACTTATTCAAGTTTTTTGTTCAATGGGCTTTTGAAACTAACCTTGAGCACTATTCACACCTCACCATCCTCCAATCAAACCACGTGGATGACATATGGGAAATACTTGAGACATATTTCCTCATTTTACGGGGAACAATATCTCCTAAAATGTGATGTCATGTTAATAGAAGTATATGGGTTTTAGTAAAGTCTGTGTGTGGGACTACGATTGTTAGTAAACTCGGGTGATAGATAATTTAAAGGTGCCAAGGACCTATTCTCTAATTGTAACCCCTGTGGGGATTCCTGGTTAGAATATTTGGGGCAGAGCAACCTATGCTGGTTGTAAGTGGCGACTAAAGGATCAGTGATTCATTTGATTGCTTTTGTTTGTTTGTTTGTTTGTTGTTTAACGCCGCACTCAGCAATATTCCAGCTATATGACGGTGGTCTGTAAATAATCGAGTCTGAACCAGACAATCTAGTGACTGACATCATGAGCTTTGATCCATTCAATTGGGATACGATGACATGCATCAACCAAGTCAGCAAGCCTGACCACCCATTCCCGTTAGTGGTTGATTGCCTGTCATTGACGTAGATTGTTGCTCACAATATCAATCACTTGCTTATCTGGTCAATGGACTATTGCTGAGCACAGTGTTGAGCAACAAACACATCTAATTCTGACCTACAGGGGTTGTCAGTCATGGTATACCAGCTCAAGACCCATTGTTGTAATATTTCTCTGTTGTACTGAGACCGTCACTGTGTGGGAAGAAGATGCTTCTCTGATACCATTCTTGTCTGTTGCAGAATCTTCAACTCAGATTACGTGCCGCACGGGAAGAAGGTGGTTGAACATTTCAAACAGAAGGCGGAACTGTGGGCTTTTGAAAGACGATGGAGAAAAAACTTTGTGGAGACCATGAAGCCCCAGTTTCTCCCTCCTCTCTGGTCTATCGAGCATCATCATAATGGAGTCCAGTCGACGCACTAGCGTCGGAACACCACCGAGGGAATGTTGGTATACACCACAGTCAGCAGTAGTCCACCCAGATCACGTTGCCCTGGTAATTGAGTCTGGAACAGGCACACCGGTGGTGGAAGGGTGAGGACACTGACACACAATCAGCCGAGTCACAGAGTCAACTCTTAACTTGGATTCCTGCAGGATGGAACAGCACTATCTCTGCTGTCTCTTCATGGAGCACTCTATGGGGGTATGGTGGAACGAGGTGGCCCAGCAGTCTGGGCCCAGCACTTGCATCTATTTCCTAGCCCGGTATTTGTCGATCATGGGTTTCAATCCTTGGTCCTTCCTTGGTTTGTCAGTACCACACTTTTGAGAATCAGTGGACGTATGCTGGTCACAAGAGGAGACTTTGTGGATCCAGTGACTGATAGGGTGTCATCGCACCCTGATGGCATGGATTGTTGAGCATGAATATAAATCACTGGATTGTCTGATCCAGACTCCATTATTTACAGACTGCCGTCATATAGCTGGAATATTGCTGAATGCGGAGTTAAACAAGAAATACCATGCTGTGATAGAACTGAAATACTGAAGAAAACTCTAGCCGTCTAAGCATTGCAATTTTGTGGACAGAGTTGCATCCATTAGGCATGTCTGAAACTTGTGATGGTAGGTTTGAATCCCACATTCATTGATAGGTTTCTGGGTGAATCAGCTCCATATCTGTGCATGTGGCTTTCATCAAGGTGGTAAACTTCTGAGACCTGCATCATTTTGGAATTCTCCCCATATTAAGCTGACATGGCGTGATATCATTGAAATACTGTTCAAAGGGACGTCAAACACACCTCGCTCACGTTTTGTCATAAGGCTCAATTAATTTCTCCAAATGTCTAATTGACACTGGACATTTTTGTTTATTGTCAACATAACTTATGAATAATCAGTTCTGTAGTATTTATTTTTGTAAATAAACACAAGACTTGTATGCTATTGTATAACTTTATTCACATCTACCTGCAGTATTGTGTTAGTCTATGTCACACTCCATCTACAGTATTAACTAACGTCACATGATCATACATAGTACATGTATTGCACACACATCATCAACAATCTGACAGGTCAGCACAAGTGTACTTCCACAGAATCAGTCGTACACAAACACAGGAATCTGGAAGTAGTGACAGGAGGACCAACAAGGAGTCTGCTGTCAACATGGCGTCCGTAGACTTGTGACTGTATCCCTGCACTGCTCATGTCCCGAACAAGCCCGACAGGAACCACGCCTGACTATTACCATGGCCATTGTCTGGGGTGTTGGGACTGACTGACAACTACTTTTCTTCATTTGTAACGTTAATGACCATGATGCCGGGGACCAACCATTTGAACTGATTTTGACATTTATAAGTACATGGAAAAAACTAATTTTGCCTGAGGTTTTACCACATTTACCCCACCCTCCCCTAACTATTAAATGGTCAGTCCCAAAGTGCACTGCAGTTGATGTTAGACTTAAACACAAAGTAGGCCACACCTATTTCTTTTTTTAGGGGGGGGGGGGGGGGGGGGTGTACATGTTTAAATGCATATTTATATTTGTAACGTTTTCTTAAGGAAAATAATCTGAAATAGACCCTGATAAAATGTTGAGTTATTTTCTTAATTTTACCCCCATTTCGGCATAATCGCCAAGGAGGTCTGCACAACAAGAAGTGGAACTGGTGTAGCCTGACCAAGAGATTGCATATCTACTGTTCAATGATTCCCACTCCAGCGTACACCTTCAATTTCTGCATTAAGTGGATAAATTACAGCTCTAGGATATTCCACGTTTAATTCCAGATTCTGATGTACTGGGAGATTCAAAGGTTCAATCTGGAGTCTGATACAAACTACTTCAAGTTTAGAAGTCAAACTGTGTACAGAGAAACCTTGTTAGTCTGGACTGACACATTACAAAGTAACATGGCAAGTTGTTGATCCGGACGTTTTAACTGGGAAAGGTATCGTCCACACTAACAAGGTTCCACTGTGGTTACTGGAATGTGCAGATACCAAACCTATCACCTCACATCAGGTTTCAAATCACAGCAATCATTAACTAGTACTCGGCAATCTACTTCTACTATTTACAAATGTAACATCTCACATCATTCATCTACAACATCTTTAAGTCAATTACATCTGTACCGGTCTGTCATCAAACTAGTGTCCACCCCTAGACTGCAACTTTCTGCCAGACAGGAATTTGTCTGAATATATACCCTTTTTCCATTGATTTGATATACATGTAATTTATTTTAGAGCTCAATGCATTTTTTATGAGTTTTTAACTCGGAAGATCAAGGTCAACTTTTACAAGATGTAGCCATGTTGAGTTATTGTCAATGGCCACCTTTCACACTTCTGAAAAACATTACAGATGCAATTAACAATTAAGGATATCCTCTTTTCTCATATCTCGAGTTTAAGCAGAATTAATAATAGAAGAAACAAGAAATAAATTGTTTTAACGACCAAGGCAAAAATACAATACACTTGTTCAGTTACTTCCCTTTGAATGGCTAAATTGAGATGGAATTGCAGTCGAAGTATGCAGGATTCGGCTGCATAGGTTATTATTCTGACCAATCAAGCAGAACTAATCCCTGCAGCTGTCGAGTCTCTGATTAGTTCTTTTTTTTTCCGAAAACTGATCACAAATGACCAAAATAACATTAAACACCATTGTTCTGACCTATGTGACTATAACACTAACATAACATTAGTACACACTGGTTGTGGCATACATTATGGCTTTTGGGTAGACGACTATCTACATGATCCACATGTTACAAGTTTTCCTGCATAAATTTCATCCCTGAGTCTAGATCTACCACAAAGTCTGCTCATGGATCTGTAACAGTGGTCTTTTCAACAGAACTAAATTATGACTTATAGGAGGCTACACTTGGGCCAGTATTGTCAGTCCCAACAAACTGGATTCATGCCATTCAAACACCACTATGTAAACTTTATTTTGACATCAATCTAGCATTTCAAGATTACCTTACACAGGAACAATGTCTACACAATTGTAGACCAAGACCAAAACATGGGCATCAGATCATTGTCCTAACCAAAACCACTGTGGCCACTGTTATGTTGGCTGTGATTGGACAACACTAAACATAGCATTCATTGGTCCTTAGTATCCAATACAAACAAATAGCAGACTGTGAAGTATAGTTCCTCTCAACAAAATTAACATCAGAGCTGTTTGGTGTATTTACATCACCAAAAGCAAACTGTCAAGATGTAGACATGTGTCCATGTTCGTTTACATTTGTAGTAAAGGACGCTGCAAGAGTATACACAAGTATAACTTCCTCGTACAGATTTGTACCACAACTTTGGCCGTTGCCTGGTAACTAAAATCGCAGAGCTTGTTGAGCGACCTGACACAAGAGCCAGTACGTATACATGCCGAGTACAGGGATACAACATTCTATATGCTGGCACGTCCTGCTACACGATGTCTATGGTTATAATGGGCCAGCTGCCGCAAATATGGGAGGGTTCAAAAGTTGAATGTCAGATAAATTTCTAAATTCCCTTAGTTTGGGGAGGAGGAGGGGGATATCAGGTCTGCAAGTTTTCCTCTCACAAAATATATTTTCTGGGCCCGTTCCAAAAATTGATCAGCTGTAGCACTACGACTACTTTAAGCTAGGACAAACTTAGCACTAAGATCGCAATGTGGAAGGAGGCCCAGGGGATTAACAGTTCACATAAATAAATAACCGTTCAAATCCTCATACTTTTAACTTGAAAACAAAATGGAATTGTCATCATATTCCTAAAATTGAGATGAGTGAAAAGCAGTTTTAACCTACACAAAAACTTTGATGTACGACTTTATGAATCAAATACGAATAAGGGTTCACTGGACATCTCTTTGATGTCAAAATTTGAACAACTTAAGTTAATAGGGGATAGGGGTAAAGTCTCAAAACTTAGGGAATTCAGTTTTTTATCCTACAATTTTTGAACTGCTCTTTAGGTGGATGAACATTTGCATATAATGGTTGTAGCTCGACATCTCTCCTAGACAACAGACTGCTGACATTGTCGGACACCCCGGTAAGTACTATTGTGCATAGGTGAGAATGGTGGACAAACATGATGGACTGTCATGTACAAACTGCTGCACTCTAAACAATGACGTCCACAATCAAGAACATTATTCATGTAGGAGGAAACATATTGTGGATGGATCACTCGAGTGAGTGAGTGAGTGAGTGAATGTTTTTTAATGCTGCAGTCGCTGCAGTCCCCTTTATCCCAGCCACAGACCCGTGAAGATCCGGGCAGCAACTAGGTCTTCAGCAACTGATGCTTGTCGTAAGAGATGACTAACGGGATCGGGTGGTCAGGCTCGCTGACTTGGTTGATGCATGTCATCGTTTCCCAATTTTCATAGATCGATGTTCATAATGTCAATCACTGGATTGTCTGGCCCAGACACAATCATTTACAGACCGCCATCACATGGCTGGGATATTGCTGAGTGCAGCACTAAACAACAAACAAACAAACAAATTGATCAATGAATGTCATCAATGAGATTGCCGACCTAACATTTTGCAGAAGGGAAAACAATTAAGCTTTGAAGAACTGCCTTTAGTTTTAACAAGAAAATTCTTCTAAGTAAATCAATATAAAAGTAACATTTAAACTTGTCATTTTCTCGAGACATCTTTAAATATTTCAGGTTTAACTTCACTGTAGAGACCATATTTTTAAGAGCTCACTCATATATTCTTGCCAGTTTATAACTTTGCCTTGTTTCTGACAAAGTCGTTAAAAAAGGCCTAATTAAACATGATATTCATTGAAAGGATGCTTTAAAAAGATAATTCTCCAACTAAACGATGGACAATATCAAGCATGCACCCACAGTTTCCACATGGATCAATCATAGGTTATCATTTAATTGGTACACAGAAGTCTTAGTTTGTGAAACAATTACAGCACATATCAGACTACAGTAACAATTCTATAAGGTAACGGCTGTTATACCACACCAAAGAACTTAGGGACCACCTGAATCTTGCATATCACTATGGTTAATGTCTTGGCACATTCCTTCATATTACCCTACACAAGTACATATTACATATTATACTAGGAAAGAATCACATGGTTCTTAACTTCTCTGGAGTACCGTAAATGACCGTAGATAAGCCGAATTTTGAGGACCAGATTGTTAAATCTTTATTAGAAATTATAATGACTTTTTTATTAAATATTTTTCATTGTATATACATGAATATTTGCAAGTACCAGTAGTCTTGCCATCCAACTTGGCAGTGTGTCGTTGTCTTTCACTTCCTGGTCCGGCTTATGTACGGAGCATATCATGCTCATACATATTTCAAGGGTCAAGTTAACACCTTGGCTTACCTGAGATCAGCTTATCTACAGTCATATAGGGTAGTATGTATGGTAAACATTCTCTCATGGCAGCATCTCTATAACCTAAAAAATCATATTTAAAAATTCTGATTTCTGGTTGTGAACTTTTCACATCAAACAAATTATGCAGAGATGCCAAACATTTTTATTTTGGCAGAATCATTACGATATTTTGAACCAGATTTCGCCAATACGATTTAGTGAAACGTATGAATTTTGTCCAAAAAATATCACCTGTAAATAGAACCAGATATTGACCTTTCATTGTCACATATACAACGGATTAATAACCACATGTATTAGTGTGTGCTGGGAAGGTTTACAGATTTTCAGAAATTTCAAGTTTTCATAAAAACATCCCCCAAAATATTAAATATAAGGATGACTAAGTTTTCTTAAATTACTAATTTTACACGCCAGTTATACCAGATATTATTAATTGCCTCAAACTAGGCTCGGCATCACTGAAGAAGATACAGTTCAACCATTCCTTGCCTGAGAACCATCTACAGAAGTATTCAACCTGATCAGCAAAACATAGTACTCTCCACTCAAAATTCAAAAATAAATTTTGGCAAAATACAAATAAATCTTAGCATAAACAAATAAATGCAAGCCAAATGGTTGAGCAAAATACACATATTGCAAGCACTGAAAGCAACATAGGCAGGTGTAAATAGACTATCTATATCTAAGGGTTATAGCAAGCTAAATGACTTGAAAAGGCCACGTCTGTTTCAAAACTACAACTCATTCTGCATTCCTTGAGAGTTAAAATACAACCAGCCCCAGCAGCTATCAGATTGGTGATTTGTGAAATTTGTGTACATTTCTTTTTAAAATTGAAACAGCATTGAAAACATGAAAAAAAAATGCATAAAAATCTTTATTCCAATGGAAAAAAACCAACCAATTATCTTTCTGTACCATTTCACAATCGTACTGTCGTGATGGTGTGACCTACAAATTTATTTCCAATGATTAGAAGCAGTACTTATCTGGAAGTTGAAATTTTAAAACAAAATTTAACATCTACATTGACTTTTTGGCCAACATATTTGCAAAACCAACTTATAAATAATGTAAGGCTTTTAGTTCAAAACAAAAGGACGGTCGATATTAGACCATAATACTGAAAATGATTTTGACAGAATAAAGTTACGTTGTCCTAATATTTGTAAGGCATTTGAGTTCACTGGTCTCCTGGTATCATATCGTTTTTCCTCCAAGAAATATAGACTTGAGTTAATCCACTTCCATGTTCCATTTCAACTTTTTTAAACAACTCTGCGAACATGTAGGATGTGACCTGTATATTGCATTGTTCTATTTGCACATTATCAACAAATACATAACTGCCTGTAAAACAAAATGCCCTGTCCTATATAATGTGAAGCTATATCTGTCCTAGACTGTACAGCTACTCTACAAGGCTGTCCATATTATACTACTCAACTTTTGATAGGGATAATCAGCTATGTCATTCTATTTAAATATACACTTGACATTATGAATCAGTTTTTGTATCATGGAAAGATAAAAATATCCCTATCAAAAGTGAAGAAGAATACTTGTGTTTTTCATGCTGCCTTATATGAATTTTTGTTTAAAAAATTTAAATGTCACGAATTGAATGTTGACCTCAAGGGATCAAACCTGGTTATGAATATTGAATATTTTAGCATGTGCTCATAACAACAATACTGTGCTACACTTAAAGTGCAACAGTTGCCATATTGTTGACAGTTCAAAGATGGGAAATCTTAAAAACTTACAAGATGGAATGAAAGCAACTATAGACAGAATTACTTCCCTTCTTAAAATATCCTTTTGACAAAAAATACAGTAAGTACTTATGAAACAGGACCTTTGTTTGTTTTGCAGAGCAAGAAGATACATATCCCGGTAGGTGAAAGGTGCACATATAAAAGTTTTTCTTATCTTTGTGTTGAGAAACACAAATAATACAGACAGCCTTAGAAGATACGAAGTGTGGACAGTGACAGCCTGGCTCTATAACCAGTAGGATGCTTACTCACACTCACGTCGTGTCTTCACAAAGTGGCTAACTTTGATACTTTTTTCTACATAGCAAATATGGTCATGATAATGAACATGTCATGTGACAGACTTGCTTCACAAAAGAACCGCTCTCCTAATTAGCAAACAAATGACAACGGATGTGCACACAGTATTCAGTCTCTCTACTGTTGACACAAGCGGGTCAAGACTGGCACAAACATAGGTAAACATAAGACAATATCACAGTTAGGCCTAAAATGCAACAAATGAAAGTGAAACTGAGAACTAAAACACAGTGTCCTGGGGCTCTGACAGGAAGAATAAATACTTGTACTCGCGTTTCAAAACCCAACCAGGCTCGAATACCTTCAATAACAACATCACACTCTCAACAGGTTGACTTTTTTTCCCTAAGCATCATTTAAGTCAAAATGTGTCCAGACACAGTACAGTTTCTCTTCCATATCAGCAATGTCTGTGTAAGACCAAAATATGAGTTATCTCCCCTGGTTGAGTTACCTCCCCTGATAAAGTTATCTCCCTTTCTTGATGTAGGAATCGAGGCATCTGAGCCTGACTTATACTCAAGGATCTGTCAGAGCCCTTATGTCAACACCAGTCAATATATTAACTATTGACTAACTTGTGTGGAATGGAATAGTACCGGTATCTGGTCTTCATATTGCAAACATTCCTAATAGTAATCTGTAGATTTATCTTCTTAAAATTTTATTCACATTATTGATTATTGATTCATGTTGTTTAAGTCGTGGCTGTTAGAGGTTGAATGACATATCATTCAAAAGGTCAGATCACCTGGAATATGAACTTTGGACTAACACATGTTGTTGAACTCGGCTGATCAGAGGCCAAACAGTTCATGTTGTATGTAGTGCGTGGTTGGGAGAGACAGTGTACACTAAGCGATATAATGTAGTTGTGACATATTCATGAAGTATATCGGAGGTGTTACTCTGTCACCATGGTTACAAAGGCTAGGATGTCAATATATTAGTTGTCAACAAATCTCATCACAGCTGCACAAGTATAACATAAGTGATTAAAACCAAAATTATGTCAACAATATTCACGATTATGTCAACAATATTCTCAATTATGATCAACTGTAGGCATGGATAAATTAAGTGATCATGCTGTCACTGAAAACTTTATCAGTTAAGGCCATTATTTATTATTAGCTGTTTTACAAAATGTCTGAAGTAAAATTGAAAGTAGGTGCTCGAAAAAAACAAACACCAAATTTCAACTTCAAAATGAACTATTAATGGATGAAAAACAAATAAGTTTTAACTTTGCAGGCCATTGAGTTTTGTGTTGGCTGACACCCGTTTCAACAGAATGCATCATCTTTGTACAGACAAGCATCAAATAATGTGGCGATTGCAGTGTCAATCAAAAGTAGTTTCAGGAGCCGTCAGTTTGTAAATGGTAATGTTCTTATCTCTAAACCATAATAAATAAATCGCACGTGATTCCATGACATTTGATTGGTTAACAAAGAACATTTTTTTGCGTTTAGATTTCCACAAGAAAGTATGCTAAGCCCACTAATGGACAACTGTTTCCTGATTGGCTGATTCTAGAATGGGCGGGGCTTATGCAGCATTATTGCTCTGAATGATGTAACTGATGTCATATTGTTGTCTACGCTATTTTGGGTGTGAATGAATAAATAACCAGTCCAAAAAGGATACTGCTATGCAGATTTTACACAGTATACACAGTTTTCGCATTCATACACCATAAACACAAAATATATTGAAGTGAATTCTTAATAAATTGTATAGTTTACATACACATTCCAGCTCAGGTGACTGAAATAAAATTTGTCATAAGTAATTATATTTTTGGTTAAATTTCTGTTTTCTTAATGCTGGTCGGTTTTGTAAACCAGCAAATAAACGGAAACACCTAATGTGCTGTTAATGTTTGTTGGACTTGCTACAGGAAGCGACTAGATTCTCCTGACTTGGATCACACTGATATGATTATGGCAAGGTCTTGCATTACCTCATTACATGCTCAAAAACAGTTCTCACTCTAAACACATCTCCAACCATGATTATAGTCGACAACATCGGATCAGAGCTATGATTACAATCATAATATACAGACAGACACTACATATACAGACAACACAGTTAAACGTAGATCCTACATTTAATAAAGTCATTTCTTCTGATGAAAAAAACAAAATTCTCACGTCGGAAGTTAATAACTCAATGATAGTTCCTTGTAGGAATTCTTGTCTGTATTCCTGAGACTTGCCCTTCTTGCGTTCTGCTGTAGCTGGTGTTGTCCCCCCATAATAGCTGTGAGATTCTATGAACCTAGTACATGGGTTTACATGATGAGAGGCTACAGTGCCAGAAGGTTCTGATCAAAGTCGGACAACAGGTCATGTTTATACATATATTATTTACACATAACAAAATAATACATTGTATTACGGCAAATCTACATGCATACAATCCAATATTTACATCAAATCTACAGCAACCTATGGTGCATATCACAGTAGTCTCCCCTTAAACCAACCATCTTGGGAGCATCTGTCATCGAGGTATTATGTGTTAACTCGCAAAATAGATAAAATATGCATTTCTCAAAAGGTGCAAGAACACAGTCCTTGGAATTATCTTTTCCTACTTAAGGGACTGGTACTTTACTATAGGGGAGGGGGAGCCGTCGAGATTATGGAGGGTCATGATATAATGACACGTACAGTTCTATAATTAATACAATTGAACATTATTGAGGGACTGGTACTTTACTATAGGGGAGGGGGAGCCGTCGAGATTATGGAGGGTCATGATATAATGACACGTAAAGTTCTATAATTAATACAATTGAACATTATTTAGGGACTGGTACTTTACTATAGGGGAGGGGGAGCCGGTAAGATTATGGAGGGTCATGATATAATGACACGTATAGTTCTATAATTAATACAATTGAACATTATTGAGGGACTGGTACTTTACTATAGGGGAGGGGGAGCCGTCGAGATTATGGAGGGTCATGATATAATGACACGTAAAGTTCTATAATTAATACAATTGAACATTATTTAGGGACTGGTACTTTACTATAGGGGAGGGGGAGCCGGTAAGATTATGGAGGGTCATGATATAATGACACGTATAGTTCTATGATTAATACAATTGAACATTATTTAGGGACTGGTAGGGCATGAAGGTATCATAAGGACTAGCAGACATTTGTCATTTTTAAGGGTTCCGCTATATGTTATCATGAACAGGACTAGCAGACCAAAAATGTTAGTTTCTGCCACTGACATGCATATGGGGGGCTATGGAAAAATGCTACATAAAATCATTGTGTCAGAAAAATATGAAACAGTCCTAAGACCAATCGCACTGCTCCCCACCGCTACTAGTTTTGAGAAAAAGTTGTCCAGTTGTTATTTCTAATTCTATTACTGGCTCATTGTTGTCTTTACCCTGCAATACAATGAAACCAGTTCCTCCAAACTATTCTGGCAATATTCTTATGGATCTATTCTTAGACAGTAACTGCTGTTGTTACACTTATGGTTGTCATTAAACTTCTGATCTGATCATATGATTTCAGCATCACTATAAACCTAACAAGACTCTGATCTTGCACCCTTAAAGGGGTACTCCTATCTGAACATCCTCCCCATGCCATGCAGTAGACATGGTAGACACACAAGTGCCTAGAGTCTAACTGACAGATCAAGGCAACAACAATGTCCTACCCTAAACACTGGAGAAGGGTCCAATTTTAAAATGATTATGATTTGATGCTAATAAAACCAGTGGTACTGAATACCAAAACTATACCTACTGAAAATGAGAGATTTCAGACAAGCATTTGAACCATAGGCTCTACATTTCTAATTCAGGCATACAATGAAAGTTATCTAAGTAAGAAATGTTGTTTGAAAAGGTACAGAAAAATAGTAAGCTCATCATTAAAAAATAGTTGCCATGTAACTGATGCAAAGGGAGACAACTATGTTATGCGAGTATTGTCTGGTAAACAGACAGTCAAGTGTGGCACTAAGATCTACTGCTAATGCCGAGTTTCACAACCTACTGTTCTAAGTACACACAAGACACCTACACTACACCCTAAACCTCATATGAAAATAATCCTTGTTTGACATTCAGCATTGCCTAGTTTTTGCTTCACAAGGTCCTCGAAATTCTCAAGCACACGCTGTGACTTCCGTACCATCCCTCGGGGTGGCTGAGGCGGACTCCGCCCTCCTCCTCCAGATCCAGGCAGAGTGAGGCTCGTCACCTTCTGTTTCAGCTTCGCAAATGGGCTCGTATCGCCACCAGTAGCCGACTTCTTGTCGTCAAGGAGACTGAGGGATGAATCACTTAGGGAGACCTTCATGTTAGAGTGGAAGAGCTGATTCGGCCGGTCCAGGACAGTTTTCAGTTCATCTTGGTCAAGGTCATTGTCCAAATCAGGAGGTATTTTGGTAAAGTGATCCTCGTGAAGTTCTTCAGCGATGTCGTTGTGATCCGTAGGCACCTGTGACGTCTGAGGTAGTCCATTGGTGTGTATGTCTGTTGGCAGAGATAAATTGTCCTCTTGGTTAGGGTCTGTGGTGTGTTGGAGGTCCATATCAAACACTTCAACCTCCACAGCACCCACTTGCCCTGCAGCAGACTCCTGGGGCTGAGATGCTTCAGAGATTGCCTCCTCTGTAGTATGCTGAGAAGAACCTGAGGTCTCTATGTTAGACACGGGCCTAGTACTGGAAGCCTGTCTATGCTGCTTGTCACCTGAGCTGGAAGATGTAATCAGTATATTGCTAGGGCTGGTGGCTAGGATCCCACAGCTACCCAAAACAACATCATTCTCTGCCTCCAAGGAACCTGACCGTGTTCCAGTATCAGTCACTCTAGGTATCGGCTGTGGTTTAGTGTCACCGTCAATAATCGTCACCTCTCCGTCAGTATGATCCTTATCCATGAAATCCAACATTTTAGAGAACTTTATTGCAACCTTTCCTGCAGGACCATTTTTGACCATCTTGACTGGATTCAGACTTTGGAAAGTCATCTTAGGTAGGGAAATCTTTATTGGATTTGAGTTTTTAGACGAGGACGGTTTCGAGAAAGGTCCCCTGAGAGCAGCAGGGAGGAAGTTCATGTTCTTGATCCTCTGTCCCGGGGAGATTTTCTCCTGGGTTGTGTGAGTGTCTGAGTTCATGGGTGTCCAAACCTCTTCTCCATCCTCCCTGGCGGGATGTGCTTCATCTGTGTTGGGGCTGGTGGTCATGACATCAGAGGAGATGTCGCGTGGGAGGCGGATTCCAGCCAGTGAGTTCTCCTGCTGCTGTTTGTGGATGTCCTGAATCTCGGGGTGAGCACACGTCTTCTTTCTGCAGGAAGGAACAACAGGATATAATGTAGCAAGTTATGCTGGAAATGAACGTCACACATTTTACCCATCTGGGGAACAGACCTTCGTCGTGAAGAGCCAAAGCTTTAACCACTAAGGGGACCTTTCGCTCCTGGTTCTAGAGGAGAAGATGCTTAAAGATGATGATCAGTACCAAAGAAAAATGTCAGAATGCCAGACAATGATTTTAAAATTTAATTGGTATACATCCAGATTAATTACTGCATATATCAGCAAATCCTTTGCAGTAAAATACAGACCACTTTCAAGTTATCCTCATCTGGTAAAGGTCTACGAGAAGAGAATGTTTGGCTCACCTCTCCAGCTTCGGCTTGTCAGATACCTCCAGCTCCAGTGACAGGATCTCCTGGGCTGCTACGAATGCCTGACATACTGCCTTCAGAGACTCTGCAAGTAGTCACCAGAACATGCTCTCATCTAGGCACACCACGAGCTGGATACATCAGGGTATCAACAGGGTAACAATAGATGCAGTGGTTATCTTCAGAGGCTCTGCAAGATGTCACTACAACATCCTCTTATCTACACATACAACAACGTTTAATCTGGGTAACAGCATGGTAACAATTGATGCAGAGGTTACACTGCACCTTCTTGTCCAGCTAGAGAACCATGGCAACTGTGGCAGTAGAAGATCAGAGACTGAGAACTGTGCAGTAAACATGCAAACAATCTTCATCAAAAGTAAAATTATTGGTAGCAATTGATATTAATGCATGATCAACTGCTTGCAAAACTCAAACTGTTCAGAAACATTTGCTAATTAGTTGTTGATGCAATTTTGTTCTCTTATCCCAGCCATGAGGTGTTAGCTCAACCTTCTGACCCCTAGCTCCACCTCTTGTCGACTAGCTCCATCTCCTGCCCGCTAGCTCCTCTTCCTGATCCCTAGCTCCATCTAGCTCCACCTTCTGTTCCCAAGCTCCACCTTCTGTCCCCTAGCTTCACCTCCTGATCCCTAGCTCCACTGCCTGCCCACTAGCTCCACCTCCTGATCCCTAGCTCCACCTACTGACCACTAGCTCCACCTTCTGTCCCCTAGCTTCACCTCCTGATCCCTGGCTCCACCTCCTGTCCCCTAGCTTCACCTCCTGATCCCTAGCTCCACCTCCTGTCCACTAGCTCCACCTCCTGATCCCTAGCTCCACCTACTGACCACTAGCTCCACCTCCTGTCCACTAGCTACACCTCCTGTCCACTAGCTTCATCACCTGATCCCTAGCTCCACCTCCTGTCCACTAGCTCCACCTCCTGATCCCTAGCTCCACCTACTGACCAGTAGCTCCACCTCCTGTCCACTAGCTCCACCTCCTGTCCACTAGCTCCACCTCCTGTCCACTAGCTCCACCTCCTGTCCACTAGCTCCATCTCCTGTCCCCTAGCTCCACCTGGTGACCACTAGCTCCACCTTCTGTCCCCTAGCTCCACCTCTTGATCCCTAGCTCCACTGCCTGCCCGCTAGCTCCACCTCCTGATCCCTAGCTCCATCTCTTGACCACTAGCTCCACTTTCTGTCCCCTAGCTTCACCTCCTGATCCCTAGCTCCACCTCCTGTCCACTAGCTCCACCTCCTGATCCCTAGCCCCACCTCCTGATCCCTGGCCCCACTGTCTGCCGGGTAGCTCCACCTCCTGATCCCTAGCTTCACCTCCTGATCCCATGCTCCACCTCCTGACCACTAGCTCCACCTCCTGACCCCTAGCTTCACCTCCTGATCCCTAGCTCCACTGTCTGCTGGCTAGCTCCACCTCCTGATCCCTAGCTTCACCTCCTGATCCCATGCTCCACCTCCTGACCACTAGCTCCACCTCCTGACCCATAGCTCCACCTCCTGATCCCAAGCCCCACCTCCATTCTCCTAGTTCCACTTCCCATTCCCTAGCTCTGCCTTCTATCTCCTACTCCAAGTCAAATGTCACAACCTCCATCCCTTTGTTCCACCTCATTCTCCACATTGCAAACTCCAACTTGTGTCCTACTTCCCCAAGCTCCAACCCCAACACACTGACTCCACTGCAGACCTACCTCTAGCCTCTTCCTTGTCTTTCACGGGAACCACCACGTTGTTGAACAGGCGGGTGCTTGGGGCTCGGAATGTGTGGAAGAAGCCCTCCTCAGCGAAGTGCCGATAGTGGATGCGCATGCACACGAAGCGAGATTTAAACACAGACGGCTCTTGGCCTATCAACAGGAAACACAGTGTGCAGAGGAGAGAGATGAGATGCTGCGTGAAGGAGCAATAACACAGATTCTTAGTCATTTATCTGCAAGGGTTGACAGATGTGACCAAGAAAGTGATCCATTCAGAAAGCAGTCACTGAATAACAGATGATCTTATTGTGGTGAGCACATTCTTACGATGCATCTAACAATCAGCTTTGATTTTGTTTTTTCCTGTTTCAGGCCACAGCAATATTTCAGCTTTATGACGGTGCTATGTAAAGAATCAAGGCTGGACCACACAAGCCAGTGATTGACATCATGACCATTAATATACACAATTGGGATATGATGACATGAATCATCCAAGTCAGTAAGCCTGACCACCTGATCCCGTTAGTTGCCTTTTACGACAAGTGCGAGTTGCTGAAGACCTATTATAACCCTGATCTTCACAGGTTATCAGTTTTGATAGTGCTGATAATAAAGACTGGTCATGTGCAAGAAGTGTGAAATAAAATAATTTGTTCACAATGTGCAACATATGTGCTTTTATGAAATATGTGTGATAAACTAAAAGTGCATATTTGGTGTATATGATATAATATCATATTCTTGCAAAAGCATAAACATAATTGCAACGAATGTTTACCTCATACAAGAAAAAGGAGATAATAACCTACTACAACGAATTACTGATTATTTGAATGACGTAATATAACTTTGTCGAGAGCTTTATTTCACAAGGGACAGATTATCCATTACAGTTGCTTTATTAATTCTATCAATTTTTTTCTTCTTCTAAGAAATGTAGAAAAACGTGCAATCGGCATGATGTAGCGGTTGGCGTCAACTAGCCAATCAGTATGATAGAAGGAATGGTGTGAACTAGCCTCTCAGTATGATGAAACGATTGGCATGGAATAGCCAATCAGCATGATGGAACCATTGGCGTGAACTATCCAATCAGCATGATGGAACCATTACCGCGAACTAGCCAATCAGCATGATGGAACCATTGGCATGAACCAGCCAATCAGCATGATGGAATAATTGGCTTGTATTACCCAATCAGCATGATGGAACCATTGGCGTGAACTAGCCAATCAGCATGATGGAATAATTGGCTTGAATTAGCCAATCAGCATGATGGAACCATTGGCGTGAACTATCCAATCAGCATGATGGAACCATTACCGCGAACTAGCCAATCAGCATGATGGAACCATTGGCATGAACCAGCCAATCAGCATGATGGAATAATTGGCTTGTATTACCCAATCAGCATGATGGAACCATTGGCGTGAACTATCCAATCAGCATGATGGAATAATTGGCTTGTATTACCCAATCAGCATGATGGAACCATTGGCGTGAACTAGCCACTCAGCATGATGGAATAATTGGCTTGTATTAGCCAATCAGCATGATGGAACCATTGGCGTGAACTAGCCAATCAGCATGATGGAATAATTGGCTTGTATTAGCCAATCAGCATGATGGAATCATTGGCGTGAACCAGCCAATCAGCATGATGGAATAATTGGCTTGGATTAGCCAATCAGCATGATGGAATCGTTTGTGTGGTCTAGCCGATCAGCACGATGGAACCATTAGCATGATCTAGCCAATCAGCATGATGGAACCATTGGCGTGAACTATCCAATCAGCATGATGGAACCATTAGCATGATCTAGCCAATCAGCATGATGGAACCATTAGCGTGATCTCGCCGATCAGCACGATGGAACCATTAGGGTGATCTAGCCAATCAGCATGATGGAACCATTGGCGTGAACTATCCAATCAGCATGATGGAACCATTAGCATGATCTAGCCAATCAGCATGATGGAACCATTGGCGTGAACTATCCAATCAGCATGATTGAACCATTAGCGTGATCAATTCAATCAGCACGATGGAACCATTAGTGTGATCTAGCCAATCAGCATGATGGAATAATTGGCATGATCTAGCCAATCAGCATGATGGAATAATTGGCATGATCTAGCCAATCAGTACGGTGGAATAATTGGTTTGATCTAGCCAATCAGCATGATGGAACCATTGGCATGAACTAGCCAATGAGCATGATCAATCACTGACCTATTTCTATCTTCTCGAGGTCCTCCAGGAAGATCCTCTGGTACTGTGTGACCTGTTCCTCCTCGTCATCATACCTGTAACATAATCATCACACCTGTAACACAACCACAACACCTGTAACACATCCGTCACACCTGCAATACAACCATCAAAACTGTAACACAACTATCACACCTGTAACACAACCATCACACCTGTAACACAACTATCACACCTGTAACACAACCATCACACCTGTAACACAACCATCACACCTGTAACGCAACCATCACACCTGTAACACAACCACCACACCTGTAACGCAACCATCACACCTGTAACACATCCGTCACACCTGCAACACAACCATCACACCTGTAACACAACCATCACACCTGTAACACAACCATCACACCTGCAACACAACCATCACACCTGCAACACAACCATCACAACTGTAACCTTCCAACACACCTGTAACACAACCATCACACCTGTAACACAACCATCACACCTGCAACACAACCATCACACCTGCAACACAACCATCACACCTGCAACACATCCGTCACACCTGCAACACAACCATCACACCTGTAACACAACCATCACACCTGTAACACAACCACCACACCTGTAACACATCCATCACACCTGCAACACAACCATCACACCTGCAACACAACCATCACACCTGCAACACATCCGTCACACCTGCAACACAACCATCACACCTGTAACACAACCATCACACCTGTAACACAACCACCACACCTGTAACACATCCGTCACACCTGCAACACAACCATCACACCTGTAACGCAACCATCACATCTGTAATGCAACCATCACACCTGTAAAGCAACCATCACACCTGTAACACAACCATCACACCTGTAACACAACCATCACACCTGTAACACAACCATCACACCTGTAACACAACCATCACACCTTTAACTCAACCATCACACCTGCAACACAACTATCACACCTGTAATACAACAATCACAATTGTAACCTTCCAACACACCTGTAACACAACCAACACACCTGTAAGATAAGCAGTCATCACACCTGCAACACAACCATCACAACTGTAACCTTCCAACACACCTGTAACACAACTATCACACCTGTAAGATAAGCAGTCATCATACCTGTAACAGAACCACACAGTCACATTGTATTCCGCAAGGTAATTTATACTTAAACAGATGCTTAAGAATCATGACCTGCAGCAGCTGTAGAAAGTGCAACTCACCATCCGATGTAGACAGCCCTCTGTGTCAGCAGCAAGATGATGTCCATCTCCTGTTTGTCGGGGTCTCCTTCACTGCAACATGGGCAGGCATCATTACACGAACACACACACACGTGAAGACACAATGCATCTGAGATGTCCAGCAGTTATACACAACTTACAGAGGGTCAGTCTACATAACTTACACAGGATCAGTCTACACAACTTACACAGGATCAGTGTACACTACTTATACAGGATCAGTCTACACAACTTATACAGGATCAGTCTACACAACTTACACAGGATCAGTCTACACAACTTACACAGGATCAGTCTATACAACTTACAATGGATCAGTGTTCACAACTTACGCAGGATCAGTCTACACAACTAACACAGGGTCAGTCTAGACAACTTTCACAGGATCAGTGTACACAACTTATACAGGATCAGTCTATACAACTTACACAGGATCAGTCTACACACCTTACACAGGGTCAGTCTAGACAACTTTCACAGGATCAGTGTACACAACTTATACAGGATCAGTCTACACAACTTACACAGGATCAGTCTACACAACTTACACAGGATCAGTCTATACAACTTACAATGGATCAGTGTTCACAACTTACGCAGGATCAGTCTACACAACTAACACAGGGTCAGTCTACACAACTAACACAGGATCAGTGTACACAACTTACACAGGGTCAGGCTACACACCTTACACAGGATCAGTCTACACAACTTACACAGGATCAGTCTACACAACTTACACAGGATCAGCCTACACAACTTACACAGGATCAGCCTACATAACTTACACAGGATCAGTCTACACAACTTAAACGGGATCAGTCTACACAACTTACATGGGATCAGTCTACATAACTTACACAGGATCAGTGTACACAACTTACACAGGATCAGTCTACACAACTTACACAGGATCAGTGTATACAACTTACACAGGATCAGTCTACACAACTTACACAGGATCAGTCTACACAACTTACATGGGATCAGTCTACATAAGTTACACAGGATGAGTGTATACAACTTACACAGGATCAGTCTACACAACTTACATGGGATCAGTCTACATAACCTACACAGGATGAGTGTATACAACTTACACAGGATCAGTCTACACAACTTACATGGGATCAGTCTACATAACTTACACAGGATCAGTCTACGCAACTTACACAGGATCAGTCTACACAACTTACACAGGATCAGTGTATACAACTTACACAGGATCAGTGTACACAACTTACACAGGATCAGTCTACACAACTTACACAGGATCAGTTTACACAACTTACACGGGATCAGCGTTGATGAGACTCCATCCCCCGAGACACTGCTCTGGCTCAATGATGAGCATCTTCTTAGTGTCCTCGATCAGCATCTTGACGTTCTCCTCCTTCTCCAGCAGCTCCTGCGTGTCCTCCTCCTCCTCCGCATCACTCTTGGTGTTGAGATTCAGGACCTCCTCCGACACCGGCTGCCCCAGGGTCAGATCAATGGCTGCCTGGCGATGTGCATCCTTGAACCTCAAGTAGTACCTGGCATGCATCATAGACAAGATGAACACACTGCCATAGCAGTCAATAGGGACAAGTACTTCAAGTGCTTCAGGCTGTTGTGTTAATCTACTCAGAAACTGATAACAACTGTTTTCTCTACATATAGAAAATTCGTAATTTTAAGCCAATGATTGTGGAGAGGAGTGGAATCTTCCTGCGGTAACCTTATCGCTGTGCTGCTCCCTATAAACAATTTTCATATTGACTTGTTGCTACACGGGGCTTTGGTCTATTCTATAGAGTTTTCCCAATAGTTTCAGACACTTTATGCAATCAGCTAGATCAGATTTAGGCAGTGTGCACACTGGCTCTTATGTTTATACCTCCATAAATGCCAAAATCATTGACGTCTATTCTTAAATATCCAGGATATATTTTCTCAAGACTCATCCCCACCAAACGTTCTCCACCTACCTGTTAGCTGAATTCATGCCATCTTTCATCAACCCTGAAAACTTCCTTTCCCCAGTCCGGGTGAAGTCGCCCTAGACACAAAAACACAAAAATTAATTAAGTTCATGTGGTGATAAAAAAGAATTACAAGGCCATGAAGCTCACCTGAATCTAAGGAAGAAATAATGGCTGCTCTGTATAAAATTGTATTTGAATTCTGTGAGAATATTTTGGAGACATCATAGCCATGACAGCTGGGTCTATTCATACAAAGTTTTAACTTCAACAAGCCACATTTGAAATCTGTCAGCTGGTCATAATCAGTGAGTTCAACCATTCAACCTTCTTCGATGTTTCAGAAAATGTCCCAACTGTAAAACTGGCTGATAACCACTTGGGCCATAGATCAATTTATACATTCAGGACATCATTAACATCGGTCATAACCAACAACAGTGGCTAGAAACACATCCATAAACAATCATCTAGACATTCATTGTCTGTGTCCTGCTTCTTCAATTCCGCACAAGTGTTTTCTTGCTGATGTGATAACTAAATCTATCATCCAATATGGCTGCCCCAGTGCGAGCCTCACCTTGAGTGCAGCGGTACCGGCGTACTGACGACTAATTACATCCCCATTGTTTGCCCACAACTGTTGGTAGGTGAGGCGGCAACTTGTTGGCAGAATCTCCTCTGGGGGAAGGAGACCAAGTTTTCGAAACTGGAAACAGAAATAAAAATTTATTTCTCTTCCTCGACCATGGGAAACAAGACAATTGATCTACAGACAATAGCAAGGGTATCATAGTTGACACCATTTTGTTAACTGTCTTGAATATACAGTCAGACCCTGTTGTCACAAACTCAGATGTGTCAAATCTCCGGTTGTGGTGAAGCCCTGGTTGTGTCAAACTCAAAGTCCGGTCCCTGCAAATTTTTATGATACTTATCACCATGCTAACCTCGATGTTTCAAATTCCAACATGTGTTGAACCCAATTTATAGTCCCAAGAGCTACAAACCCTAAGCTAAAGCATTCAGGTCAAATGTTGCACCCTGATTTTTCAGCCTGCCCTGCTTTTTCTGACACTTGCCATTTTGTCTGGATTTTAAGAAAAATAATAGAGTTCCTATCGCCATTATTTGCGTGTTATTTCACAATGCCAACCAAGGAAAGGGCCATGCGGAAAGGCAAGAAGTGGCGAGGACTGAAGCCAGGAAGCGTCGACAACTTCTACATTTCTTTGCGAGGTAAGCCACGATGTTCTGTTTATTTGGTATATAATCACGTTTTATTGCACACAGCAACAACAGATGACTATGTTTTGGTTTTCATAACGATATAAAATGTATTGCATTAGTTTGTATTCATGAACAGTCTTATGAGTCAGGTTTTCTAACAAACACTTTCATATAAGTTACACGAGGGGAAATGTCCACCATTTTGTTTCATTGTTTTCACTTCAAACATTATATATACACATAAATTGGTCATATTTCAAAAATGTTCCATTAATACATAATGAGAGATCACAAATTAGCAATGTAAACATTATTTTTTTCACATTTACAAGTTTATTGATTTATTCTGCGATGTCAAGTAGAGTCTATCTGATTGAAAAACATTACGAGGCTATCAGGGTAAAATCATAATGGAGTGATTAAGTTAGGATTATGAGTTGTTACCACTTGAGCTTCCCCATGTGTACACGTGCTTGTTCTAAATCTACCTAAATATACGTAAACATATCCGGCAAATACCATTTATCGTAATTACCAAAATTTATTTATGTTTTCGTTTTTCTCATGCAGCTTAATTACAAAACTTCATAAATAGGTCTACAAATACGTTAGTAGAACATTATAGCTACATTACAATTATATCATTTTTATATAAATTAAATTCACTACCCCAAACTGACGTATTCGTGTTAAGATTAATGTTTGCTTTGCTATAAAAATAGTGCATGAATAACTGTGATTTGTATAACAATTTCTCGTAAGAGGCGACTAACGGGATCGGGTGGTAAGGCTCGCTGACTTGGTTGATGCATGTCATCATATTCCCATTGCGTGGATCGATGCTCATGATGTCCATCACTGTATTTTCTGGTCCAGACTCGATTATTTACAGACCGCCGTCATATAGCTGGAATATTGCTGAGTGCAGCGTTAAACAACAAACAAACAAAACGAATATATAGTACTTTCAGGCCAAACCTGGATGAATCAGAATCAGTTTCATTGAAAGCAGGATTTATTCAGCAACTGATCCCCAAACCCCTGCAGCACAGGAAATAGTAGAGATGTCTTTCAAGCAAAAGAGAAGGAAGATGTATGCCACAAATTGTAATGATTTCAAGAAGGAACTCTACTCTGAAGATGTCGACACCAAATCACCATCAGCCATGCTGAAAACACTGACAAGCCTCAAGCCACAACAGGTAACTTGTATCCATGCTGATTGTCTATGCAATTGTCATTCTGTCTACATAGGAAGTCGAACAAGTGTTCTCAAGAGCGAAGTTCATTTCATTTCATTTCAGACCACAGAAACAGACATAGTGTGAAGACTTGCAACAGGCTCTTGGTTGTGTCGTGTCTACATTTTTGTCCAGGAAGAACAGAAGAATATGAGAGTGAACTGTTTCAGAGAGATTGTCAAAAGAATTCTTAATACATGTACAAAGATTACAATAAATTTATCAACACTTGGTGATTTTCTGTTTTAAGTATTTGTTAAAGTCAAGAGAAATAACTGTGCTCTTTTGGCCTTTAATGATCATATACATAAATAACGTGACATTACACATGGAAATCTGTTGTTGGGCGCCCTTTTTGAAATTCTGTCTTCCTGCTGTTTTTGTATCCTGCGGAGAAACACTAACAGTATGTTCATCTCCTAAATACCAACTGAAGACTTGATCAATTCTAAACTAAATGGAAGCTATCTTCTAAAGTACTCATGTAAATGAAAAAACCCTGTTTTGCTGGATTTAATAATCGACACAAAGCATTACGTAGATGTAAATATGAAATAACAAAACAACTGGAAAAGTACTAGTCTGGAAGTGCTAGTTTTATCTCAGTCCTCAATACAAAATGTACTTTACAGGAGGTAATTTGTAGGCACTTTCAACATTCAAAAATAAAACTAAGTCCAAATTGACACGGCAGAAACAGGCTATAGGCATTATGCAAATTAGCCTGGAAAAAAGTTATCAAAACAACAACAAAAATAACAGCTATGTTTATGTACATAATAATAATGACATGTAAGTTGTTGTTTGAGAAGGGAATATGTTACTTTTACATTCTGATATTTTGACGATGATTCACTATCCCACAATGCCACTCACAAATCACTAACCACTGACAAACCACATGCACGTGGGTTTCAAGCACCTGTTTTCACCTGTCGTCAAGGTGTCATAGGTCATGGACATTCACCTTGATCTACTAACACCTGGTTATGCTCAATTTCACTATAGTCTGTTTTGTTCATATTTTTACACACTTTTACGTGTAAAAAGACATAAAAACCTTTGATACGCTGTATTTGTGCCAAGGCCAAATTAGTACTAATTGAGTTGTTTGAATATTTATATATTTTGTATATTAACTGCATTTATTTAAAATCTGAGATCGAAAATACAGTTTTTTTTCATTTCCGTGAGTACTTTAGGCTATCACTTTCTATAGGTCACTTTGTAGGAACAATTGGTTCTAGTTTTCATTTTTGGGGGTTCACCATGACATTTAGGAAATGTTTTTGAAGATTAATGTATACCTGTGTTTCCATAACGATTCTTGCAATGGCTGTCTGCACAACGTTTGTCCTGTCCAGACAGTCAACACAGTTGATGCGGAAGACCCCTCGCTGCTCACAGATAAGACCCTTGTTGTCCACCCTGGAAAAAACACAATGGTGAGTGAGTGAGTGAGTGAGTGAGTGAGTGAGTGAGTGAGACAGTGAGTGAGTGAGTGAGTGAGAGGTATTTCAGAGGGATGGAGGGGCTTGTGTCGAATATGAATTTTTGATTCTAGATTTCAAACTCCATCAACATAATTATCCCATATGACATATGCATACTGCCATCCTTGTATCAATGGCGGTTTCTGAAAACCCTTGTCCCCATTGAATCAGATGGAAGACGGACAGATGAAAGGAGCCAAAAACCATTATGCCCCATCCAGTTTGTGGCAGAGGATGACGGGAGTATACAACCCAAGCTCTGTTTAAGCCAATTTATCATCCAAAACTGGCTCCCACAGGAGATATCGCCTGGGTGAGATCAAGCGATATCTACACTGTAGATATCGCTTCAATGAAATTGCATCACAATGCTTTGGTTACCATGACATCACAATCAAATGACATCACTAATGGCTCTGCTACTGAAGCTGTTAGCATTACTTTTTACACTTAAGACACTGCTTATTTCTGTCTACAAACTGAAAAAGTTGGAAGAATGATGTTGGATGATAAATAAAATCTCATCCTTATGTCTTTTGAAGTCAAATATATCCACACTTGTTGATAAAAGTGGAAAAAATCCTCGGCAAGACTCGGAGTTTTTCCCACTTTTATCAACTCGTGTTGATATATTTGATATCAAAAGACACTCTGGTGAGATTCTCTATACATGTATATTACATGTGGTTTCCTTTCACATTGTCTAGTCTCCCTTCCCAGTCTGGACAACAAGGACAAAGTTTCTGGGTTTCAAATTCCATTGCATCCTGGTTTTCAACCAATCAGAACTGAGCTAGATCTACCTGCCCCACCTACCAGCAGTATCTCTGATCCTTGATGATGTCACGAATGCCGTCAGTCAAGATGGAGACGTTCTCAAACCTCATTCCACGACTGAAACAGAAGAATGTTTGTTGTTTAAAGCTGCACTTAGCAATATTCCTGTTATATATACCAGGATTTTATTAATACAACTTCCATTTATATTGCAACATATATTGTGCATTTGAACACAATGTAATGAAATGTAAAATAAAATGACAAATGCTTCTTTATATTCCCTCAGATTGAGCATGCAACCTTCGTATCTGTAGCCGAGTGTGCGTACCACTAGGGTACAGAGGAGCTGACATATCACAATGCTCTTTAGAAGGTCTTTTTCAAGTACTCATATGTCAGCTACCTATATTTTACGCCCGTTTCCTAAGGTTCATGGAAAATATGTTTGAAACATAAAAATGTTGATTAATGTTGTTTTAAGTTTCTTTTTTCCGATTAAAAGTGGGGCGATCGGTTAGCCTAGAGGTCAAAGCATTCGCTCGTCACGCCGAAGACCCGGGTTCGATTCCCGACCTGGGTACAATATGTGAAGCCCATTTCTGGTGTCCCCCGCCGTGATATTGCTGGAATATTGCTAAAAGCGGCGTAAAACCATACTCACTCACTCACTCACTCACTTGGATTAAAAGTTAGATAAAACACTTACCATTGATCACGCCCCTCGATGCTATCCCTTGGATTCGTGTTTAAAATCTCTTAAAACCCTCTGACATGACTTATCCTACACTAACAGACTCCAGAACTCCCCAGTATTCATGGAAGTGAAGTGTGATATTTGTGAGAGTGTCAATACTTACAGACTCCTGGTGAGTGAGTACTCGCCAGTATTCACGGCAGTTAAGTCTGAAGATTGTGAGAGTATCAATACTTACAGGAGCTAGTACTCACCAGTATTCGTGGAAGTCAAAGGTGACATACGTGAGTTCAGGGGAGTTATATCCGAGAATGTGACTCAGGTACTTGTCACCGATGACGGTCTCCTTCCCGGAGAGTTCGGCCAGTGAGAGGATGACCACTCTGCTGTACACATTGAGCTGCTCCTCGAAGTGGGTGACGAAGGCGCCATGTGTCTCCTCCTCTCCTGGAACAACCACAACACCATCAGGACCAACTACATCACCCACAGCAATACACAAGGCAGCTATTGTTTTATTTGTATGTTATACATGTTTTCTGCTAATGTCTGTTGTTGGGAGGAAGAAAACAGGGAGCCCCAAGGCGCTGTAGCTCACCTGAATTATGAAATCATATTTAAAGTCGGATTAAAATTTTTTGAGCATTTTGTTAGAGCCACCTTGGGTCATTCATATATAGTTTCAGTTCAGTGGGGCTTGTCGTTTCACAGGAGAATAGATGTACAAAATGGAATAACTCTAGTGTAAAATGACACAAAAATCAAAATATGCCCCAAACACATATTACATATTATACCAGATACAACCTACTTGCTCCACCTGTTTAAGAATGCTACATTCAGAACTGTCTGAGTTATGGGCAAAAATGACATTTGAGATATGGACACCTTGGCCGACACCCTGGCTGGGATCGTTCCCACAAAGTTAAAGCTCCAAATAGGCCTCTAGAGGACACCTTGACACTTAATGACTGACGGAAAACCTGACAACATGCCCCATTATAGCTCACTTGACTTCAATCAGGTGAGCTAAATATAACAGCAGCTTCATCAGATAACTCAGATACCTCAGCTTCCTCAGCTTCAACATTTACTCAGCAATTGAAACCCTGCTTTCAAAAAGTGTTACGGTAGACATGTGGAGGACCTTTCAAAATTTGACTAACAGGTGAAGCCAGTTATATAAATAAAAGGCAGTGTTTGTACAGTTGAACAAACACCCCACACTTGAATATATGTCTCTCATCATCCTCTGGCCCAGGGGGCGGTCGGGTAACCTAGTGGTTAAAGCGTTCGCTCGTCACGCCGAAGACCCGGGTTCGATTCCCGACATGGGTACAATGTGTGAAGCCCATTTCTGGTGTCCCCCTCTGTGATATTGCTGGAATATTGCTAAAAGCGGCATAAAACCATACTCACTCACTCACTCATCATCCTCTGTACAAGACTTGCTTGATAACAGTGTTAGAACCTACACAAACACATTGCTCCTAATTGTAATAAAGAAGTTATTCATCCATATATCTTATCCTTACTTTGCACCCCAACTTCTAAATGCCTCTCAAGAACATAAGTACATTACTCACATAAGACTATATTAGGTTTGGTCAGCTAGCTATTGTCGTTAATTTGTCATACTGAATTTGTTATTTACATGGATTTTATCTGATACTTTATAGTGAAGTAGTCAGGACTTTTGAAAGGGTTTGTGATAACAGTTGGTATGCAAATCCATGTTCATCATAACCATATCCTACTGTGTCAGCATATATTTTAACTCACTCACACTGTATGTTTCACTGTAAGATAACCACAGTTTATTTTTCACAGTCGGGTTAAAGATCTGTACAGTGGAGATTATCAAGTTTGAGATCAGGAGGTTTGACTGTTTCACAGCTGATAGAAAGTGAGTCTCAAGTATAACTTTACTGATCACGTGACAGAATCACAATTCATGTTGTGGATTAATACTGCGTTCACCAACACAATTTGGGTGTTGATAACCAGTCTGGAACGGTGTCGATTGAACATTGGGCATTAGTGTTAATTAACATAGAACATTAGTGTTAATTAACATAGAACATTAGTGTTAATTAACATAGAACATTAGTGTTAATTAACACAGAACATTAGTGTTAATTAACACAGAACATTAGTGTTAATTAACACAGAACATTAGTGTTAATTAACACAGAACATTAGTGTTAATTAACATAGAACATTAGTGTTAATTAACACAGAACATTGGTGTTAATTAACATAGAACATTAGTGTTAATTAACACAGAACATTAGTGTTAATTAACATAGAACATTAGTGTTAATTAACATAGAACATTAGTGTTAATTAACATAGAACATTAGTGTTAATTAACATAGAACATTAGTGTTAATTAACATAGCACATTAGTGTTAATTAACATAGAACATTAGTGTTAATTAACATAGAACATTAGTGTTAATTAACATAGAACATTAGTGTTAATTAACACAGAACATTAGTGTTAATTAACACAGAACATTAGTGTTAATTAACACAGAACATTAGTGTTAATTAACACAGAACATTAGTGTTAAATAACATAGAACATTAGTTTTAATTAACATAGAACATTAGTGTTAATTAACATAGAACATTAGTGTTAATTAACATAGAACATTAGTGTTAATTAACACAGAACATTAGTGTTAATTAACATAGAACATTAGTGTTAATTAACACAGAACATTAGTGTTAATTAACATAGAACATTAGTGTTAATTAACATAGAACATTAGTGTTAATTAACATAGAACATTAGTGTTAATTAACATAGAACATTAGTGTTAATTAACACAGAACATTATTGTTAATTAACACAGAACATTAGTGTTAATTAACACAGAACATTAGTGTTAATTAACATAGAACATTAGTGTTAATTAACACAGAACATTAGTGTTAATTAACACAGAATATTAGTGTTAATTAACACAGAACATTAGTGTTAATTAACATAGAACATTAGTGTTAATTAACATAGAACATCAGTGTTAATTAACATAGATCATCAATGTTAATTAACATAGAACATCAATGTTAATTAACATAGAACATCAGTGTTAATTAACATAGAACATCAGTGTTAATTATTGGAATATCAGTATTAAAGAATTGAAAGTTAATTAGTTGCCTCTTATCTAACTTCAACATTTTGTATGAGAAAAAATTGTTTCCAAAATATGACATTCTAGATATGAACAATGTTGGTAAATTCCAACTGCTTCATAATATGATATGAAACATCTTAATAAATATCAATGAATGTCAAAGATGAATGAAGACTAACTGCAGTCATTCCAAGGGCTGAGACAATGAGCCGTTACTACTGGTGTGCTACCCTGAAACAGCCCTGAGGTGGAGGTGTCACAGTTGTCAGCAACTTGTCACACATCACAGCACCAATCATGATTGATCGCTACATCGAACTGGTCACTTAGTACAACCGCACTCCCTTATTAGTAATCTTGTAATCTCACATGGGGTGGGTGGGTGATAGGGTTGGGGAAGGGGGGTTAGGGGTGCGTGTGTGTGTTAGGGGTGGGGGGGGGGGGTAGGGGTGGGTGGGTGTATGAATGATAAAAGATTTCCGGGTAGAGGAGTGCCAGGGTTGGGTCAGTGTGTCATGGGAACTAACAAAGGTAGGTGTTGGTATTTCTTGTAAGTATCACAGAAACACGTGGGGTGGGCATGTGTTTGGGGCTGGTGCACGACAGTGGAGGAATGCTGAGTAATGTGGAGGAAGGTGCGGTGCGTGATGATGGGTTAGCATGTTGGCTGGTTCACAATATTGGAGGCAGGGATTTTGAGTGGTTAGGTAATGCTGAATGGTTGGGGTAGTGGTGAGGGGGTGGTGTATGAAGGTGGGGTGGAGCTTCAATGGATGGTTGGGGTAGTGGCGAGAGGGTGGTGTATGAAGGTGGGGTGGAGATTCACTGTATGGTTGGGGTAGTGGCGAGAGGGTGGTGTATGAAGGTGGGGTGGAGATTCACTGAATGGTTGGGGTAGTGGTGAGGGGGTGGTGTATGAAGGTGGGGTGGAGCTTCACTGGATGGTTGGGGTAGTGGTGAGGGGGTGGTGTATGAAGGTGGGGTGGAGATTCACTGTATGGTTGTATGGTTGGGGTAGTGGTGAGGGGGTGGTGTATGAAGGTGGGGTGGAGATTCACTGAATGGTTGGGGTAGTGGTGAGGGGGTGGTGTATGAAGGTGGGGTGGAGATTCACTGAATGGTTGGGGTAGTGGCGAGAGGGTGGTGTATGAAGGTGGGGTGGAGATTCACTGAATGGTTGGGGTAGTGGCGAGAGGGTGGTGTATGAAGGTGGGGTGGAGCTTCAATGGATGGTTGGGGTAGTGGTGAGGGGGTGGTGTATGAAGGTGGGGTGGAGATTCACTGTATGGTTGTATGGTTGCGGTAGTGGTGAGGGGGTGGTGTATGAAGGTGGGGTGGAGCTTCAATGGATGGTTGGGGTAGTGGCGAGAGGGTGGTGTATGAAGGTGGGGTGGAGATTCACTGTATGGTTGTATGGTTGCGGTAGTGGTGAGGGGGTGGTGTATGAAGGTGGGGTGGAGCTTCAATGGATGGTTGGGGTAGTGGCGAGAGGGTGGTGTATGAAGGTGGGGTGGAGATTCACTGAATGGTTGGGGTAGTGGTGAGGGGGTGGTGTATGAAGGTGGGGTGGAGATTCACTGTATGGTTGTATGGTTGGGGTAGTGGTGAGGGGGTGGTGTATGAAGGTGGGGTGGAGCTTCAATGGATGGTTGGGGTAGTGGCGAGAGGGTGGTGTATGAAGGTGGGGTGGAGATTCACTGTATGGTTTGGGTAGTGGTGAGGGGGTGGTGTATGAAGGTGGGGTGGAGCTTCAATGGATGGTTGGGGTAGTGGTGAGGGGGTGGTGTATGAAGGTGGGGTGGAGCTTCAATGGATGGTTGGGGTAGTGGCGAGAGGGTGGTGTATGAAGGTGGGGTGGAGATTCACTGAATGGTTGGGGTAGTGGTGAGGGGGTGGTGTATGAAGGTGGGGTGGAGATTCACTGTATGGTTGTATGGTTGGGGTAGTGGTGAGGGGGTGGTGTATGAAGGTGGGGTGGAGCTTCAATGGATGGTTGGGGTAGTGGCGAGAGGGTGGTGTATGAAGGTGGGGTGGAGATTCACTGTATGGTTGGGGTAGTGGTGAGGGGGTGGTGTATGAAGGTGGGGTGGAGCTTCAATGGATGGTTGGGGTAGTGGTGAGGGGGTGGTGTATGAAGGTGGGGTGGAGCTTCACTGGATGGTTGGGGTAGTGGTTAGGGGGTGGTGTATGAAGGTGGGGTGGAGCTTCACTGAATGGTTGGGGTAGTGGTGAGGGGGGGTGTATGAAGGTGGGGTGGAGATTCACTGAATGGTTGGGGTAGTGGTGAGGGGGTGGTGT